GAATCTTATGGGGCTCCTCGTCTTGACCTCACCTCACGGCTTTCTTTATCTTTATTTTCTTTTTTCCTTGCGTAACGATCAAATTGCTCTAGTCATGTTAAGCTTGGCGTTTGGATATCGGGGTACATGGTTTAAGTTATGGATCAAAAATGGTAACAAAGTGTATCCATAAGGGATGATTCCTGGTCTCCGTAGAGATAGAGACGAGGCAAAATCCGCCGTCTCTGCGGGCTCAACCACAATGGCATAGGTGAGAGGAATTTGGAATTGGAGCGAGCGAGCGCGCAATCTTAAAAAGCATAGCAGCAATATGAAGCATATCCAGCATATCCTTTAGTTTATGATTAGAATAAAGACCTGATGTGTTTCTTTCCAGCTGCTTAAATTGACTTCAACTTTTTTCTTTTCTTAACTAACGAGAATGATAGTTTGTAAGAAACTTCTATTGCACGTCATTCTACGAAGCCTTCAAAGCTACTTGTATGAATCTCGAACCAGCTGAAGTTAAGAATTAGTCCAAGGTGTTAGTTTGTCTTTTTCAAAGCCTAGGTAAGCTTGCGTGGTTGGATGAAATTTTTTGCCTCTACGAAAAAATCTCAAACTTAGTCACCCGTATTGAAATAATTAAAAATTTAAATACTAGATGGACTATGTTGACTGTGTCTCTTCTCTGGGTCCATCTCAGCGGCTCTGATATCAAGATGCCAAATCGCAATTGAATCCTATAGGGTAGGTCTGTTTCCAGGGGGGCTTCAAGTTAACGCCAATCCCACTTTGACAGATCTCTTGATGGGCTTGAAGACAAAGATTGATCGGAAACGACTTGACACAATCGCTTAATCTGTTTCAATTTCCAGTAAACAACGTGCACCTGTATTAGTTGGTAATGCATGTTTCTTTCCGAGCTCATATGAACGGCCGAGCTTTACGAGAACTATTGAAACTATCGTATCGTTTTCACAATTTTGATTGCCCTCAGTCTAGATTTGATCCGAGAACTGGTCTACTTGACTTTTGGACTCAATGAAACCTCTGGTTTAGTTGTTTGTAGTTCACAGACAGTCTCCCTTTTCATAAGATTGGGTCAGTACGACCGACCTCCAAACCTTAACTAAGGCCCTAAATTCCAATAGACACTCGGCCATATGGGCACAGTTTCAGCCCAACAGAACTTGGATAATCGAGAGTACGAACTGTGCGGCCTAGTTGTGGTTTGAGTCATGATTCTCACGCTGTAAGATGGCCTTTGTTGGGTAGTGTTCAGTAAACTGAGCAGTGGTCTCATGTACCAAGTAGAAAGCAGACAAAGGATCCAAAGAGGTATAAGTATCCGGACCTGCACCCGCCTTCTCAGCTTTTCCTCACCACTACTCACCCTCACTACTACTAATCCTCACGACAACATTTATACATCTCCAACAAGTCTCCCGACCTCCAGCTAAAATAATCTATGGACAATATCATAGTGAGGATCCATCTTCACTTACTTACAACAGGCAGTCAGACTTAGCCTAGTTGTCCGTCAGCAGGCGCCAATCAAATGGAGCCGTGGTGAGCAGAAGATCCAGCCAAAACTATATTGGATCATACCTAGTAAGGTTCTCGAGCACCGCCAGCACCGAATTAGTCAATAAAAACGATGAGGGAGCCATGTGGGGTCCTTCACTTCTTCCTACTCTCATTATCGAGAGCAAAGAAGGTGATCGCGACGACTCGCGAATAATCGGAGTCTCACGGACAGGGAGACAACTTAGTCTTCTGAAGCATGACATACTCACAAGATTTCCAAGTCAATCTGCAGTTAGTTTATAATACTCTGTTGATTGAAAGCTATAATCCGAGTCCGTTCATGGATATTGGATTCGACCGAGCATTTGAAAGTGCTTTCAGGAGTCATCACACTGGGCAACCAGAAAGCTCCACCACAATTGTTGTCCTTAGGGAGAGCTGAGTTATGTCGTCCATTGCGAAGTCGACGCTTCTTACCCTGATAAACTATCTTCAACATTAAGCGAATATTCGGACGGAAAATAGAAATGAAGCTACGAGACAAGCCGACCTGGAGCACTAGTCCACTGCAGCTGAAATCAAATCGATTGCTAGCAGCATGGAAGGAGTTTATGAAGCTCTCCGTTCCGCTTCTCCTCCAAGCAGACACCCATTTTTCGTCACCCCCTCAAGACACTCCAACAATATGACCTGCGATTATTTGGCCAACATCTGCCTTCTCAATTCAGTCCGTTGTGAGCTGAGAAAGGTCATCAAGGTTTCCCGTCCACCTCTCTCATCACGATATCATCAACCGAGGAGAGACAGGCGTTACCTGAACCCATATCAAAGTTTGGGGACTGATGGACGGAAAAGCCAACCCCAACTAATCTCTCCACATAATTTTCTGGGACTAGCACTCGAAGAGCGTCTTCCACCACATCATCTCCGTTCCCGATGTATCCAAGGACGGCCTGAAGCGTTCTGGATTTCTCTCTCTCCATACGGGCCAAAGTCCTGCTACCTTTGACACTGGCCGTTTTTTCATATTACTCGCATAAATTCCGGGCGTCCCCTTAATCTCTCCAAACCTCGACTTCTTTCTCAGCCGTCTCTTCTTTTCTCGGCCGTTGCTCAACCTGCCTCATCGTCTCCCATCCCGTCGGTCACCAGCCATGTTTCTCTCCTAGGACTGGGGTTTTCGTTTCGCTCATATAAGCTATAAAAGTCACGAAAGCAACGCTGGGTGCTCGTCTACCTCACCATCTCAGTTCCCGATGTGTCGGAGGACGGTGTGAGACCTCACCATCTCAGTTCCCGATGTGTCCGAGGGCGGTGTGAGACCTCACCATCTCAGTTCCCGATGTGTCGGAGGACGGTGTGAGACCTCACCATCTCAGTTCCCGATGTGTCCGAGGACGGTCTGAATCTAGAGCTCAAACTTGAAGTATCGAGGTTCACCCTACCATTCTATTCTAAGCATCCCATAGCTCTGTGCCGAACGATTTGGCCAAACGGTACAAAGACGGAATCTACCACTGAGAGTTCAGCCGACTATGCTGATCTCGTTTCAGTCTTCCTATTTCCCCTCTGACAGTCATCATCAGGTTCTCTGTCAACCAAAATTCAGACGGAAGGGAGAGAAGTCCGATATAAGAAAGATATAATAGCAATATATTCAACCCATCGAAGAAAAGATCAACAATAATTTCGAGGGCGACCACGGCAATATACACTCCCTACTAATAATGTCCGCCTTCTTTTGCGTGCTGAGCCACGTGGAAAAGCCGCTTTGAAACGAGCTCTCATGCCCGAAATGAGCTACAAGGCTGACAACAAGTATGTTAAGATTACTACATCGAATAAGAAGGGTGATGGTTTGGAGACTTGGATGATCCGGGTCAAAATAAAGCGCAAGAAGAAGCTCACCCTCGAAGGGAAAGAAGAAGCTCAACCTCGAAGGGGAAGAAGAAGCTCAACCTCGAAGGGGAAGAAGAAGCTCACCCTTGAAGGGGAAGGGGGGGCTCACCCTTGAAGGGACGGTCCCCCTCCTCTCTCCGAATCACGGCCAGAGCAAGCGAGAAAGAGTAGGACTACTTTGAGCTTTGTCAAGTCCTAATCAGCAACGCGAGCGTGAGCGCAATGACTAAAATATATTTGGGCGAGCCTCCAGCACGGGATTCTGCCGGTCCATTACTAAGATACGATGAGGACCTGGAAGCCTTGAGGGTCAATCCCATCGACAGGTTCATGTCCGAATCGGGTCCTGAGATTCACCCAAACGATTCAACTGCCTGCTGGCCAAAAGGAGGTTGAGAATCCCATCGACAGGTTCTTATCCGAACCGAGCGGCTGGTGACAGCCATGGGAATATAGATGCCGAACAATCAAGAGTCTCCGGATATCGGGCATAATCACCAAGGCACAAAGGCGAGCGAGTACCAGCACAAGCAGCAACCGAAAGACAACAAGTCTCAGGCATTCACCGTTTATCAGCGCTTCGGAGAGGCGTATTTTGCCCGTGACTATTCTCCCTTGGGAGAGCATCCGGCTTCCTCTAGTACTAAGGATCCTTGGTTGTTTGCAGGAGCAACGAGGACAACAACAACACCACAAAAAACCAAATAGAAATGCCCACTGCGAAAGCATTCGGGCAAAACAATTAAGCTTCTGTCGCAGTTTGGGAAACTTGAGATGTGAGAACTGAGGGGAGAACATCAGAGACAAAGCACTAGAAAGCACGTCTGCTAAGATATGAAGTCGGTCCGAGCATTGAAAACTAGCTCGTCAACGGTGTGAGTATCCAGAATCCCCGTTGAGTCAACGTGACGTCTTGCACAGACGAGCGGCTGGAAAAGACCACAAGACCATTGAAAGCAGCGGAGAAATAGTAACAGGGTCATTTGATTTCGAAGAGATGGAAAGAAAAGGCTTTGCTAACCACTGGGACGCTGCGTCCGGGCGTCGAACTAGGGTAGGGATTGCTGGATACCCCAGGATTGCCCTCAAAATTCATCCGAAGGAAGCCACGGAAGGGCGCCACTCTTAATCCTTGTACCATCTGCTAACAGACAAGATGCCATATGGATGGTGAGAATCTAAGGCGAGACCGCGTTCTGACTCTTGCCTCAGCGACTGGAGTCGCAAGGCGCGAGAACTCCCCTCTTCACCTCATTCCATTATTTTATCTTATTACCAGAGTCGCAAGCTTAGTGCGCTAGTATATAGTAGACTTAATTCGAAGGAACATGGGTAAATTTATAATCAAAAAGTATTTAGCAAAATCATATATGACATTGAAGTATCTTGGATTTTGACACGCTTCATGTATCTTATCTTAACAAGTGATGTCGGCTTCTCTAGTCACAATTAGAAAACACCCAAGATTACGAAGATTGGGAGAGTTTGCACTGTAATACATGCCCTATCCGATGTGTGATTATCAGCCATGCCCAAAAAATATTATATACACAGTTCTGTCGTGAATGACACTTCGCTATCTCTTTACTTTCTTAGTTCCCAGCCGCAATCTGACTTCTTAACGCCAGGGTCCCATTCGTTCTCAATGATCTAGAGTTGTCATGTCTGATCTCACCATGAGCTACGGTCGATGGGCTGCCCTTTTGCACGTGCCCATAACCTCCACCTCCCGGAGTGAGAATGATTATACGGTCGCCCGCTCCAAAGTGAGAAGTCTTCCGGGGGCCAAGAGAGGTTTTCCTCGTTGTGCCCGTCACTGGGTCCCTTCGAACCCAGATGTTTTCTCCTCTTTGACCGTCCTGGCCGCCTTCTAACCCATACGGCGCAGTCACCCGTCGATCTGTCAACACGGACACCTGAAGCGGTACTCTGAACTCAATGTCACGTACGCACCCATCTCCGCCGCGATACATGCCATCTCCACCACTGCCTCTGCGGATAGAAAATTCATGCAGAATGACGGGATACCTCTTCTCGAAGATTTCGGGGTCGGTAATCCGCGTGTTGGTCAGATGTGTGTGAACGCCGCTGGCACCATGCCAGCCCGGTCCTGCGCCGGCACCGCCGGCGATGGTTTCATAGTATCCAAAGCCCTTGGTGACATTTCCTGTAACGGGGTCGGTACCTCCGCAACCGAATGTGAGGTTGTTCATAGTACCCTGTGAGGCAGCTGCGGCATTAAAGGCGCGGAAAATCAAGTCGGCAAGCTTTTGAGATGTTTCAGTTGTACAACCGACCGTGGCAGCTGTAGGCGAGGGAGAGAGGATGGTGTTTTCTGGGCAGACGACCTTGATGGGAGCCAGGCAGCCTTGATTGAGAGGAATGTCGGCCGAAATCATGGATCGAAGACAATACTACCCGCCAAATTAGAATAGGAACTTGAGTTGCCACAATATTACTTACCATAATCACTGAATAGGAACATGTCGGCGGCGCATTCAGATTTCCAGAATGCTCTGCGCCAGTTCCGGTAAAGTCAAAAACAGCTTCGCCCGTTTCCTTGTCAATCGTCACCTTGAGCTTGAAAATAATGCCATCATCATTCATCTCGGTAGACTCAAGAACGCCATCTTTATACTGAGCAGCAAACGATTTCAAAAGCTCTCTCACGGACTGAGCAGCATTATCCTGGATGGCTTTCATATACAGTTGAACAACTGGCCAAGTGAATTCCTTGATAAGAGATCTGATCAACTCGATTCCTTTCTTGTTTGAGGCCACGGCGGCTTTTAGGTCGGCTACGTTATCGGACCATGTACGTGTGCCGCTGCAGCCCGGGTAAGATCCAGGAACATCGAATAGATGATGGCGGAGTCCAGATTCATCAAAGACACCCTCCTTGATCATCTTGAAGGACTCGATCGCAGCTCCTTCTTGCCATAGCTCCGTTGAATTAGGAGGCATGGAACCAGGGGCGATGCCACCAACATCAGCGTGATGGCCACGGTTGGCAACGAAGAAGATGATCTCCTTCGGATCCTCTTCATCATCAAACACTGGTGTTATAGTTGTGATGTCTGGGAGGTGAGTCCCGCCCGCCTGTGGGTGGTTGCTGATGATAACATCACCAGGCTTCAGCTCACCGGCCTTGTACCGCTGCGCTTGATACGCGATTGCAGTGCTCATAGAGCCGAGATGGCTAGGAATGTGTGGTGCATTAGCGACTAGGCCGCCATCCGCGGAGAAGACTGCACAAGAGTAGTCCAATCTCTCCTTGATGTTGACGGAAATTGACGTCTTCATCATCGTGTGACCCATCTGATCGGCAACAGTCATAAAACGGTGGCCAAACACGCTGAGTTGGACGGGATCGACAGATTCGGTAGTCACACTCTGCTTTTCTGCTTTGCTGACTTCAAGAACCACATGCTCAGGGAGGATGATGGCCTTGCTGAGATGGTCGACGACAATCGTCTGGGTTTTGTCGATGATCATCGCGGGACCACTGATGTGAACGCCAACGCTGATAGTACCAACCTGGAACACGGGAGTCTCAGTCCATCCGTACGTCTCGAAGAAGATGCTACGAGAGAACACCGGAGTTGGAACTGGTGTGAGCCCATCCGATCCGTATTTGTTCAATTCTTTGAATGGGCTGGAGATATTTAAGACTCGAGACTTTCCCACACTGCGAACACGAATGTCGTCGATTAAGATGTCTCGAGACTGGGAAAACCCGAACTCCTGGGAATGTCTGGCCGTGAAAGCTGCACCAAACTCAGATATGTTTTCCGGCTTTGGGATCATCAGCGACGTATCGCTGCCCTGGTACCTCATGTTGAGAAAACATTCGTGCTCAACGATGCTATCTTGGTTGAATCCTTGTGCCGACAAGTCACTCACACCTCGTCGCTCCAGCGATGTGAGACGTGCCGTTAGTTCTTCCAAAACGTTTTCGGAGAAGGTAAGTGCTACAGGCTCTTGATTTTCGACGACAACATCCGCCAGTGCCATACCATATGCTGAAAGTATACTCGAGTATCGCGGGAGAATGGCGCGCCTGATGCCAAGATCCCGGGCAATGAACACTGCGTGCTGTCCGCCGGCGCCACCGAAGCAGCCTAGATTGTGACTGGCAGCCCCGTAGCCACGACCTTCACTGAGCGTCCGGATAGGTCGGGTCATGGTAGCATTGGCGATGGCAAGGAATCCAGCAGCGAGCGTCTCTGGCGTGAATCTGTCACCACCGGCTTCCTTTTCGTTATTCACAATGTCTGTGAGAGCGGCAAACTTGTCTTTGACAATGGCGAGATCTAGTCTGCGAGGGAAGAAGTCGGGAACGATTCTCCCTAGGAGGAAATTGGCGTCCGTGACTGTTAGAGGACCTCCCTTGCCGTAACAAGCTGGGCCAGGATTTGCGCCAGCGCTGCTGGGGCCAACTTTGAGAAGACCGTTCTCCCAAGACAGGATAGAACCGCCACCTGCGGCTACTGTATTGATATCTAGCTGGGGAGTTTGGATCGTCACCTCAGCTATGGTGCTCTCAAAGATGTGTTCTAAGGAGCCTGAGTACCGAGCTACGTCCGTGCTGGTACCTCCCTAGAGAATCAATTAGCAACTTGGAATCTAGTCGATATTTTTTTGTGAGTTGGATTATTACCATATCAAAGCCTAGGACAGGAGTGCCATCGTCATCATCGTAGCACGTCCTCGCCAGCCCAACAACGCCACCGGCAGGACCGCTCAACACGCCTCGAAGTCCGGTGAACTTCGTCCAGCTGGTAAGCCCACCATCTGACTGACAGATCAGAAGCTTGTTTGCACTTTCATCTTCAAGATGCCCTTTGAACCCCTTGCGGAAGCTCTCCAGATAGGCAAATGTCATTGGTGTGAGGTACGCATCCGCTACGGCGGATTGGCTTCGAGGAACAAACTTGGCCATGGACTGTAATACTGAGGATGCAGACACTTTGAATCCCATCTCCTCGGCGAGGTTTGCCACTTGAAGCTCATGATCAGGGAAAGTATATGAGTGCATAAACCCAATGGCCAGGTTCTTGAACCCTTGCGCCTGTAATCTCTTGAGATCGCCCCGCACAACTTCAAGATCGGGTCTTCGGAGGATCCTGACTACCTCGCCTGTCTGTCCGGTCACTAAATCTGGGTCGGAAGAGACATCAATGTGCTCGGGCTCAGGGTTTTCGCTGAAACCCTCAATGGTGACTCGCTCATCCACCTCCACCACAGTCTCGTAAAGCTGCTGTAATCGGCGAACAGAAAGATCAAATAGGTCTGGTCTGGTCTGATTTCCGATCAAAAGACCATCTCTCAGTCCCTTGGTCGTGACAAATGCAACCCTGTCGCCTTTGCGTTCTAGCAATGCGTTTGTGGCGACTGTGGTGCCCATGCGAATGGACTCGATGGGCTCTAGATCCAATAATGAACCTTTGGGGATTGAGGTGCCGGTGGCTATTTCGAGAATCTGTCTAATACATTCTGTGGGAGCATCATCGTATTCTCCAGGTGACACTGAGAGAATCTTGAAAACGATGTGGTCTTGCCTCCCGGGCACTTCTGCCCATGCATCTGTGAAGGTTCCGCCGCGGTCAATCGCGATACGAACACCTCGGGGAGACATTATGCTGACTTGAAACCAAAGAGATGATCAACTTGAGAGCTTAATAAGAGATAAAAGAAGTGGAAGTGTTTGAAAAAGTCTGCTTATTAGGAAAGGGCCTTGCGAAGGTGGATGATTCAAGGAAGAAAGTCGTCAAGCTATTGCGTATAAATGTTATCAGGTTAGGGTGGCTGCCAGGAAGCATGTATGGCATCATCGGCAACATGATTATTGCCCCTCATTAAATCGTTAGTTTAGAATCCTCTCCTAGATGGCAGATCATCTGGCTACGAGGCCTGTAGTTGAGATTCACAAAAGAACCGGATGCGGCAACTGCAGAGATACCGAAGACCGATGTCAGCATCAACGAAAAGCCGAAGCCCGGCAAGCCTTGAATTGCCGAAGACATACGGTTATCGGCCCCAGTAATAGTTGCCGTTATTGTCTGGAGGTAGGCAATAATCGCGCAACATGTGCCTAGTTTCTATATGTGCAATGTGTTAATCCCCTAATAAGTGAGACAAGATGTGCAAGATAAAGAACGTACGACACAAATGTTCCCTTGTCTTTTCCCATTCCCTCATTTTTCGACTTGGGGCTTTCTCGGCAATGTGATTTGACTTACCCTAAATCGGTAATCATCGTCTTGCCGAGGCAGCTTCCAGTGACACTACTTATCTCGGTGCATGAATCGTGGGACAAGCTGACATTATCCACACCAACTTCTAATGTGATTGGGCCAAAAAGGCTGCATGAGTCGTATGTACTAGCCCCGCATGTTTTGGTGACATCTCACTCTTGCAAGTGGAGAAAAGGAATCTGAGCGTGACTCGAGCTTTGATCTCACAATCTACCTGCAACTTTTCTGCCCATGTCTTTACCCCAGAATTTGGTGAATCCCCGTTGAAGTGCATCCATAGTTATTGAATGTAGACATCAGGCATTATTTTTATGTAATTTTGTACCCTTGAAACAACAACCTGGAACAGGTCGTTCGGTTCGCCTGCACCATGAGCCAACAATCACGGCGTCCTAGACGTTTACTGGCAGCGTAAGTCTCTATCGTGTCCCATGATGTGTCCTGTGTGCTGAAATTATTCACCTGGCTATTCAGATGTCACAGGTGCCACTCCCATAAGATTAGATGCTCAGGAAAGCAGCCTTGCCAGTCTTGCTCGGCTTGCGGAAAGGCCGGCGAGTGCAGATTCCCCTCCAAAGAGCGGAAGATCCCCATATCTGAAAGGTAACCTATTATGTTTTTGTTTCCGAGTACGCAAGAGTATGCGAGGCTAACACATTTCATTCATGAAGCTACCTAAGGAAACTCGAAGCGGATAGCAAACGACTGCAAAATCTTGCTCAAAATCCAACACCCCAAAGTTTCGGCCAAGACACTCCCAGTATAGACCGAGATGATGACCTTGTTGATGCAACCAACATCTCATCCGATGAATCCAATATGCTCAACCCTCTCTTCGATGGTCAGCCTGAAAACGTCGTGAACGAGCGATGTTCAGAGTCAGGGTATATTGGCGAGGCATCATGCACAGCATTTAGCAACAGGCTCCTGCAATGCCTCGACCCGGACTACACTCCGTCTACGGCCGGTTTCTCAAACTACTACCGTATCAACACTAATAACAGCTTGGGCTTGTTGCAGGAGCAAGACATTTCCGGTTTCCCTGAGAGGATGCACGCCAAGCTTCTCCTCAACGTCGCTCGGCGATTTATTGGAAATTATCATCCTCTTTTCCTCAAAGTAACCTTCATGAAAGAGCTTGACGCTATGTACCGGCAAGAGTTCTCGCCGTCGACAGTGTGGCTCTGCAAGTTCTACACGCTCATGTGTCTCGGAGAGATATACACAAACCGGCGGGGAATCGACAACAGCAATCGAGTACCGGGAACGGAATACTACGCGAAAGCTGTCGGAATGCTTCAAGACTTCTACGAAGAGCCTTCCTTAACGCAAGTTGAAGTTCTCACCCTTCTGGTAGGTTCAAATTCCTAGCAAGAATATGACGACTTACTGACAATGTCACGAGGCATGGGCGTCAAATATACTCGGCCGGGTGCGCACAGCATACTGCTACAGTGGGACAGCTATGAGGCTGGCAATGGGAATCGGCATGCACAGACCGGCGTCAAGGGGCACCACACTGACGCCCGTGGAGAGAGAAAGCCGCAGGCGAACGTGGTGGGTTCTGTACTTCTTTGACCGCTTCTCCGCTTCCAAGCTGGGACAGCCCGTGTCGATTCGAGACGAAGACATCGACGTTGAAATGCCTAGCATGGATGGGCTATCAGAAGAGGAGAAAATCGAGTTTCTCGACCCCCAGCCTCTCATCACTAATATCAAACTAGCACGAATTATCGGCAATATATGTACGTTTTACCTTTGCTTGTGATTTAGTTCTGATCCTCGTACTGACTACTTTAGTGACGGATATATACGGAATTCCGAATCGGACTCAAGGACTCCGCATACATCGGGTTCATGGCATCTTAAAGCAGCTTAGAGAATGGCACGATGACTTACCGCCAGAAATGCGCGTGAAGGAACGCGGGACACCACGACCGGTGTCAAGTCTCCACCTCGCCTACAACCAGTGCATCATTCAAACGACACGTCCTGTTCTTTTACATCTTTTCAAGACCCAATTTCAGCTCAGCTCCAAGACACAAGACCCTCACGCAGCGCCACGGCGACAAGTGTTTTCTTCCATCACGCTCGCTCTAGCAGAGAGCTGTATCAACGCTGCACAGGCATCTAGCCGGATTGCTGAGGGTTTGTTCTTGGATGGCTCGATCGCGATATTCGGATATTGGGATGCTCATCACATCTTCTCCGCTGCCCTTATCCTCATCATGTCTGCATTGATGAAGCCTACGGAAGAAAACTCAGATGCTCTCGAAATGCTATTGAGTATTTTACGATCCATGAGAAACGACGGAAACATCCCGGCCGTACAGTTCTGCGAGACGCTGTCCTATATCCAATCCAAAGTCATCAAACTTCGCTCCATGGACCAGGCTGAGCAGCAGCAGGTCTTTCTGGACACTCCCACCACTGCTGCTCCAGATGCTGGCGCTCCAGTTGGAGACCCAGGTGGTCGACAAGAACGTGGGATCAGCGCCAGTGGAGACGATTCGGCGCTGTCTATGGCTTTGGACGGGGAAGCAAGAAGAGCCGAGCCAAGTACGACTTATCGAAATATCGATGACATTCTTGGAAACCCGCTGATTGGGAGTTTCTTGGATGAGAACGGGGGTCCTTGGCCTGACCTCATGTTTTCGGGAGATGGCACGTTGAAAGAGTTGGCCTCGGAGATTGAGGAGCAATTTCTCTTTCAGATGTAAACAGTATTATTTTATGATGGCTCGGAGACATGTGCAGATGCCGAATTTTACTTATGATGACTGTAAATTTCATTGCCCATTAGATAGGCCTGTAAAACAATAATTCCTCCGCCCAGTTGTTGTTTCTTATTTTCATTGTGGCAGAACTGATGTTGGTGGACTGACATGTCTCTGTATTATTCTTGAATTTTTAATGCTGGCTCTCAACAATATGTCAATACTAACCACAGACTTGAAGATGCAGCACGATAATGCTCGAGTGTATTAAGTTTAGCATCACCCCGTCGTTCGGAAAATGACCGGTCCCGAACCAAAGGGACCGAATTGGTGCCGATCTTGTTGCCCGCTTCAGCTGTCCGGCAACTCTGAGTTGCCGAACGAGTGATACATCCTAGACGGACGCAAATCGTCTCACGTTTGATTGACCCCTGCTCTAGTACCAGATAACGGCAATTCCCCAACTTCCAAATCTGCCAAAGTGGTTATCAGTACGTAACATTTTGACAGACCCCGCGCGCATTATCCACCGGTCCGGGGTAGAGGCAGTTCGCGTTCGTTGCCTAGATCCCATTTCACATAAAACCAGCGACAACCTCTGCTTCAATTTCGATGGTGTCTTGATCATCACTCAGTTTACATATAAAGTCTTTCAATTGCATCACTTTCTACCGCTCTCTGGCTACAATGGCATCCCCCGGCCCTGCCCGACAGGCTCCAGTGGACAAGGAAGACTCTTTCGTAGAGCCCACCAAAGACATCGAACAGGAAACCGCGCAGAACAACGATATTTATATCGATGAAGTCGCTGAGAAGAAGCTCCTTCGGAAGCTGGACATGTGGATTGTCCCGCCCGTCATGCTTCTCTACCTACTCAGTTTTCTGGACCGCGTGAACATCGGTAATGCCCGACTCTTCGGGATGGAAGAAGACCTGGGTCTTCACGGTGACCAGTATCAGATTGCCGTGTCGCTGCTCTTCGTTACCTACATTCTATCTGAACTGCCTTCAAACTTGGTCATCAAGCATTTTAAACCTTCAAGATGGCTCGCATTCATCACCACCGGCTGGGGCATCGTGGCCACCCTGACAGGCATCGTCCAGAGCTACTCAGGCTTGATAGCCTGTCGAATCATTCTGGGCGCCCTTGAAGGCGGTCTGTTTCCTGGACTCACCATCTACCTGACCATGTTCTACACCAAGCGCGAATACGCCCTGCGTATTGGCTACCTGTTCGTCTCTGCAGCCATCGCAGGGTCCATGGGCGGCCTCCTTGCGTATGGGATCGGCCAGATGGATGGTGTGAGCGGCCTGCGAGGCTGGCGCTGGATCATGATCATCGAGGGAATTCCGACATTCATTCTTGGTATTGCAGTCTGGTTCTGGCTGGCTGATGACCCAGACTCGGCGCGCTACCTCACTACCCAAGAGCGCGACCTGATTGATGCGAGAATGCGACGACAAATCGGGTACACCAAATCATCGGAGCAGATGCATAAGTCAGACGTGTACAAGGGCCTCAAGGACTGGAAGATCTGGCTCTTCTGCATCGGCCAATTCGGAGGCGACGTTATCCTCTACGGTTATTCCACATTTCTCCCAACCATCATCAAGGGCCTGGGCAGCTGGTCAAACACGGAGGCCCAAGCCCTTACAATTCCCTGTTATGCTCTGGGTGCTGTGAGCTACCTCGTCGTGGCATACCTCTCAGACCGCACACAGCGTCGCGCTGTCTTTGCCGTGCTCTTCGGTCTGATTTGCACAGCAGGCTACGCTATTCTCGTTAGCAATGTGAGCGGTAATGTCAAGTACTTTGGATGCTTCTTGGCTGCGATGGGCTTATATGTTGTGGTTGGTATTCCATTGGCCTGGCTCCCCAGCAACAACCCGCGATACGGGAAGCGTACTGTGGCCACAGGGTTGCAGCTTACTATCGGTAACAGCGCAGGCATCCCAGCTCCTTTCGTAGGTGGACACCTTTATTCCATCATTCTGCTTTGAAGTTTCCTACTGTGACTAACCAGATTGTCCAGCTTTATCGGACGATCGAGGGGCCTCGATACGTCAAGGGCCATGCCGTTTCCATGGGCCTCATCGCTCTCTCGTCCATCGTCTATATACTATTCTGGGCATGGTTCCGCCATCAAAATAAGAGAAAGGCTGCCGGGAAAGATGACCATAAGATTCAGGGCATGACGGAGGAGGAAGCCGAGGAGTTGGGAGAGGAGAATCCTCGATTCAAGTATACGTATTAATACGAGTGGGCCCTGCCAAATGTAGTCGATACTGTCAGGAATGGAGTTCAATAGGGGGAGCTGGAAGAAAAATTGAATCTTCTATGAGAGAACAGAGCAATAAGATCTAGAGAAGAGAGTTAGAAGTCTCTCACATGATAGTTGTCCATAGTTACACTCTAACTATTCTGAATTAATATCTAGGTTATACCCATCCTGATGAAGCTCAAAAAAGAAACTACTAAAGATCAAGCGCTGAGACTTTCATCGAGTTTATGCACCGCTTCCTGGACATAAGATTTGAAGTCCAGTTCGAGAAAGCCCCATCGTGGGGCAAGTGCCTGCATTATCTTTCCTGGGTCTAGCCCGGCATCGGATTTCCCGCACATGATCTCCCCCGTCCCACGGCTGGAGTCAATGACGCGCTGGCCTCTTGGTCTTCGGATCGCATCATATACTTTAAACACGGCTTCTATATCTCCGGGGGATGATATATGACTCAAGAGAGCCGAGAGAATCATGCCGTCTTCAAAGGCCTGCCCTGAGCCAGCACCCTGCCAAGGCGTCGAGGCGTGGGCAGCGTCGCCCATAATACAGACTCGACCGCGGGCGTATGTAGGAGTCGCCTTGTGTTCCCACTGGGAATACCCTCGAGGGTCATCTTGCTCCATCACGAGCTATAATTTGAACCAGTTAGTTTAGGATCACTAGGCTCCGGCAACAGGGAATATGTCCAACTTACATCAATCACCCCGCTGGCAATAGGGCCGCTCAACCAGTTCGCCAATGCTTTGTTTAGGAAATCTCTCGTGAGTGTATGTTTTCGATCACTGGGGGGTTCATCCTCAACGCCAGATATCACACATTGGACTAGCGTTCCGTTCTCCAAAACATCATGCATGATAAAGGCACCCTCACCCAACCAGCCATATTGGCGATCAAGCTTGAAAAGGTCTTCACCCAAAGCCTTTTTTGCTTTCTCAAAAGGAACCAGAACCCTGCAATCCCAAAAGCCGGCAGGAGATGCCGAATATTGCTTGGATTTATCAGATAAGACGTAGTCGCGGACGATACTAAACACGCCATCTGCTCCGATGACTGCGTCGAACTCATATTCTGTTCCATCAGCGAAGAAGACCTTGACTCCTGTGTCAGTTGAAACAATAGAGGTCATTTTCTTGTTTGGGTGTAATATGCTTTCAGGCAATGGTGCAAGGAGCTCTCGGAGGAGCGAGGCTCGGTGGACGATGAGCTCGGGGTCCTCCTTTGCGGCATCACCCAAATCCATAAGGAGATTGCCTGCATTTGGACCAGATCCCTAGACTCTCAATTCATAATTAGTGTGTTAAACTTGTCTTTCTGACGGATACAAATGCATGATCATCTGGAAGACATGACGGCAAAAATGGGGGATAGAGGTAGGCAATCGGTAGGCAACAGCCACGCAGTGTCATAGATAGGTGGGCCGAAATCTGAACCAGGGAGGAAACTTACAACCATAAGCCTGGTGCTGGCAATGGGAACGCTTTTGGCTTTCTTCAGAGCCTCTCTGGAATCCTCTAGCAGTTCTTGAAGTGCTAGCTGAGAATTGGGAGACAGTCCCACTGCTGCACCGCGCTCCGAGAACTCAGGGGCCGCCTCGAAAACATCAATTGCGATATGGGGAAGTCGAGACAGAGAATTGGCGATCGACGCGCCTGCCAGGCCTCCGCCAATAATTCCAATGCGGATTCGACGGCGCTCCATCTTGAATGAAGAAGCAGAGTGCCAACGAGGGTCGGCGACCAGTACTGTACGTATCTGTAAATTGGGTTCAACAACACCTCCTGGATTTAAGCCAAGCCCATCAGTCTCCGAGATAAGAATTCAGAAATAGGCAAGGGCCGCAAGAGACGCTTTGTAGGATCGTTCTGGGTTAAGTATACGCGACGTTGTATTGACACCGTCAACCGGAGGGGACAGCCAGGCATAGGATTCATTGTGACGCCAACGTCGTCATGGTAAATCCTGCATTCGGAACTCAGCCCTTTTGTTACAAGGGGTGGGATCTTTTGCAGCTGTACTCATCTGTGAGCGTTACTATGGTGGCAAGCAAGCAACACCAACTGGACAGACAGTTCGGCCCCTGCTTGAATGCAACCTTAAACAAGCCGATCTATCCGAGACCCCCAAAGACAAAATCACGAGATAGCAAAAGATCTTTTCATGAAAAAGGTCAATGTCGAATACGCATAAGATCAAACGCAATGATATCCCATCATCCGTCTAGAGAGCGATCGATTATTTTTGGTATAAACCCACAATAAGCAAAGGGAACATGAAATTCGATAGGAGTTTAAAAAACGCTGACGACACTCAATTCAAAATAGATAATCAAGTAAAAGTAAGAAAAGCTCAATGATAGCCATTGTCGGACTCTCGGACTACAAGGTGTGCTTGCACCTTAGAGCGCTTATACATACGAGGAAGACGAGTGTAGAATACCGTCCTCGCTCGTCTTACTACGGATGGATGATTTTTGTAGATCTCTCCCTTCCTTCATCCTTATAGACTCAACCACGGTGGTTTTATCAAGTCTGACCCCGGGAACACTGCGGTCAGCACTGTTCGAATTCCTGCTGAACAGTCCCCTAATAGATGTTGTGAGTGTTTCCCATGGCAACGCCCTCAACAGAAATTGCAATGTTGGTAGACACGCAGCAAACACAGCGACACCGCATTCAACCATACCCCAATATAGATAACCTGTAATGATGACTGGAAATGCCCCATTAGCTTCTTTTGTGTTTTACTCGGTTGTAACAGAAACACTTACTGCTGGGGTCTTCGTCCTCGGCAAAGCCAACGATGTAGGTCTTGACCATTGTAGCCAGGCGCAGGGCGGATGCTATGATCGTACTTTTCGTTGTCTCATTAGCTGTGTTGCTCAGCGTTGTGAAGTTACTGTCCAATACTCACACTCCTCCGAGCAAGAAAACTGCAGAAACCCCTATTTTCCGATTGCGAGACAAGTTGAGACGCCAAATCTGGCACTCTTCGTTAGCTTTAATATTCGTAGAGCATAATAATCGGTGGTGGTGGGGATACGACGAACCAAGGGGATAGGGATGATCAGTATGAGAATGTCAGCTGCCAAATCGGATGCGCACACTGAGATATCAATACTCATTGTGTGCGGACACTGAGTTTCCAGATCCATGCTTGAGCCACGAATGGCCCAGAAGTTCAGCCGACACTGGAATACGCAAGTAAGGCAAAAGGCAACCGTCCATAAAGCGACGAAGCCTAGCATGGTGAGGAGCACTATATTGGTCCTGGAACTTTTATTGACCGCGAAAATGCGGCGATAGAAGCAAAGGAAGCTGGCCTTTGTGCATCCAAGCGCGGCCACGATCACGGTCGAGTAGGTGTATTGAAGCTGTCAAGCATGGTTAGTCTCCACGCATATTCATATTACACAAGAAGCAAGCCTACCGTCATGCTAGTCGATAGCTGGTCTGTTTTGAGCTCCAGCAAGTTGCCTTCATAATCAGGAGGGATCTTTGTTGGGCTGCCAAATGCTTCTCTCGAGACTCCGAACACAATAATCACTGCGATACCAACAGTAAAAACCTAGTTCATATTAACGTCTCCATTTCATATAGCCAACGGTCTAGGACAGGAAGTTACCAAAGCAGGTAGGATCAACCAGTCATCCATCATAAGCTTTTGCTTGTGTTGCCGTCGACCGTGCAGCCTTGATGCAACGGCGATGATGTCCACCAGCCCAAGGACGATAGCGGCTGCCAAGGCATGGCCCGCTGTTTGGTAATACTCTTGCTTGAGATGCACTGAGCTGTCAGCCATTTTTGATTAAGTTGTTTTCGCTGTATCAACGTGAATGATTTTTGCAAAGATGGCTCATTGCGGGGCATTCAAACATATTGTAGTCTTGGTGACTTGTGTTTATAGCCATCTACTCACAAAGATTACTGTCCGATTTCAATAGTTGCATCCAACCTAGGAATCCGGATTTCTGTCAGTGTCTTGGCAGACTGACATCAGGGTGACATCCAGGAATCCCATGAATCAAGTCTCAGAGTGATGCCAAATCCTACGGTTGGGAAGCTCCCACTTGTCTGCCTGGCCGGTGCGCCTTGTCTATCCCATTCTGTACTCTCGCAAGAACCTGTGAACCAAGCGCCGTGATGGATCCTCACATCTGGCATCCCTTGCAGTCTCCACACGAATCGCGCCTTGTAGCTCGTCTATTGTGTGAAACATGTAAAAAGTGACCCTTTTAAGTCCTTATGAAAATCCCACCTCGGTCCATCCGTCTCAAATCAGGTTAACATTGGCGTTGACGGGCCGAAAGGGCCCGCAACATGCATCTGACCAACGTGTCAAATAGGGCCAACCAACACGAGGTCGTATTGTTCCTCCAATCGTCGGATGCTTCCTGGTTTGGCAATCATGCGCTGTTTAATTTGGACTTTGGTTTCGCCAATCAAGGTTACTTTTGAGGCAGATAGCCTTTGGACGCCCTAAGTCTACGTAGATCGCTTGATCGCAACATGTGGAGTGTTGTAAGGATTCTTCCCTGCTCGGATGCAACCTAAGAAGCCGATAGATCCGAGATGCTGTTGTAATATCTACCTAGAACAGAAATGGTCGGCGATTACTTTGTCGGAAATGTTCCCTGAATCAGCGTTGTAGTAGCATCGGCATCTGTCACGGGCCTTACGGGGCACGTCGAAGCAAGATCTTAGTTACCAGAACGTAGGGATAGAAATGGGGCAAACAAAGGATGACACATGGGATACAGGTGGGTGTGTAAGATGTCAAATATTCTCCGGCTAAGCTACTATCAGGTATGATCCCATCCATCGCTTGTCTTGTGGGGTGGCGACTACTTTGCCAGGTGCATGCACTTTAGTCTGACGCCCATGGAATAGTCCCGATCCTCTGATTGTGATTCACTTCCATCCGGTATCTACTCAAAGCTCCAGCCTCTAAAAGACACAAACAACAGCTCCCGTGCCTTCTGTGGTGTCCCTCTCGCTGGTATTAACACAGGCAGTGGTCTCAACAGTTTCCTCACGAACACCAACGGCTTGGGATTCAACGTCTGTAAATTTGAGTTAGATTAACCTTATCACAGTACTTTGAACTTAGTATTACCTTTTGGTAAAGGAATGGCAGTCGTAAGCCCAAGAAGGCAGCTGACGGCAGCGATGGTGAACTGGGTGAATCGCATATTGAATTTCGATGGTCGACTGAAATATAAGTGTTTATAGTCTGCAAGAGGTAGGCTGATATAAGTCGCGCTTGAGGCATGCAAGATATATTTCCTTTCCAAAGATCTGGGCTGCAACGGCTATTGATATACCTTCTCTATCTTCAAAGTATCAGGCGTATTTTGACTTGAGTCTCTGATCACCCACTTCGTTATCTATTGGTCGTCCCCGGCACCTTCTAAGTCAGGATTTGACAGTTGTCGCCGTCGGATCACTTTCTTGAATTGGATTATTGCATCGTAGGAATGCCATAGATGTCACCTTAGGTTGACATGGGTTGTCCTGCCAGTTGAGGTAATGTATGGCATTCTTACGTGCAAGAATCCACTGCCCTCAGGTGCGGACTCTCGATTGGAATGACCAGTAAATGCCCCTGCTGAATATTGACACTCCGTTGATGTCAAAAGGGACCTTTGTTTCGGTCCTTTCTAATCCTCTCGTTGGTTTCCATGGCAGGATTTGAACCAGGCGTTATCATTTGACTTGTTGGGGTCATTCGTCCGAACTCCCTGCCCAGGCTCCTCGCGAAAGCCACACACTTGACTTGAAATACATAGAACGAACATACTCGTCCACTTCCATGCAACACACGTATTACTTGTATCTCAATTCTTATTGTTCTCCATTACACACAATGGCTGGCACCCTTAAGTTGGAACCCGCCGACATCGAGGAAACCCGCCCTTTGACTTACGAAATCACGTCAGAGGAGTCGCTAAACCAAGACCCAGTCAGACGAAGCTCCATAATCTACATCTGGAGCAGGCTCTATTTTATTGTAATTCACTTTTTAGTTTTGATCTTAGTCGTCATACTATGGAACACGGACAAAAACCGTTTATATTCGAAGCTCTCTGAGGGCGTCAGTTGGTGTAAGGTTCTCTTTGTTTCCTAGGTACTCATTGTCACAATGTTAACGCCGTGAATCATAGCACCTGTACGCCATTTAGTCGAGTACGAGCTCAGCGAAGAAAATGCTGTAGATCATGGTAAATATAGCGCCTACTCAGGGGCTCCGACCGCTGACCAGACTAGAGCATGGGAAAGCCTCGTTGGTCGTCAGTGTCTCCATCGCGTCTCTATTTTGATTGAAGTACTGACCCTTTCGACCTAGCCATCTTTTTCAACGCTACTCGTGAAGAGCTCGAGCAAGCTGGAGAGTCAGCTGACGATGCTGTTATGGTCAAAGGAGGTGGCTACCTAGCCACAGTCTCTGTATACCACGATCTTCATTGCTTGGTGAGACCCTGAACCTCTGCCTACATATCAATGATATGAATTCTAACACTAGCCAAACACATTTAGCGCCAATTACGCTTTTATCTTTTCCGAGAGACCTATCTCCCTCATCTGACGGAAGAAGACGAAACATATACTCGAGGACACCTGGGTGAGTCTCATTTGCGCGTTACACCTTGTTTCCTGCCATCATTACTTCTAGCGGGGTCTCCACCACGAAGATCATCTCCAGCCCCAAGATCTATACGCTGAAATCTTTTAGACCATTGTTTAGAAGCACTACGAATCAGCATCATGTGTCATGCAAACACTGGGCTCTATTCGTTCTCATGGGGTGACCCCAACGTCCGTAAGCCAGTGACCCGGACGAGCTCTAAATCGATGTGCGTCAAATGGAAGTCTATCGAAGATTGGGCACTCTCTAGGACGGTAGGCATGGACCCGGTGCTGTTACGGCCAGCCTCGAATATAAATTTTACAAATCCAAAGTAGCTAGTTCTAATATGTCTTGTTTTAATCTTTTTGACAATGTAACTTCTGTGTAGCTAAGATTTGACCTGGCGTCCACTATTCCTGCCTTCTTTTAAATTTAATTTATTTTCATAAATAACAAATTTTTTTTTTTAAATTTTTTTTTTTTTTCCATTAATTTTTAGTTGTTTTACTACGACTAGTTAGGCTTTCTACTTGAAGTGCAGGGTGTGATATATCCAAGGGTGGCTTGTTATGTTTTTATGGACCAGTAACGAGCATATTTGCTCCTTATACCTCAAACCAGACTTCGTGGTACGCTCTTAGATCTAGATCACCAGTCACTGACGCCGCATTCAAGTAAGGCGTCATGTCAACCTCCCGAGTTCCATCTCGTCCGCCCGGCGGATCCTGGTTGATTTCAACATCCTTGACAGTCCACCCGTTTCCGAAGTATGCAAACCTGTTTCCAGTCTCAGATTGGTACGAGTACTCCCAATCCTCCCAGCGAGGCTCCTTCCTCACCATGTTTGCGTGCGTTCCGCTGCCTGGCCAGTTGGCTATGACTCTGCCACCCTTCTGACCACCGTTGAACCACGACCGGCACTCCTCACTCAAAACAGTGCGCGGGAAATAGGCCTCACAGAAGGCTCTGAAGTCCTCCGTCGCCTGGAGCGTCGGGGCCATGCTTCGAATACCCTGTGACTGGGCCTTTCGCAGAATCTTGGCCGCCAAGGTTAGCTGGCTTTCTGTTGCAAACGGAAGTGTCCCCGTAGCTGCACTGGCCTGGGGACCATTGATGAACAAGAGATTGGGGAAGCCTGGAGCAGCAATGCCCAGGTAGGTGTTGGGAAACCCGATCTCGCCACCTGGGCGCCATGCCGTTGACAGGTCGACAGTCCCGCTTCGCACGGGGAACGGAGGTGCCAGAGATTTCTCCGAGCCTGTACAGCAGATGATGGTATCCACGTGCCTCTCTTTCCCATCTTGCGTCTTGATGCCGTGCTTTGTGACAACTTGGATAGGTGTAGTGATGTATTCCACATTCCCCTGAGTCAATGCCTCGAGATATCCAGGCCCCGGTGTCAGTCTCCTACAGCTGGGTGGAAACTCGGGCGTGATTGCTTCGAGAATATCTGTACGATCTCCTAGGCGACTCTTCATAATTTGAGTAAATCGTTGGCGGCCGGCTTCTATCTTTTCGCTGTTTTTCATGATGTTTCCGTATCCGCTGAAGGAACGATTCTCAATCTCCTTTCGGTACGCCAAATACGCTTCAGGGTCATCAAATGTGGCCTGCACCTCGGGCGGTACCTGCTTCTCTTTGTCAATCTTCTCTCCGCCGAAGCTTCCTGCGACCCAGGTCGGGCTCCGAGCGTAGTGATCGATGCGGCCTGCCACCTTTTGCAGTTGAGGCAAGAGTTGCATCCCCGAGGAGCCATTGCCAATGATGGCAATGCTCTTTCCTGTAGGGTCAAACTTGTTGTCCCACCTTGAGCTGTGGATGATCTGGCCCTCAAAGTCGGACAGCCCGGGCAAGTTGGGGAGCGTGGGATGGCTGAAGACTCCCGTTGCCAAGATGACAAAGTGAGCCTCATCGACCATCTGATTTTGCTCAGACGTCACTGTGACAAGCCATTTCGACTTGGCTTCATCCCACTTGATGTCCTGGACGCTGTGGCTGCAGCGTATGTATTTCAAAGCGTCATATTTCGCAGCCACCTGCTTCCAGTAGGCTTTGATCTCCGCTCCTTGCGCATAGTGCTCAGACCAGTCCTTCGTTGGTGCGTATGTGGATTGAAAGACGTGCGACGGGACGTCACAACGAACCCCCGGATATGTGCACTGGTGCCATACTCCGCCCTGACCATATGATTAGCCCTTGCTTGCACACATGCGGTGCCCTAGAAGTCTTACGATATCTGTCTCCCGCTCATAAATGGTCAGCTCTAGTCCTGGAACCTTTGCAGGTAAAAGAATGGCTGCGTTGATCCCAGCAATACCAGCACCAACCACAATTACTTTCAGAGAAGGGGCCTGGTCGATAGGATGCTCCTCCAGGCTGAGGGGGTGCCAGACGGGAGGTTGCACCGGGGCCCTGGGTGATGTCCCTGGTCCAGAAGATACACCGCCCATGATATCGCCGTTTTAGTTGGGGTGCGTAAGATTGGTCTGATCGAGTTACCAAAGAGCTGGTACCGAGGGGTCCCAACAACGTGGTTGGAAAGTTCGACCCGAGGTGGTGGCACCAAAACGATGGTCCCAAGGCTATGGCTCCGAGTCAGGAACCTAAAAGAACCTAGAGAATCCTTGATTCCTCTTACAGTTTGAAATACGACCATGGTGTGATTGAACGATCGGTGTGGCCAATTAAGTACATCTAGAAATCGATGATCAACCCAATCGACATGGCATGATACAGAAGTTGATCCAGAAAAGTCATATATAAATGCCTCAATAGAATATCTCGGCATCATTTGTGCCGAAAACGTTATTCCCGCCAGCAACTTGCGTTGGAGAGGACGACATCGGACATGTTGCACATAACGCAAGGCTGGGGTTGTGAAGGCGTGATTTGGGCTATCCCCAGCGCCAAATGGGGTGTTACAGGCATGGGAGTTCAGAACCCGCATAATATCCACATCGAGATACCAGAAGAAAAGCCGAGAACAAGAGCAAAGTATTCAATTAGTATTACAATTAACCTAAGGAAGGGAAGAAGGAAGAGGAAAGAGAGACGTGAAGCACATCACGAGGTTATGGCAGTCTTCATGAAGTGGATTCTCTTCCTAATTAAGTTAGTGTATTCTCACCTTGAGTTCAGGTGGAAGAGTACCATCAAATCACAACAACTTCCAGGCGAAACCGTTCATTGTGGGTAAAGTGATGTCGTGATCAATGACTTGCCCTTTAGACGTCGCTTCCCCACCTCTTCATCTCCGTTATTTCTGCCAAGATGCTGGGATTTCCCTTTTCAGGAACTTTTGAGTTTGATTTATCAGTATCTGCTATCGAAATACGACGAATACCATCTATATTACAGAGCTATTATTACCATCTTTCCAACAATTTGCCACTCGGTAGCGGGCGTTGGGCGGAATTCGATAACCAACAACAGATATCAGCGTCCTCGAAATCTCATAATAATCTGCTTCAGAGTTCGCCATCTGAATAGTCTCCCGGGTTTCTCTTTCGCTCCATCAACACGTATTCGGACGGATACAAGCCTGGGTACGGAGAGTATGGCGAGCGATACCATCGCGGAGGAGCCAACGAAAACTCCTCAAGTCAATGTCGGCCCTACGGCGAACGACCCTAAAGCGTACTCGAGCGATCAGGACGAAGCAGGGAAGGTAGGTTCTTTCAAAAGCAGAAAATTTAAATACCGTGGTGCTGATTTGTGCTCAACACAGTTTTTACAACACTACGATGTGGCTTCGATCACGGCTTCAGCAACAGACAGTGACTACAGTGATATCGTCCGCAAGCTGGACAGACTCATTCTACCGCTCCTTTTCGGAACCTACGCGCTTCAATGTATCGACAAAAGTTGTCTTGGATATGCCTCGGTCTTCACACTGAGTAAAGACCTGGGCCTCGTTGGCAAGCAATAGTAAGCAAATGATAGTCCAGACTTTCTGGGGTTATATGCTCACACCTTATCAATCAGTTCGTGGCTATCCTCGCTCTTTTACTTCGGGTACCTTGTCTTCGAGTATCCGACCACATTATTATCTCAGAAATTCCCAATCGGTCGCTTCATTGGCGTTGCCATCGTGGTAAGCTTGAACGCGGCAGGATCAGGGTAAAATCCTGCATGTGCTAATTCTCTACGCTAGCTCTGGGGTGGAATTCTCATTGCAACAGCTGGAGCTCAAAATTTTGCTGGCATGGCTGTTCTACGATTCATTTTGGGTGGTTTCGAATCGCTGATTACCCCAACCTTCGTTCTCATCGTGAGTCTCTCAACTCAAAAGCTTCTCAGACATCGGGCTTACCGTGGATAGAATGGCATGTATTACACGAGGAAGGAGCAAGTCCTGAGGACCGGTGCCTGGGCCTGTGCGAACGGATTCGGATGTGAGTTTGTACTCGAAGAGGGCAGTGTTCTTGGGTGTGGTAGCTAACCTGTTGATAAGCAATGATCGGAGGTATCGTCGCTTATGGCATGGGGCAAGTCAACGCAGGTGTTCCTGGTTGGAAGGTATGTAATAGAATTCAAGATCCCTTTCTTGCGAAGAATACTAAAACCTTCGTAGTGGATCTTTATTCTCAACGGTTCGTCATTCCAGGTGCATTGATCATAAGGCCTTTGTTACTAACACTTGTGCTCCACGAATTGTAGGACTTATAACCGTTGTCTGGGGTGAGCACGCCACTGTCGAACGTATGCTCACAATAATACTGACCGTAATTAGGCGTGCTCGTGTTCATTTTTCTCCCAGCATCGCCTATGACCGCCAGGTTCTTGACTGAAAAGCAAAGGGTTCTCGCCGTTCACCGAATTCGAAGCAACAAGACCGTGAGTTTGATGAAATCCTGGTTTTCTTTGACTTCCCCAAAACTAATAATGTTACTACTGAACAGGGAATTTTGAACCGACAATTCAAATGGAACCAAGTTCAGGAAGCCCTCAACCCATTCAGAGACCCCCAAGGATTACTTTTGTTCTTGACTATTTACTGTAATGAAGTTTTAAAGTAGGTTCACTTTGCAAAGATGTATTCTTGTCTGTTCTAACATCTCGATAGCGGCGGATTTGGAGCGTTCGGCACTCTGACGATCCAGAGCTTTGGTTTCGACTCTCTTCAGTCGACTCTCATCTACATTCCGCAGGGATTCATTAACATGGTGTGCATTCTTTTTGGGGGTTGGCTTGCGCAAAAGCTACCGAATGCTCGCATCTATGTATGCATTGGCATGTTGGTTCCTACCTTCATTGGACTTCTCTTGCAGATTGTACTCCCGCGGTGGAATGTAGCTGGACTGCTTGTCGGAGGTAAGGCTTCAAATCCACAGCTGCCCTTGGCCAAAACTAACTTGCATATACAGTATATCTATTTCCGCCCTTTGCTACCTGCCTCTTCATTGTACTTTCTCTCCCCGGAGTAAATAGCTCAGGATACACAAAGCGTATCACGCTGTCCTCCTATGCCTTCTTTGGATATGCGTTGGGCAACATCACCGGCCCCTTCACGGTTAAGCCAGGCGAGACACCAGCCTATCGATCAGTTTTCATCGCAGACATCGTATGCATTGGGCTGCAAGGCAAGTAACGTGTTTTACCTTTTATATTTGGATGGTAGAAATACTGAACGGTGCTAGCTATCTTCCTCACTCTCTTGCGAATGTATTACGTTCGCGAGAATAAGAGACGAGACGCACTTTTGAGCGAAGGCCAAGATCAAAGTTCACCAAGCGATGAGTTTTCAGATAAGACAGATCTGGAGCTCCCGGGATTCCGATACGTCGTAAGCAATCCCTTATTGTCGTGGTGACACAATTTCTAACGATGTACCTAGTTGTAAGCTCAAGTTGATACTCGGACTCCAGCTCGACTAAAGCTACCTTTCAAATAGCCTTGATGTTGGGTAGAGAGCAACACACCATCGAAAGATCGGTAACAGTTCCCAGATGAGCTAGTACTGAGCAGTAGAGGCCTGTTCGGTAATGCTCATGTTGCCATTTATTGCTATGTGTCGTTGTTCACTTTAAAGTAGCAACAAGAATAGATTCCGTTTGTGATCCCTTTTTTGCGGAAATTATAAAGCTAGATAACCAAAGGAGAAGGGTGGGGTGAAGGCATAACTGCCCTCCCGGCCTATAGGCGGAAAGTAGAGCTGGCTTCATTTATCTTTGATCCCTTGTTATGTGAGCCGTGGCTTGTATCATCTTTACATGTGAATTTGCTACGCTTGTATACAGCTAAGGTGTGCTTTGCGTGTTGCTACAAGCGCCTTTCCAAGCAGTATTCCTCATGCAAAGATAGATGTCACCGTTACCATACATATATTCTCAACTAATCAGATTTTTGTACAGCAACAGAGTCATCCCATGCCTTCTCAAGAGCCGCCTCCTCCGCTTCTCTTCCCATCAGCCAGCCAAACCCAGCTAAAGTATCAATAGAAGCCTTGCGCGCGATTTCAAGCTCAGGAAACACCTCGGCAAACCCATGGGGAACGCCAGGGTAAACGTCCAATCTCGTTGACACCTTATTCTCCCGAAGGACCTTCTCATAAATTAATCCATCGTCTCGAAGGGGGTCTTGACCAGCGACTTGGAAGTACACGGGGGGCATGCCGGTGTGTGGATTGGCGGCGGCGAATGGGGACCAAAGAGGCGACGAGAGGTCATGTGCATATGACTTGGTGCAAAACTCAATCGCTTTTTTGTTGATTATCATTGCCTCCGCGTTCTGTTCTCTCGAAAACCAAAGGTGCTTGTACTTGGATGGGACAAGGTCTGCTTCCAGCACATACGGTATGCCGAGCCACACGCCGTTTAGTTTGGGAGACACTTGGTCTGTGACCCATCGCTGCGCGGTAACGGCGGCCAGGTTTGCGCCGGCGGAGACACCGCCGATATACAACCCCAACGAGGTGTCGAGTTTCAGCTCATTTGCTGCTTCAGGTCGCGTAAGCCACTTCAAAGCGTCCCAGACATCGTTTGGTGCTGCAGGGAATGGGTGCTCTGGGGCGAGTCGGTAAGACACATTCACGACGGTCACACCGTAAAGCTTGGCGATGGCTCGCGAGTAGACGCTGATATGGCTATTGTGGCCAATGACAAATCCGCCCCCGTGAACAAGGACTACCAACGGGGTGACAGATGAGTCGTCGGGTCTATGAACTCGGTATTCATTCTGGTAGCCGTCTCTCATCAATGCTTGTGCAGTGTACTCCAGGTCCCAAGTCCGTGGCACAGGCTGAGGATTGGCTTTGAATAGTTGCACTACCTGTTCGAAGGGTAAGGTTACCACGGGGCTGAGTTCAGCGGTGGCGAGATGCTACAAAGCGGTCAACACACGATGCAGAATATAACACAAAACCCGGAGGTACCTTTTCTAACTCCGGGCTGAAGTATGTTAGGATGGTTGTCCAAGAAGCAATGCGCTGTTGCTGAGGAGAATTCGATACTTACTGGGTCTTCCCAAGTTCAGTCAAGCCCTCGACGCTATCAAAGTTTGCCATTTTTTCTTAAAATAAAGAACAAAGAGATTCTCTCTTTTCTATTCCTCTAATAAATCTCCGAGATTAGATTGAATGGTATTAGAGTAGTGAAGGTAGATATACCCGGTCTCCGCATGATGCAGCGGGATCTCGGCATCCGCGGAGAACTAATTCCCCCCGAGACCGAGACCGAAGTATAACGAGCAGGGATAAGGATGATCCAGAGTTGTAGCGTCAACTTGGAAGGAAGGTACTGAAGGCCGGGTAAATTACCCGTCAACCAGGTGACAGAAGAAATAGGACGTGAATGAAGAGCAGTTGTAAGTGGGGCACTTTCTGCAATGGTCAGATAATGATGCATTATGAAAATAACCGAATTTGTAGTCCTAGAATTATATACATATCTTATAAGTATGAATGTCTATGAGTGGCATTGACTAGTATGACAATAGTAATTGCAGACTCGACAGACAACACACAGAATAGTTTGAGCGTATCAATTCCAATGTCACCTTGTTGCTAGGGATTAATTGACTGTGTTGCAAGAAACTTTGGCAAAAAACGTTTTCTGGATGATACTACCTAGTGTTGATTACAAGATTGCAATGTAGCAGGCAAGGTGGGGGACTATGAAGAGCTGGTCGAGATTTTGAGATTGTAGGTAGTACCGAATCGTGGTCCACCCCCAACAAGTGAGGGGCAGATACTCCTAGAAAGAAGGATGCAGGTGGGAAACACCTTCCAGCAATTGACAGCATATTGTTCATATTTGACACAGCTTGCAACATATGATTGAGGGGAAGATGGCCCAGCTGAGTCTCCATATATATATTCCTGACGATCCATTCTCCCGACCCCCCGTTGCTGCCTTGGCTCACCCGGCTGAGTCCGTAGCCACTCGTCTTTGACATGGATTCTTATTCGACTAACTTTTTCGAAAATGGCCGATTGCCTCCTGAATTCAACCAAAATATGAAACTCTTCGCAAAAGTCGCCGCGTCTTTGTCGATGTGACCACGCAATGCGTTCATAAGGATGGCCTTTTCTATAGACGGCCCATCTTCTTCCTCTCTATTAAGATATTCAAAGCAGAATGCCGTCACTATGAGAATAATATTCATAAAGAAGGAGCCCGACTTGTTGATTTGAAAGAACCGCAAAAGGTTGGCTAATTTGCGGCAGTAAGTTGCTGGCTTCGTGTATTCCTGCCAGGCGGCTGGCGTCCTCGGCTTTAAACTTTTCTTGATTTGCGATTGGAATATGTCGCAAATCATGATGCAGTTTGCCCAGTATATGAGAATAATATGGCCCTTGGCGAGGTCTTCAGAGGTGAGAGGGGGGGGTTCTGGGGAAGGCTCGGTTTTGACTCTGTTGGTTGCGAACTCGACGGCCTCGGTACCCCAGGCAGATTCCCATCTTCGGAGGGCTCGGAGAATCGACCAGCACTTCTCTATCAGCTTCTCTCGCTGGAATAACTGGTCGTATTCTCTCGTTGTGAGATCCAATCTACTAACTTCCTTTGTGATCGCGGGAAACTCCAGCATGATGTCCACTAAGCGATCTCTCGGGGTTTTGGGGAGAGATTTCCACGGAATTTCTTTCCACTTGGATGCAGCCAGGCCTGTGAGCGTTCGAGTAAAAGTTGAGATAACTACCTTGATGGAAGCAAGTCAGCAACATGAAATTTACAACCCCGATTTTGGCATTTTCGGTTCATACCGCCTCGAACCGGCAATCCGCGAACATGCGATGCGCGTGACCGTGTAAGAACATCTCCGGATCGCAACTCAGCATGAAAGCGGTGTTGCCATTGACATGAGCGCACCATGACTTGAATTGAAGTGAGCCTTCATCCTTGGTCCCAAGCCATATCTAGCAAACAATCAGCAAATATCATAATGCCACAAGGAATGCAACACACCTCATATAAGCAGGAAAGCTTCAAGGTCGTGAGCACAACATGCCGCTGTTGCTTTTCAGGATCCTCGATACATCTTTGCAGACCGGAGAGAGTTTTCCCATACATTTGGTAACTCTTCTGAAGCAACCTGGGGTTGTTTTCCGCAAGGCCCCTAAGTCCTAGTGCGCAGGCACAGAGTACGGATCGGATCATCGGTGCCTTGAAATATAACTCATCGACGACATTTGTCCAACCATAGAGCGAGAATTTGATGACCCCGTCTGTGGCCAAGCGTCCGTTGGGGAGGTAACTGGACCAAAAGGACCCAATGAGGTGCTGCTCACTCGCACTCGTCGCAAGGCTGGGCGAGAGTAGACGGAGGGGTGATGATGAGCCGGTCTTGGCGCGCACCCGCGATAGCAGCAAGTTGTTCTCACGGGTGTATTTCTTGGGCCTAAAAACAGCCAGACCACTCTGTGTCTCCCGCGGGGCATTATTCACGAAGATCAATCCACGCTCGTATCCCGGGCACGTCCGGTTCGTCCTCAAACATCGGCCGCACGCCGGCCGTTGCAGATCACACTATGATCGCTGGTGTGTGAGTAATTGTCGGTCAGACGCGACTGAGTTGGTCCTACCTTGACCCTACGATGGCGGCAGGTTTCGCATCCCTTGGACTTCCCCGGGACGCCCACCATCTCGCTAGACCTGATACTTGTTCGCCGCTGATTCAGTGATGCCGTTAGAGCAGCCTTGAGCTTTTTCTTTGCTGGGCTGGTGGGCGAAACAAGGGGTGATTGTTAAGAAAAGGGAGAAACCTGCTGCCGTGAGTGAGTTTGGAACTACGGTAAGCCCTATAAACCGGCTTACTGGGCTTCAACAGCCTGATGGCCCCACACTTCTACACTGCATCCACAATTATGACATCCAAGGAGATCAAGCCTCTCATCGGAGTCCACAGTTACATGACAGCAGTATTTATCCTGCATATTCAGCGAATTCTCCAATACGTAAATACTGTATTATCCCCGTCCGTAAATATGGCAAATTATACGGTTTAGCTTTTTAGCCCTTCACCTTTGGGCTCCTCATCCCTATCTAGCTTGAAATTCCAACTACATTTATACCATGGAGATATGGGACCAACGGGAGAAGTACACGGCAAGGCCAGCAGCTGGAGGCATCGCAAAGGAACTTGTATTCAAGTACAGTGCACCTCCTAAACTAATGATGGAGATGGCCAATATCGTTGACCTCTGAGATTTTCCATAGTTGCACTTGCTCTTTCTTGTCAAAGAAGGACGGGGGTATAGGGTAGGCCGTCAAGCATCGAGGAAGATTAAGCGATGACCGGCCAAGTGCCAAGATTGCACAATTGAGGCAAAATCATCAACAACAATCAGCCTAACAGTAAACCCCCAAAAATTAACCCTGAGAGTCATAAAATTTTAATTGCTGACTTCTTGCTATGATTGCTATGATTGATTGAAGAAGAAGTCGTGGGGGCGCGGCACCTTCAATTAGATGGATTCGGTGTCATTACCAAATGCACCCGATTGATTAACTCCTCGGCAGGGCGATGCGATTGATGAGTTTACGAAGGCGGGATGGCGCAGCTTCTTGGGCCGAGGTCGACCCACATGAACGATTTCCCCAGGATTTATTTAGATGAGGGACGGCGCGGCCTGGATTGACCTTGATTCAATAACGGTTTGCCATCTATCTCACCTTTGGCTGCGACGGGGAGACTAGCATTTGATTAGGTACTACCACTTCCCCCATCTTTGGACAAATAATCTCGCCTTCGGGATGGCTCCCTCCATCATCGACCAGGTCGCGGTCGAGCAGCTGCAGGCCAATGAATTCGTCTCAAAGTCGTTGCCAATTAGAATGGGCAACGCCCAACCCATCGCCTACGGAGGAAGCACCATTTCCGTCGCCGTGAGCTCGGCGTGCGCAACAGTCCCCGCAGAGTACTCACTCTACTCTGTGCTCGGCCACTTCCTGGGGCCTGCGTCCACCGAGCAGAAGCTGTACTGCACCGTCCAGGAAGTACGGACGACCAGGTCATTTGCAACACGCCGCGTCCAGGTCAAGCAGAAGCAGGCCGACGGCAGCTTTCGCCCGTGCATGGAGCTGACCGCCGACTTCCACGTCAGCGAGCCGTCGCTGCTGGAGTATTCTGCGCCGCCGGTTGGGTCCTATCCGAAGCCCGAGGACTGCCCGGGCTACCTGGACTATGCGGAGACATTGAGAGAGAAGGGAATTGTGACGGAGGACCAAGCCAAGGGGTTCAAGCGATCTATTGGAGTAGGGAACAACTACTTCGAGTCGAGGCTCTGCGTCAACGGAGTCTCGGCCCAGAACCTGTTTGGTGCGGCCAAGGCCAATGTCACAACGCAGGACAACCTGCCCATCACCTCCAAGAAGTCCGCCGAGTGGCAGCGATCACACGTCCCCGTCACCACGCCGGCGCAGAACGCGGGCGCGCTCTCGTTCCTCATGGACGGGGCGCTGTCGTTCCTCCCGCTCACGCACAACCACATGGGGTTCGAGGATGCGGGCGCCTGCTCGTCGCTGGACTTTGCGCTCCGCATCTTCGTCACGGAGGTGAAGATGGACAGGTGGCACCTGAGGGAGAGGATCACCTCGCACGGGGGCAACGGGCGGACCTATTCGGAGGGGAGGCTGTACGACGAGTCGGGCGTCCTTGTGGCGTCCATGACCCAGCAGAGCATCATGCGTCCCCCTAAGGGCGCTTCAGTTTCCAGGCTGTAACTGTGGTTTGGGCATCAAGGTGTGATTGTGATTTGGATATGGGGGAGCACATAGAGTGCGTGCGTCGCTGGCGCACGATTGGCTGGCATGCTGGTAGAGACATTCTGATTAATGGAGCACTGACCTGCTGCGCGGGAGGAATGGATATGATTTCGCTGTCTAGACCCTAGAGATTTGCTTTAGATAGTAACGCGTTTACCTCGCATCGGTTTCCCCTCCTGGGAGGCAAATGAGACTGCTCCTCTGCCGTGGTATTTTTATCCCAAGAGACCGAAGGATTGGCCAGATCGCCAATGGGGATCGCTTCCTGCAGCGGCTGTTGGTGGTGTCTGGGGCCTATTTTGGAAACATTGCAGCAGCGGGTCCCCTGTAAATCACGGGAAGCACCCGCTGAAGCGTCTGTCAAGCGCCCCCACAGCGACCTGGAATCACAGGCGACAGCTGCCAGTCAGTAGTGGTCTGGTGGAAGTCTGCCTCACAGCCCAGTTCAAACCAACAAACCACCACCAGTTGGCCGGTTTCCACGTGTCTGCTTAGCATCTGCATCTTCGCTCTTGCATCGTGGCGCCAGTCAATCCGATCCTCTCGTCTCGTCTCACCCACGCCCAGCATCGCATTACGAGCCAGGTCCCCCGATTCACCAACCCTCGCCACTGTGTGTGCGCCCGCCAAGTGATGCATTGCCGTGGTTGCGTCTCACAGGTTCGCACTTCCGACGTCGTACCCTTCGCTCGCCCTTGAGTCGGAGCAGCACTTGCCTCCTCGCCATCGCCAGCGTCCCTCTTTCTTACCATATTTTTCTCCTTCTCTTCCTTCCAGTCTCTCCTTTTCTCCCTCCACCACCATCCATCTTTAATCTGTAGTGGAATGAAAAGATGACCACAGCAGTAGCTTCAACTTCCTCCAAGCCCGAGGACACCTCCAGCAACGCCCACGATGGCCCTCCTCTCTGCCCGGTTATCCTCCAGCCCGGCACCGACGCCTTCTATGTGTCCCCCTCCGACTTCCTAGCTTCGCGCCCTGACATCCACAATGTGCTCGCCGGCGCCATGGTCTTCCGCCCGACCCTCACCAGCTCGCCAGACAACTGGGTCTACGAGACGCTGCTCCTACGCCGGTCCGCCTCTGACTCTTATCCGCTGAAGTGGGAGGTCCCTGCTGGCACCGCAGACCCCGAGCTGGACCCCACCATCGTGTCCACCGCCGTGCGCGAGCTGTGGGAGGAGACGGGCCTGCGCGCTCAGTGCATCATCTGCCCCATCACCCTTGGAATCGCCAGCAATGCCGGCGTCTGGATTGACGAGGAAGGCCGCGATGCTAGGATGGATTCGGAGCTTAGCGTCTGCCTGGTCCCATCCGCCGGGAAGACATGGGCCGTAGTCACTTTCCTTGTCATGGTCGAGCCAGGGAGGGAGTGGAAGGAGGTCGAGCTTCGGCCGGAAGAGCACTCCGAGTACGCCTGGGTCACCGAGGAGGAGGTCAGGACTAACCGTATGAAGAGCAAGAACGGCGCCCCGTTTGATTTTGTGAGCGAGGCGATGCGGCTGACGATCATCGAGGGCTTCCGCATGAGGAAGCTCGTCGAGGAGATGGTCGAGGCTGCGCGGAGCGCTAAGCGGGCGGCATCGTCGCCGGTAGATCCGGAATGACTCTTCTTTTTTCGTTTGTTTGCTCTTCCTTTGGGACTCTGACTTTTCATCCTTGTATTAATACCTCTAGGCAATCTGTTCGCATCTTAATCTGGTCACCATCGTCTCAAGTTGTTTGTTGGGCTTCATTATAGTTAAAAATCAATGTTATCTCATAGCCTTATCTCAATCCCAGACTTAACAGCGTCTCAACTATGACATAGAATCACTTAAATGGGTTAAGACAGACATTTTCCATTCTTAACCCGCATAGATTTAGCATCGTGCCGGTGACCCATGTCGCCGTTTCAACGAAGAATCTTCATTGCTTTCCTAAGCAAGGTGATCTTTTCGTGGACTGCCTCTCTGTTGCGTCTCACATTTGGGTCCTCGCCCGCCACATCATCAAGTTCCTCATCCGTCATCTCCGAGACGAATTCTGACGAGAAAATCTTCAAAGGTGTGTTTGGTCCGGTAACCAGAAGGTCGTCGGCCACCTGCATGCGAACATTGTCAATGAATCTCTTACGAGAGAGCAGGTAGTACGACTTGAGAATGTCGTGAATTTCTTGGATCATCTGCTCCCCGTTCTGAAGGGGGTGTTGGGAAACCACATCATCGAGACGGACCATCTCTCCGTACTTCGGGACATCAATCTTTTTGTCCTTTAGCCATGCCTTCTGACGTTGTTGCCGGCTGTGTTTATCAACCTGATAGTTAGCTTCAGATTTCCCCTTGAGTTATGTCCTCGAGATGAAACGCACCATTGATTGAGTGTCTCTGCAAAGACGGAATTATGTGTCGCCGGTGTACCCTCAAGCTCGACTCGCAAAAGAGAATCCGTCTTTTCCAAAGCCTCGAGGTACTTTCCCCTGAGGTGGTCCGACAGTCGAGAGCTCAATCCCTCAAGAACGCGTGAGTCTGGGATGATATACTGGAGCAAGGATGAGACGAAATGGTGAGCAATCGCAATGATATCGCTGACATATCCTTTCGCGATATGCCTCCACTTCTGGGACTGCTTCTGCATTGTTGTACGCAGAAGGCTTGAGCTGAAAGTTCCAAGCTCAAACCCAATGGAGCTCTTGTACACCTCCGTCAGCCAGCCCAGAATGCCCTCGTGATAGGGGTCTTCGACGTCGTCATCCATGGAAAGGATGTCTTCGATATCATCACTTTCGGCAATGTTCCGGGTCGTCATGGCCCGCTCCACCTTCAAGAGACCCTCGCTGGACTCATTTTCTTCATCACCAGTTTCTGCAAAATCAAATCTGTGACCGGACTCGGTCATCAGCTTGGCGAATTCCTCGGCTCGCTGCCTTGCTCTCGTCGACACCCGGTGACTGCCGTTTCCATCAAAGAAATCAGGAGACGAAGAGTACTGAGCACCAATGGCAGATGACACAATGTCCTGAAACTCCCCGGCGACCCTCATCAGGTATTGTCTCTGCTGGATTGGACCTTGCCTTGCGGGCCCGAGCCCCCTGAGTTTCTTCTCAGCCGCCCTCAGCTTGGATTGGATATCGGACTTGACCTATTGAAATCATATCAGCCGGTGGTTCTCGCATCAGATTCTTTATTCTCCAAGCCCTGAGGGTTGTCAGATCTCACCTTTGGGAATTCTCTTCGAATGTGGGAGGCTAGTATTCCTTGAAGCCGATCCCTGAGCGACTTGACGCCAACTACGTCGCCTTCAAGGCTATTCCACGGCGCTACATTCCTAAAGAATGCCCCTTCGAGTTCGTTCCGCGATTTGCTCTGGCTTTTGGCCAGTTCTGCCTGGCCCGGATTGCGCAACAGGTGCCAGCCGAGCTTCAGCCTATGCCGCTTACCCTCAACCAGTTCCATGATATCATTTTCGGCACCCTTGTCGACAAGATCTGGCTTGGTCAGCACACCGAGAGTCCTGTCTCCGGTAGGGTCAAGATCCTCGGCTTGTTCGACGACCTCTTGAGTGGCGATGTCGGCGTTGCAAGGCACGACGGTGAGCATCACGGACCGAGGGTTGGTCATGTATCCCTTAACCATGTTATCGACAAGCGCGATGTCCTCCTTGGTGGTCAGTCCCTGTGTCGTTCTCTTGAAGGTGCCCGGGACGTCGATGACGCTGAAGTGCTCCTGGGTAGGATCCGCAATCTCCAGGACGAGAACGTCTTTGGAAAAAGCAGGCGATCCTGGTTCCTGATTGGGACCAACGCCCATCAAGTCAATAACCTATATTTCACGATATTTAGCCAAGAGTATCTCTATGGGTTGAGTCAAGAAAGCGTATATTTACCTCGCGCATAATCCCGGCGAATGAGTCAGCATCAAGGTCGGTCAACTCGTCTCTCTGCCAGCCCTTCATCTTCTCCTGATGTTCAGAGCAACTATCTTTGGATGGTATGATACGTGCCGAGATCCTCTTCCTCGGGGCGCGCCTGAAAATGATCTGGGTAGCAAACCGGGTGCAGAGGCTGCTGTCCCTTGGGAAAGGGAGGCCGGTGAGGCCCTCCAGGACCGAGCTCTTGCCGCTGGATTGCTGGCCGACCACGATGAGCTGTGGGAGGTCGACGTCGTGGCCGAGGTTGCATGCGAAGAGCGCATCGATCTTCTCTAGGAGAGACGAGTCGACTAGGCTAAGGGGTTCTGGCTTGATGTTCATTGTGAAGTGTGTCTTGGGATCTTGTGCAAGGGCAAGTGATATGGAATCAATGTATGGTTTTCTCGATTGAAGTTTGCTTGCTATTAACAAAAGATTTTGAAATTTGCCTTGGGATGCTGCCCATTTTATAGTAATGAGTTACATGTGAATTCTTACACTTTACTCTACTATTCTTGGCCTCCAAGGCAACATGACGGAAACGCCAAAAAGCCCACGGGCCGCCCAACACAGATAACATCATAGTCTGGCCTATCATAGAGGAATGAAATTCTGTCATCAATGACGAAGCCACATCTCCTCAATGTCGGTGAGTGAAGATGCAAAATAACGAGGACGAATCCTAGAGCAACGCGGAGGCACAGCCCCAGGAAAGCATGCAAAGAAGCTTCCAGGCCCTCAGATTTAAAGTTCGTAGGCCCTCATTTGGTAAGGGGGGAGGAGGGCCTCCTGCAGACGAGGCGTTTTCTAGCAGCACCTCAAGTTGGATCAGGCCTAGCATCAATGCAGATCATCGCCCCTCTATGTGAGACTGAGTCCCGGCCGCGCTGATAGGGCGAAGTGCATTGAGGGGGAGTATTTTATATGGATCTCCGAAGGAAGTGTGGTTTGATTCGGCGAATGGCAGAGTGCTTTTATCCGAGTTGCTGAGACATGCATAACACGATAAGAGGTTCTACCTGAATACATCATTTCACACGCGCGCGCGCAGACAGATTACTCGCCTGTCAGCCAGATGCGCCTTCGAGTTCACATGATCTTTGGTTTCTCATCATCATAACGAGCTGGCACATTCAGAAGCTTACTGGTCGACTCCAGGTACAGTGGACCAATCACTTCATTCACATGGGACAACTGAGGTGAGTCGGATCAATTGCCGCTGCTGAAGCGATCAAGGTGCTAACGGATCGTAGGATTTGAGGTTTCAAGATGAGCAAGAGTCTTAAGAACTATACGACTATCAGATATCTTTTTTCAGCAGGAGTGGGCTGCACGTTCTCTCCGGATTTGCTTCCCCCTTATGCCTTGACATTCATATGCGACCAACTCCGCTACGTACATCTTTGGAACCTAGGCATCTATCCTTTAAACCGTGATAGCACCCGGCCTGCATTGGTACAGGCCCTCGATAAGCGTCTTGTAGCGGGAATCAGCTGGCATTGCCAAGGCAACTGCTGAGCCGGAAAAGGAGGCTATGGGGGCTGGCAAGAAGAAGGAGCAGCTTGAGCTTGCCAAAAATAACCCTCTGTTGATGTTCAAGAACTCAGGCGAGAGTACTCGCGATGGAACGAGAACGGCATACCGACCTTGGATGCAGCAGGGGATATGGCGTCTAAGAGTAAGCGCAAGAAGCTGGTCAAGGAGTGGGAGAACGGGTTGCAGCAGGGTCGAGGCCTGGCGGCAAAGCAGGTCTCTGGCAGGTCGAGTTGCCTCCAATGGCTGTGCTCATGCATGTCTCGCTCTTATTCAATCAATACCAGTGAACTTGCATGTACATGGGGTCGTCTGGATAGGCTACGAAGCCAAGACGCGGCGGATGGGACAAGCCGAAAGCCCCCGAGATGTTGGTATCATCCATTTCGACCGGGATTGGCTGACTTACGCGCCGTGGCACACACTTCTGACAATTTTGGGACATGTCTTGTTCGTTGGCTGCATCAAGACCAGACTGAGCCACTTGAAGGTTTCAATTTGTATCCATTTAGTCAATTTAAGGTAACACTCGTATCCAAAATAAAAAAAGAGCTAATAATAACCAACGATCCAACGGACAGACAGCCGCCTACTGCCCCATAGTTTCATCCCCATCCACACGGCTAGAGATCCAGGCCAACGCCTTCAGCCAGGTCACCTCTGCCTTTACATCATCGGATCTCGCCAATGGCTGTGAAACGATACCAGGTCTCATCAGCAGAGCAATAGGCCGCCCTTCTGTCTGCGAGCCTAGAGTGGCAAGTGCCTGGGGGTCAGCATCCATACAGAGAGATTTCCATCGGAATGGAACGTTCGCGAAATGGTTGATGTAGTGCACGTTGATATAGCCCCTCTTCTGCCAAAGTCGCAGAGACAGGTTTGCAAAGCTCAGGATTATCTTGGTTAGATCACTTTTCGCGTCCTTATCGTCCCAGTATATTTCGTTGATCAAAAACCGGAAGTTCTCGAAAAAGACTCGCGCAAAACGTTCCGCTGCCTCCGTCGTCATTGGTGTGGATTTCACCAAGGTTTGCAATGTATTGATTCGCCAGTCCATGGCGGCATCAGGTTGCACTAAATTCCGATCAGTTTTGTTCTGTTACAAATGGTATTGGAGAAAGTCATACCCTTAGCCAAGGTCGACTCAATTGAAGTGAGGGCCGAACTGGCTGCAACTTGGCTCTCCCCGTGCAACTCAGGGTTCATATCCACGAGAAAGTATGGGGATGCCAAGAACTCGCAACAAAGAAAGCTGGAAAGCGCGGCTTGTAGCAGAGGCAGCGACGCTTCACCATCACCGAGTCTCAAGTTCAGTTTGAGAAATTCAGGAGACCGAAGGTAAGCCTCGTTGGTGTTTAGGAGATTCATCGAACGGAGACGCGCTGCCACTTGGTCTGGATCCTTCAACTCTGGAGCGCAAAGATCCGAGCACCAAGAAAAGAAATCCCCCTGGAAAAAGGCTTTCAAGGCTTCTCGTACCTTGTCGTCCGGTAATTCGTTTGAGACGTCAGAGGCGAGATCTGAAATCTGTCTGGAGCGAATGTTTGTGACTACCGCTTCCTGTTGTTTTATTTCTTCCTTGGCCACTTCTAGCTGGGCCATTGTTGTGTTCAATTGGGCCTCAAAATGGGAGCGCTCCTGACAAATTGTGTTGTATTGGTTTGCCCAATTTTCGGTCATTTCTTGGATTTGGTGCTGGCGCATTTTGCCCTGTTTGTGAAAGCGCGCCTTGGCCTCATCTAACTGCTTCTCCTTGGAACGGAGTTCATCTTCCAGTTCAGCGATGCTTTTTTCGATATTGTTGTTGGGTTCTTCCGTCCGATCAGGGAAAAAAGAGGAAGTAATGCTATGGAGAAATCCCCCGCTTGGTTTTACTACGCGATGATTCCGTGAAATGTTCCGGGAATTTGTTTCCCGTGGATCTTCAGGTATATCGTTACGTTGTGAGTCATGACAAGCGTCTCCAGAAGAGTCAATCGATGCCCCGCCTTCGTAGTCGGCGTTGCTGTCTTGAGTTTTGGGTTTTGCCCCTCTATCTCTCTGCGTTGGTTGATGACCACGAGATAGCTCGAAACTCAGTTAGTCCACTGGTCTCGAATTTACCTTGTAAGAAACTTACCGGTTTGCTCTGATAGTTAGCTGACACCGCTTCTGTCATCATTGGAGATGTTGGTGATTCTGCTTTGTGGCACTATGAAAAAGTTGAGTGTTTCGAGGAAGACAACTCGCTACGCCAAGAGCAGTAAACGAGGAATGAAGTGATGAACGACGGAAAAGAGATGCTCTCGCGGGCCATTTCTCATCTTCATAAGGCTTCCGAAATGGGCCGCGCTTGAAACAATTTCTTTTACGCGCGCGCTCCTGCATCTTGCATCACATTAGGATGACTGCAGGAGGCGGTGCATAATGTATGCTGCATTTAGGACCAATAGATTCGAATGCAACGTGGGGGACAACCAACAAGATGGAATACACACACATTATTGACCCAAATAAGCACTCATTATTACCCGTATTCGCTTGAATCCAATAAAAGATGCACTGATTAGCCGCCGCCCGCCCGCCCAGGCGATCTGCGTGTCCTCCCCTGGTCCCCTGGCCCTCTGGCCCCTTGCTGACCTCCTGTAGGCCTATTTTTGGCCTCCTGCATATTTCGTCTTAGCTAGGTGCAGAGTACATGAGATTAGGCTCCACAAGCTGCATCATTATCTAGCAGTATTTGATACGTTGGACTCCATGAGTAGAGGGACTTATTACTACATTGATCTGCTATCTTTTCTTTTTCTCAATACCTAAAACCGCTAGCCTCTACTCATCTTGACTCTGCATGCATTATCTCCATTAGTGATCTCTCGCCATATCTCTGCCGTTGGTCAATCAACCTCTTACAGCCATGGCTTTCAGAAATAAAGGAAAGCTGATAGTTGGGATTGATTATGGCACTACGTATTCAGGTGAGTCTTTATCAAACACAGAGGCTGGATAGAACGCTAATAATGTTCTTCAAGGACTCAGTTTTGCCATGTCCAATGCATCTGATGTTGAAGATATCAAGCCTTGGACAAAGTATCCTGGTGCCTCATCTCATCATGCTGAGATGGCTGTGAAAGCTCCAACACGAGTCGCGTTTGCATGCGAAAATGATGAGCTTGACGAGGACGCGTGGGGCTATCAAGTCGAACCAGATATGAAGGCGTACGCCTTGACGAAGCTCCTCCTGGATAAAGAGACGCTCCAGTCAGAATACGATGATCCAGAACTAGCTACTTCTATTTCCAGAGGAGACGAATTCATGCTCCCCACCGGCAAGTCAGCGCTAACCGTCGCCACGCGATTTTTGAAAGGAATGTATGACATGTTCGAGCAGGCTGCTCTTGAGATGTTGGGTGAAGACGGTTTCAATGATATGCCTATTGACTACTGGCTTACCGTGCCTGCGACATGGAGCGAGAAAGCCAAGCTTCTCACAAAACGTGCCGCTCTCGATGCTGGGTTTGCTTCCAAGGAGAGCGACAGGATCATGCTCATCCCAGAACCAGAGGCAGCAGCACACGCGGTGCTCAAATCCGGTCTGCACACTTTGGACAGTTTCGTCGAGGTAAGCGAGGATAGCACAATATCGCCGTCAATCCGGTTCTCTTACTAACATGCCTAGACGGGGACTAATGTGATGGTTTGTGACTGCGGCGGTGGCACTGTGGTTTGTTTGGCCCATATCCATCCTCTGAATGGCAGAAGTCTGACGCAAAACCAAGGACATCACATCTTATGAGATCCAAAGAACACATCCTACCCTGAAACTACGAGAGGTAGCTGTTGGGGCAGGTGAGTAAGATTAAGCTCTAATACATAATGAGGTAACATCAATGACACATGTGGTTCTAGCCGGAAAGTGCGGTGGCACATTCGTGGATAGGAATTTCTTCAAACTCATGGTAGAACGATTCGGCGAGGCTTTCACATCACTTGGGGTCGACCAAATTGGACCAGCAAGCTCGTTTATGGATCAATTTGAGCTCAAGAAAAAGGACTTCAGTATGAAGAATCCCAGCAAACGACCTCATCGCCTGGTTCTTCCAATGCCCTCGCTGCAGCTCACTCCAGAAATCCAGAAGTACTACGAGAAGCGTTCGTCTTCTATTTTGCTCAGGCCGGAAGACTTCAAGATCTTGTTTGATCCCGTCATCGACAAGATCGAACAATTAGTTCAAGATCAAGTCTCTGAAGTGGAGCAGCGGGAAGGATCTTCCATCAGCACCATCATGCTGGTCGGTGGCTTTGGATCCTCACCGTATCTCAACGAAAGATTAGAGATTTGGTGCAAACAACGAAATATTCGGCTGAAAACGCCTTGGAGTGGCGGGTATGCCCCTGTGAAACCATCTGAACTTTTCTAACCTACATGTACTGATATCTCTAGGTGGTCTGCCATCGTTCGTGGCGCGGTTCTCCGAGGGCTTGAGGGTTCAATTGTCAAGGAGAAAAAATGCCGCCGGCACTATGGCTACGCACTTTCCCACCCATATTATCCCTCACTTCATGCAGGATACGACAAAGTGAAACGTTTCACTCATTACGACAGGTTCGAGAAGACGGATTACCTAACAGGATTCATGACCTGGAGTATGGGCAAGGTTCGGACAGCTCCTCCAGCCAAGCATGTGAGAATCGCTAACAACGTACACTTACAAATACAGGGCACTGTCATCAATTCGTCGACTGAAATTGAAGGCACATTTTTTCGCCAGGTCTCCGATCGTTCAGTCTTCAATGGATGGATGACTTTGTATTCATGTAGCTTGGATGACGGCCCACCGAACATTGAGAACGACAGTAAGTGATTCTCGATGCCATGTGAACCAATCTAACCTTGAAAAGGAATCGAAGAAGTTGGAAAAGTCGCGTATTCGATCCCGCTAGATGTTTTGGATCTTGATAAAACACAAAATTTGGTTGATAAAGATGGGGCAACCTTGTTCAAACTCAAGTTCACTTTACGCACCCGACTTGATGATGATTCAGGCCACCTTATGTTCTCGGTTCACTATGATGGGGAAGAGGTCGGTAAGGCGGGAATTGAAATGGCTTCTAGTTGAAGACATTGATTCTGTTTGTAGCGTTGCAGCGATTGTGTCTTTTTTTTTTTGTTCTTTTTTTTTGTTCTTTTTTTCACAATTATCTTCGGCGGGGATGGGGATATGGAATAGAATTTACTTTTTTAACCCAATTGGCCAAAAACAGATATATCACCCTGAACCAATGTGATACCTTGAGAAGATTCTGCAGTGCTTCTTTCAATACAGTTGAGGTGATGTACCGATTGGAGCTGAAACTACGTTCATAGATAGGCGTCTGGTACTAAGCATGTGAACTCGAAAGCATCTAGCCGACAGGTCGGTCCACTGTACCTGGAGTCGGCCAGTAAGCTTCTGAATGTGCCAACTCGCTATAATGATGAGAAACCAAAGATCGACACCATTCGAATACGTCTCTATCGCCTCCCTGATAACTTCGGCGGCCGTCGTAGAGCATTCAATATACCGTCCTGGCCGCCCACGACCCCACGGGCTCAGCCACCTGGTGGCCTTACAACGCAAAATGACTACCGCTCCGCTTCCATGACTTTCCATTTGAGAGATATCCCTAACCGTTAGCTTTGACGGAACGGTTGCTTCTGTTACACGGCCCCAGCCAGGAGTAGCTGTGCCCAGCTTCCTCAAACGCGTCAACATCAAAATATAGCGAGCGGTTAGCAATGGGGTAGCCGAATCCGTTCGCAACATTTTGCTCGACAAACCGCGCAACCTGGGGAACGTCCCCAAAGGCACGAGTAAGTTGATCAGGTGGGGGATATTGAGCGTCTGCGTGTCTTCAAAGAAACGGCGTTCGAACTGGCGGGACTACCCAAGGTATGTCTCGTTTTTGTTCGAGTCCATGTTAACACTATACAAGACACCCAGATACAGAAGGAGAATATCGCCCAGTTTAAGAAAAATACTCGACTGTGTTACTGGAGCTCGTAGGGCGGCAGCTGCTCGCGCTGTTCCCACATGCCCTTTCAATAGCAAATCGGCGACGGTAGTGCGTTGTCCCTATGCTGTCGCAGACCCTGGCCAAAGGATCAACCTTTTTGTTGTAATAGTTGTCAACCTCCTCAAAAAGTATCTCCAACTTTGTATCCTAGAGTAAATCTAGAAAGTTCTTAGCAATGTGGCGTTGAAATGCCGTCCTGGTCAGTTCGAGAACCGAAGTGCGCGTCGAGCTATTCTCGGTAGAAGTATCCTGCTTGAAGCCCCCCAATAGATATTTCTGGCGACTCTTGATGATAATCTTATCACCAATGTCGGCGGTGTTCATGAAAAACTTGATACGGAAGCCGAAGTAGTATTGCATGATTCGGCGGTGATGTCCGCTGTCACGTATTTCTTTGCATGGCCCGGATGGGCATCTTCCTATACTGTCGGGCCACACGCGTACCATTTTATCGTCTTTCCTGTTGGAGGATGAAGTTATCCTTGCGTCTGGTCAGGCTGCTCTAGATCTTCAGCTGGGGTAGTTGCGCATCAGGTCGGGCTTGGGGATGAGCTGCTTTCGTCCGTTGGAAGCCATACGGGTGTCTTCAGTTGTTTAGGAGTAGAGTCGTCAGTGAGAAACTCCATGAGGAGTGGAAGAGAAATTCATACTTTAGAGAAGGCAAAAGAGCCGAGTGAGTCATGCCAGAGCCGTCACAAGGTTAGGTCTGTCCCAGCTTTTAGGAAGTTGACGAGGAAGGGTAACTCACTCGGGAGTACCACCTCGCGTTCCAACTCACGGCAAAATCCCCGTGTTTGAAGGCTGGATGCCCTCTGCCTATGGTATGGCGGGGGTTTTAAATTGCAGATCTCTGACGAGAAGGCACGTCAAGCTGCTGAACTCGGTCGTAATGAATTAGGCCGTAGTGCTGGTGCTTCGATGCCGGTGATCTGGCACAAGTAAAAAATACATATCCTTGCAACGAACCCTACAAAACAGTTTATTTTCGTAACCGACTTCCCAGCATAGCGCAACATCCTTTGCAAGGTCTCCCCTCTAACACCAACGGCTCCAGCATCCCCTCACCACACGGGTAAGTTTAAATGTTTCAATTTGTATATTGACTCACAACTGATGAGGACCCAGATGATGGATAAAAGGAAAATAATGAACAAAGTCGAATAATCCTACTTCAATAATGTATGACAGGGAAAGAAAAAGCTAGCCAGAAGCGTAGAAATGCTAGTCTTCAAGGACAGGCCAATCATACCTTTCAAAGCGTTATTTAGAGAGCAATACCCTGGTGTAACGGCCGTAACCGATGATACAGAATATGACATACGGTCATTATGCGCGCTTGATTGGCTGGGTAACGCAAGGCATACTCGTGCCGCCTGTCAGCAGATGTGCGGGGTGCCTGACAGTCAGCTCATCTCAACCATTTCATCTTTCAGCGCAAGCTTCCTCAAATAGTGCTTCCCATCACCTCCATTTCTAGTTTGCGAATTAGTACATCCACGACTCGATACTATCACGAGACATCTTTCAATTTAACGAATACATCTCTTCTTAGCCGAAACCGCACCGATGGTCGCCTCTCCAGAGACCCTGCAAGCACCGTATGAGCTCGCATGCAAATACCTGAACCAGCATCAAGACCCGAAACGCTTTGGGATAAAACATTACTCTGTGAGGGATAAGCTTATTAGGCAGAACAGTCGCCTCTACACATGGGGCCGCGCCAACGGGTTCCCTCTCATGCCAGATTTTCCTACACTCAGCGAGTTCCATCCTCTGCTGCAAGACGAGGATATGCATACTCAGGTTAAAGATATTCTCGAGCATATCGTTCATTTGCATATCTCGGGGCCGTCACAGTTCATACCAAGCAAGGAAGAGCAACCGCTGGTGGAAAAGTTCAGTTTGAAGGACCTTATCTGGCGCAGGGGCAGGCCAATTCGAAGGCCAAGGAAAGACATCGAGCAACTAACTGTCTTGGCGGACGAGCTTGCGAGCTTGATCACCAAACTAGAATTGTTATGCCCCGGGTCCCAGGTCTCATGGGTGACAGCTGATGTAACTGTTGTCGACTGGTCTCTTATTTGCTCTATGGCCGAAGAAAATCCAAACTCCAAGCCAGAAAAATATTGAGCGAAGATACTTGTCGGTCTTAGGGTCAGGGACTGTGAAAGAATTTCTTATGAAAGATAGCGCCAGCGTTGCAACTATGCTATTCCCTTGCGCTCATCAGCCCAAGGGGAACGGCTTGAAGATATATTTACGACACACTGCAGAGCAAGTGGTCGAGGGTATTAGGATGGGTACGAAATGAAAAAGCAGCAAAGCACACGACAAGACACATTCTAAGAGTTAAGATGAACGCAATAATTCTCATTCACATCTAAAAGTATTGGTCTTTACGCGGTTCACATGATCGCTGTCTTTAACTACCTTACTAACGTCAGATATCTGATATGACTTGAACTTGACTCCATCAAGATAGTATCATCCAGGGTTCGATCTGTGGTATCTAGCATATGCCATCCTACATCCTAATGAGTTGGTTGCATTCTATATTCCAACTTTAGACTTCTTTACAAGTCAGTTTTCATCGGAGCTGAAATTCCGCACCGGAAGGTCGGGTTGGTCCCATGGCGGTTTGTCCATGTTCTGCGGATCCAACGCCCAGTTAAGTAAAAGCTCTGGCATCGCTTCTACAGCCGCCTTTGCTTCGTGCAGCCAATTCATTTCTTCGTCCATGGCATCGTAGTACTTGACAAATGCCGCCACTGTCGACCGTGGGCAAATCTGCGAACAGCAATCGCGTCGAAACGAAGCGTCTCTGGAAACCTCATCCATGAAATCCCGGAGCTTTCCTCGGGAGTTTCCCAATTGCTGCATATCTACATTCGCTTCATCGTGCCAGATTTCATTCAGATTTTCCCGAACCATCTCCAGCTCCTGACGGACGGATTCGGGCCACTCGGACTTGATGAATTCTGTCATAGCCCGCCAACCAACCTGCAAGCGTTGTTCCTCGGCCCTGATCGCAATATCGATCTCGCCTTTAAATAGGGTCAGCACCACCTCGGCCATAGAGTCATGGCCATTTTCTTTAGCAGCTAGACACGCCATACAGCCAAAATTGATGGGGTGGTGCTCGTCAAACTGCAGCAGGCGATCGGACGAAACAAAAAGCCATTCTCTAACCGATTCCATATCAAGGCTCCAAAAGGAGACGCTACATGGCACAGGAAAAGATCTTAATTCCTTCCATCGTTCACACGACGGACAACGAAGGATGTAGCATTTGAAAGAGGGGACGGTGGACAGTCGTGAGTGGTATCCGAGGTACCGCATGGCCCGTTTGCTAGGCACCTCCTTCGATTCATCCAGACTGCACGAAAGAAAGTCAAGGAACCCTGGAAAGAATCTGTTGATTGCAGATGCGCAACGTATTCGGCGGCTCTTGGCAACCGGGATACGAGGGGACAGGAATGGGGGCTCGAATTCTGGAGAAGTGAAGTAGAATTCGTCCACATAGCGGAGAGATGACGAGCTTCGCTGAGACAGACACTCGTTGCATTGGCGCAAATGACGCTTCTCTCCCGAACCGAGCAATTGCCTGCCAACAACGTTCTTGCCAGCATCGGCCCCGTCCTCATCCGGGCGAGAGTCCCAGGACCAGATGTGACCGGATGGTCGTGCGTGTACTGGCTTCTGGTACGGCCTCCCAAAGATGGATCTGTTGTCAAACTCAAGATGAGGCAGCAAGCGCACGCATCCAGAACACGCCCATCGAAACCGCCCCCAATCCGCTATTTGCTGCGCTGTCGCAAACCGCTCTCCTCCCTGTTCCGGTCGCTGTCCGTAGATTCTCATTTCACCGCCATATCGATCAAGGAGCTCGAGTTGAAGCAAGATCTGAAGGCGCTGGTCCGAGGTCAACTCAATTAGGCGGCGAAAGAGGGTGCACGTCAGACTGAGCGCAAGCAGACTTTTAGCATCGAGGTGATCAGCGATGGAGATCCTCATCTCTGGCGGCAAGGTGCAAAGAGAGTTGTCTTGTGCCATCATGGTGCCAGTTCGTGATAACAGTGGGAAAATAAAACGGCCTCGACCTAAAAAGAGATGAAAGATTGCCCTTCTTGATCTTATTATTGCATACATTTTCCACAAGTGGTGGAGCAGCCGGGCTGAGTCACCGCCGTGTAGAAACGTCGGACGCAAAACTGAGCTGCCAGGCCACCAAAGTCCCAATCAAAAAGAAACAATGGAACAGGCTATCCGCAGCTCAGAACACTAAAACTCCGGTATGACGATCCGGCAGCGTCCACATTCGGATGGATGAAGCCAGGGGTTGCGGGTTGCCTCAGCAAACATCGGAATGGCAACACAATGACTGCAACATTAATGTTATCAATTTTACTTCTTTTATCATCATCTCTCGCTATGTTTCTCCTTGATTACTTAGATTCATCACTATACCTTCTACAGTCAACCTACACATGGTCCGTTATCGAAAATGAACACTAGCGAATAAGATACCACATAAAGCTAGCGGATTGATCTCATGTAAGCTGTGGCATGGCTATGACTCGCTGGACAGAATCTCTGAATATTCGTGGTTGATAGACAAGCATAAACTGAAGCGAGTGTGAACATTTATCCAATGTCCAAAGCAAGGCCTTTGGATGCCAAACAACATGAAACGTAGTTTCTAGAACGCGAGGATCATAGTTAGCGCACCCATACGAATAATCTTTCATTTTGCGAATTTAACCTTCAACCTTTAAACACAATCGAACAAAGAGTTGGTCATATCAGAGGATAAATCTCGGGTTCTGTCTACATTGAACCTTTATTCTTTCTTGCCTCTTTTCCTACCCTGGATTTGGGCTTTGTTCAATGAGTGTGTTTGAATTCTTATTAGAATTGAATTCATAAGAATTCCAACACATTGTTTCTTAGGGAATAATTTCGAGTAACTCGTCGAAATTTTCACCCCAACGAAGATACATTCTTGTGTGATTAAATTTGCTTTGTGAGCGTCTTATGTGGTCTTCCCTTTGTATGAATCAAGTTGTAATATGAAGTGACCGACTTTGTCTAGCGTTTCTCAGTTCAGAGAGGTGGAGCGATATATATGCTCACTTCCACCCCAGCTTGGACGGTTTTCCTTGGTGCTCCTCAGCTCAAGATTAATCTTGATTACACTTCATCATGGACCAACAAGCCAGGCTTCTTTCCTTTGGCTGCAAAAACTATGGCCCTCTCCCGTTCTGTCCCGTGCAGGCCGACCTTGCGCTTGAATCTCTCGACTTCGACGTCAACAACGAAAATGGCCCTCTTGTCTTGGGTACTGTTTTGACTGCCCCGATGAAGCCTTTCGATGCCCTAAATACCGGTAAACTTGTTAGCCCACGTCCAAGCACACAGGAAACTGCCATGCAGGAAACTGGCACACATGAATGCGACTCGGTCGAACCTTGCAGGTTTGCTCATCAACGTGATGAGCCCGGAGTCGGCTTCAATGGTGACTTTGTATCCAAGGTAAAAGCCACCAGTGACAAAATCACAGTTTATTCCTTCGACAAGAATGACGCGGATGAATACTTTCGTGGGCTCATTAAAACTGAGCCAGTCAAAAAGTGGCTTGAAGGCAAGCGATGGGCGGTACTATACATGGTCGATCGTGTCCAAGTGGCCAAGGGCCTTGAGATTTCTCATTCGACGGAGATCCATTTGAAATCAAAGCTGGGTTCCGACGTGAGAGAACAGATGAAGCATGTCCTCGTTCCTAAGTTGAGCAAGGAGGTTACTGTTGGATATGGGCTTCGAAAGTACCAGCTCTTCCGTGTTGGATTCTCCACTGATAGTGATTGGAAGGTTACATCAGAACAGTTGGATTTCAAGCTCAATCGCATCATTGAGGAGGCCTCGGATCATTTGGTTGTGACCTGTAAGGGTTTGCTGATGGCAATTTTTTGGTTTACGGTCCTCAAGCCGCTGATACTGGGTGAGGAAGCCAGATTGCTCTAGGCACAGGGGAGGCAGACGAACAGGGGGCTTCCTGTGCAACTTTGGGTGTCCGCTGGGAAGCCATAAAAAGATCGTGAAAAGGGCTTTGTATTAGCTAGCCTAGAAAAAAGCTTTGGTCATCTGATTAGTTTAGCGAGCATAGATATGGTCATTTCTATGTATATTGGCTCCAGGGAAGTACAGCCCGTACGAGTGTGTTCCTTTTAGCTATCGAGGTAAATGGGTTTAGTCTCAGCCAAGGGGACATCAACACAATCTGTTAGGATTGTGTTACCTTCTTCAAGGCTGGTTACTAACGCAGACTGCTCTCAGATCTCAGTTAATCCAATCAATTGGAAAGGTGTTGGATAAGAAGTCTTTCCTATAACAAAACAATAAACATGTTCTTCTATTGCCTTGAAGTTTTGGGGGCATGGCTGAAATACAGATGAGAAATATGGCGAAAGACAAGGAGAACTTGGAACACCAACCAAACTCTGAAAGGGCAGCGCAAGCTGTCGCTTGTAACCAGACTCTCCCGCTAGTGGCGACACCTAATTAGTTAATCAATCAACCTACTCCTTCAGACAAAGAAATATGTGACTTCTGAGGGTGGTTGTTTTAACCAATCTAGATAAAGCATAATTGTTCAAACATACCCTCCGCTGTACATGAGCCATTTACATTCATAAATCACAAAACATCCAAGTTCAGTGTCTTGAAGAGAGCCTGTTCGCTTTCTGCTTAGATTTCGCCGAGTGGGTGTGAAAGATCTAGGAGCCAAGTCCATAGCATACTTCCTACTAAGAAGACAACGACATTTCTTTGTCCAGTTGTATCTTATAGGTAGTTTCAAGTCTTGCGGGACAATTCCAAGGTAGTCTATTTCAACTTTGCTTGTCTTACTTGAGGCCTCGACTGTTTTGTGCTCTCCTTATTTAATAACACAAACTACGACCGCCATCTGTGATTTTTGTCATTTCTCATCCAAACCACATCCATCTTCTCGATCTCCCTTCCACCTGCCCAGTAGTTTCTCACTCCACGCTTCTTATTCCGGGATTGCTCTTCATTACGACTATCTCTCGCTGCAACATGTTTGGTACCTCTTTTGACCTAGTCCCTCGGTATTTCAGCATTCCAGCCGAAATTCAGCTAGACTCTAAAACGCTCGACCCCAATAACGCGGATGGTCCCTTCGTTCTTGGTGCCCTTCTTGAATCTCTTGCATACCCTTTCGGGGCCCTCAATGAGGGGCCTCATCGCGTCGAAGTACCAGATGACCATGTGGACAAGTTCTCTCGGGGCGCCGACGATGGATTCAAGGCTTATTCTAGGGCTGAGCATGAAAACCCTTGGATCCTTTTCAATTACTCTGTATCGTCTGAACTAAATGTCACGTGCAATATATTGGAGACAAAGTGTTTCGATCCCGAGGATATTGACGAATACATTGGCCGATCCTTAGATTCTGAGCCGATCAAGAAGTGGCTCGATGGAAAGAAGCGGGCAGAGCTTTACATGATCACCGGTTTTCAGGTGGCTAAGGGCCTTCGGGCTACCGCCACGACGAAGGTGAGACTGGGCTCGAGATTTGGTTCTATTGTGAAAGAGGATGAACAGGAAGTCATGCCAAGGATGCGCAACGACGTCATTGTTTCGTATCGGGCTACAAAGTATACCCTCTCTCGTCGCAGCCTCCTTAATCGTTGGACGTCTCGAGATCTGGAACACGGCGATTGGACGATTCGGTCTGAGCCCGTCCTTGTAGGAGATGACTATGAGACGGCCATCAAAAAGCTCAAGGAGGTCGTTCCTATTATGAGAGGATTGTGAACAGAAATCTGATGGTGAAGGAGCTGACTTCGTGGGTACGGCAAGCACGGTAGACAGTGCTAGGTAGATCAGTGGTGAAATAGCCCGGAATAGACTCGCTCACTAATTATTTCCTTGATTCTAAATACAATTTGTTGGGTTTATCTCCAAAAGTGGGAATTTCTCGTTGAGCGTATCGTGTCAGTGTATCGTGAAATCCCTTGACAGAGAGCACCCGTTGCCAATGACTACTATCATCCATGCAACCAACCGACACTTGACGCGACCTTGGTTCGATTAAAACTACCGTGGAACTAATACTCAGCACCTAGAATCTAGCCTGGAAGGAATAAGAAGTTATATTCATTGGGAAAAAATAACTAAACATGCACCAGACAATTAGCTTGATTTTAGGCCAGATTCCGTCAGTAGCATGACAAGTTACAGAGAGCCATCAAAAGCAAAGTCAAAACGGCTCAAATGGATCATCCAGCGCATGCGGTGTTACCTGTAGGCCAGCCGTCCAAGTTTCATTCTTCGTTGCTGGAATTCCCGATTCTGCGGAACCGAGTCCGAGCCGGGCCCACGGCCTCCCCCTTCCAGCCTGTTTCAAGAGGCAATGGATCTTCGGCATAGTTCCAATCAGCACACCAGTTGTATGCAATCGGAGGATTGAAACCTGGGGTCGGTTCCTGGCCAAGCCTACCAGATACCTCCCAGGTCTCCACAGAGGCAGGAAGGGCGCTGGCCAGAGACGTCCACCCCATGCCTGAAGTAGCCAGATACACATAGCTAAACTCAAGGTTGGTGATCTTTGGTTGAGCGGCCACAAATTCTAACAGGGAGGTAGTGCTAACAATCAAAGAGACAAGTCGAAAGGACCGGAGGTTGGGGAAACAGAGCAACGTGTTTGTCTCTTTCCGGTTGAAGATCTTGCTCAACAAATGCACACCACGGCTCGGAAGCTGAGGCCATTTGCTGCCGGATACCAATTCAATGCGTTCCAGAGTAGGGCCGGCATGTTCGAGAAGCTTGGGCAGCGCGTGGTCAAAGGATGAATTCTCAAGAAGAGAGTCCACATCGTATATGTCAAGCCTAAGGTGACGAAGACCTTCGAACGCAAAACGCATAGCGGGCGAATCTTGAATCAGCTCCGGGTTGAGTTCATGAACGTGCAGCTTCTCGATGTGGCGGCCGCACTTGTAAAGGCAGCTAGCAATGACATGCAGATAATGAGCGGTAGGTGATGAGTCTTTCCGATTTCCACCGATCTCGTAGCTGCGTCCTTGTCAGTTATAGTCCCTGTCGACGTGGCTGTTGGCTTACCTGAAGAAATCGAGGCCTCCAAAGCCGTCGAATTCCCATTCTTGGATTTCAATCTCTTTGAGGTTTGTGCGCGAGATGAGCTCAATTAGAGAGGCTTCAACTCTCTCGCTGTTTGCTTCTTGCTCCTGTCTCCTTAGACTCCAATGCTCCTCAGCTACTCGGATTAGGTCCCTTTCGACGTCAGGCCGGGCTGCCCTTCTAGCGATGACGGCCTGAACCCGGGCTTCCCAGCGATCCTCCTCGGTCTCGCCCTCACTCTCGTCCTCGTCCTCGTCCTCATCCCCGTCCTCGAAATAATCCATATCAAGTTCGTCCACGGGTTCCTCTATCTGCTGATTCAAGTATCTCCGATAGTCGTCCCAGAATCCTAAAAACGGCATCAGTTGCTTTAGTCAGAACCACGTCGTTCAACATTCTCATCGAACCTTGTCGGTAAAATGATGGAGCAAACACCAACTGCGTTGCACCACGGGCGATTGGCAGGATTTCGTCAATCGCCTCATGCAGCTTTCCAAACTCAACGGACCGCTTTGGATAGTGCTGAGTGCCGATAAAGAGGCAGAGATTCTGCCCTGGGCCGAAGATCTTAATCACGCTGAACAAGATGGGGGTGGCCAGTTCCGCACATCGCTTGCTCGCCAGTCTCACATTCTTGAGACTAGAGGGGTCAAGTTCGTGCAGAACATTTCGAAAGAGTTCAATTGGCATTCTCTCCATGGTGGAATCGATTTCGGATGGCTTGTCGGTCAGGCGGAGGCGTTCAAAGTTGAAGTGTGTGGTGTGTGAACGTGTTAACCGTGAACTATCCGTGAACAAACCAGGATGGCCCGAAATGTAGTTGATGGATGTAAGTCATCCCGCTTTCGGAAGGTGAGAGTGAGAGACCGTACACTTGTTACTTATGCAATGTACATAGTACACGGCGAATGTATCTGCATGGGTCAAGGATCCAAACAACGGTTGAGGTCGCTGACGGTACATATAGCTTAGTCATCCGATTCGATACCAGCGGCACGGTTAAGCGCTCCGGCCAATGACCTTCCCTCTCCCCGATGGATCCCCAGACAATTTGAACATTGAACGTTCTCCTTAACCATCGGATACCAGCAGGAGGTGTATGTCACGACTGCATCGCAAGAAAACGAGATGCCTAGCGGGCCGAAATCAGCAGGCTGCCAGCACTGCAAGACGAGGAAAATCAAGGTAGGGTGTTCTTTGATCCAGGTCACTATCGCTCTCATAGCTAACCACCTGCAGTGCGATGAGAAGTGGCCAACATGCGGAAACTGCTTACGCTCTCTACGGAAATGTCCAGGTCCGTCGGCTTCCATCATATTCGTGCCGCATCGCCGTTCAAGAATTCCAGCCTCGCAGCGATCAGAAGTTCGGCCGCCGGGGGGGGACAAAACGCACCGTCCCCTGAAATTGATGAACTGGACCAAACTGGCAACCTACGGAGAGGGAGACGCTGTTGAGGGCGTGTTTCTCCCGGAAACCCCTCGTGCCAATCTCATGGCTACGTCCGATCGAGTTGCAAGCCAGCTCGCCCACTTCTTATCCTGGGGCTATGACACGGTGCTCTGCTTGCAAATGAGCTATCTGCTATACCTCCCACAGCGCCTATCGCAGAGCGAGTGCCTCCTCAACGCGACATCTCTCTTTTGTTATGCTTGGGACGGGTATCGTCGTCGGTGCCCGTCTCAATGTCTATTTGCGACAAGCTTATATGGAAAGGCTATCCGAAGTCTTCAACGAGAAATTAGCCAGGGTGAGGTTTGCACGGTCGATACACTTGCTGCGATGCAGATGTTGGAACGGATCGCCATATGCTTCGGCACCAAGGAGATCTTGGACAACATATCACCGCACTATTCTGCCATTAAGTGGGTGCTTGCCAATAAGGCGCCTGCGAACCCAGATGATAAATTTGATATTTTGTTGACACGGGAAGGACTGAACATTATTGTTAGCTCAACCCCATGCAAAACTCGTAGTTACGCTTTTGAGGTCTACAGAACCAGCTAACTCTTGAACGTAGGAATCTGTATCGGCCAGTGGCGACGGCTCGTTCACACAGTCCCCTTGGCAGGGCTATGCAGGTGAAACTCACTACGACTACCTGACCTCGAAAGAGATCAAGGGCTTTTCAGAGAGCAACATCACATTCAGCAGCTTCCTTTGCAAGCTGGTCGAGTGGACGCACACCATCAAGATAATCCAAGCAAGGCCACACGAGAACAAGAAAGCCAAAGCCAGGCTCCTTGAGCGCATCGAGGAATGCGACCGCAACATAGAAAAGATCATCAGCGATGCCATGCAGGCAGCTTTATCCAGCGGAAACATGCAAGCGATCCTGGACCCGGAATGTATTACCGGTATCAAATACGAATTCCGCTCTGTTGCGTTTGCCACTGGGCTAGCTGGGCTTCTCTCCTTCCGGGCAAATCTTTTACAAATCGTCTACGATATCAATGCGTTGTATGAAGCCAACATATCCAAGGACTATGAGAATTACCGAGCCGTCTGCATGGAGCTGTGGAAGTTCATTCCCTACGCAACCTCTCTAGGCTATCTTTCAATCCGCTTAACTGGGTGTATCGTGCAGACGATAGAAGCGATGAACGAGGATGAGAGATCATATCTGCTGGATAACTTGGAAAGAGTCGACACATCGAAAAAGGTCGTTGGCGGGAAGAATTTCATGGCAAAGATGGGGATGGCTGTTGCAATGATTCGGACAGGTCGGTCATGAGGCACCTCCTGCAAAAAGTAGCCGTGACTCACCTCATAAAATCCGTTATGCAATACATAATACTTACATTATAATAAACGCTCCACGCGGTATGTTACTCCGCATTTTGATTCGACAACTTCTAAATCCTTCATTTGGGAACGTGGTTTCGCCATTGGAAAGGGGGAGGGGAGAGCCACGATCATAAATAAAAGGCATTAGCTTCGGTACTCGCTTTTTCAACAGCTTCATACTTGATGCTCCTTGCCATGGATTCCATGAAGCCGTGATGTCAGATTGCAGTGTACTATTCAGCCACTCAGAGTGACTGCAATGCTTTGCAGCTTTCTCTAACATGTGAACGCCGCTACTGTGAGTTTTTGGTGTGTCAGCTCTCAGCTCTCAAAGACTTGCAAGACAGGGATAATATAAGGATCCGTTCAGAGCACTGGGCTGGATGAGAACATTCGCGCGATACTCCTACATCAAATCATGGTCGAAAGGGAGAACTCTTTGCGGCATGGCAACTGGTGCACCGTCCACTGTTGATCCATTCCCAACCATAAGAAGATCTCATAGAAGGACTATGGATATTTCAAGTTCAACCCATAGATTTTGGATGGTATATGGACGTCGCCGTGTGAGTCGCTATAGCCAGCTAATAATGGCTGGATTATCCCTCGCTCGATCAGTTTCTGCCACTTGCAGGAAGGCAGCTGTTTTGATAGGTGGTCCTTTCAATCTTCGCGGCTACCGTTCTCGTGTGTCGAGGTTTGAGAGCAGGTCCAATAAGATGAAATTCACTGCCTCTTTGCTTTCATTCTTATCCAGCTGCAACCCCTAATTGATAGGCCCGGGAAGCCTACAAAAAGGAACAATGATTTGTTCTATCGCATAACAATGTTTCGGTCGCCTTCTCGGTCAACGGGTTACGAAGTCGTATGTCGGACGCTGTCAGTTATCCGATGGATGAGGAGCAGATTTCATGTCTCCAATCCTCCAGTGCAGCATTGGGTGTATCCTAATGCAAGATTCGATATTCAGTCAAGGCCCATTGTATGCTAGGAATACCTTCTTGCGAGAGAGGGATTTCATTTGGAGTGGCCCTTTGAGCAAAGAGTTTTTGGCCTAGAGAGCGATAAGAAGCATTATTCGCAGTGGACAAAAAAACGAAAAAAATCCGTATTATATCTGCAGCCAAGTTGGATAGTTGGCGTCTCGCAAATCCACGGGGAAACATACAGAGAGAAGAAAGGGAGGGAGGGACAGAGCTGTCTCCCAAAGGCAATACTAACAATTTGCTTCGGGTGAAACGGAAAATCCGGAATATTGGGCATAACATCGGTAACCTTTACGTTCGGCTCCGAGATAGGTTCAGGGGGGCATACAGCAGGCGGAAAATAGTGCAAACCACATCGACAGGATGTGATTCTCAACGCCAAGCCATAATTATGGTCTTCCGCTTGGGTTACATTGCAAATACGATATTGACTTCCTACCCTTAGCATTGAAACAATAAAAGCCCCAAGCTTGGATCACAGAACAGAATAAGAAAGTGCCGTAGGAAGAGTAAGCACTTGGCTGGATTGAGACGCCCAGTGCCCAAAGCGCGATAGAGTTGAAACTAACCGGCCAGATGCCAAGCAAACAGACTGCACCTCCTCATTTCGCCAGACCCAGTCGGCGACCAAGTTCCATTCGGAGCCTTTGCGCCGTTCCACTCTGAACCAATTCAGAGCTGCTAGTGGTCCAAGTCGGTCATGTTCACGTAGTTAGGCCTAATGTCCGCCATGACCGAGTTGATCCACCTATATTTGGTTTGTTGGTCGTGCACCTTGGTTTGTTGGTCGCCGCGGACATCATCGCACCACTTCTTACCAACAACCAACCATTTATGGTTGAAGTATTTATTGAGACGAGAAATCCAACGTAATACTGTGGGTGTAAATCATTATCAGGTTGCCAATGATGTTGCATGGACGCTCAATCCTACGTAGCTGCTGGTCGCCAACTGCCGGCCAACGGCAAACCCCGGGCGGCCTGCATGAGGTGCATTGTCAGGCACAAGAATGCGTCCCTGAACGCACTCCCACTGTCCCAATTTTAGTTTCAAATAACAGATTGGTTGGTAGCCACGCATATTCAACACAACACTGACGTTGAAAGCTTAGCCAACCCCATCCAACGGATGAATTGCTAGCCAAGCGCCGAGCATGAAGAGGAACGCCTCTTCTCTTTGTTATCTTTGTTTGCTCTGCTTACCATTCTCGATCTCCACCCACCGCTGGCTTGCAGGGGCTTCCCCTGTTGAATTTCATTTGTCCATCTGCCGGTGGAGGGCCGTGTCCACTCCTCGCCGTAGCCTCCGCCCGTAAATTAATTTTCTGTTCTGGGTTCTCGGTTCATGAGTACGTAGGCAGAAGAGACTGGTGCGGGGCATCAACCAGGGCCTGGTCAAAGGGCTCTATTCTTCGTACACAGTATCAAGAAACTGTATCTAGAAATCTACTGCCTAGATTGCTTGTCGTTTTAATTTTGATAGGACAATCATTCCGAAAAAAGCCCATTTGGAGCAAGATCTCAGATCCAGCTGACAATGAAAAGTTGAGGAGATTAAGTCAACAACGTGTTGGTGAAGCTAACATGCACCAGTCAACTTGTTTTAAATTTTATGGCATACAATATGCATAACAGACAAAATAGACGATATGATTATCTCAAGGATTCACAGTGACATAGAATTTTTATTTAATGAAAATAAGGGTAGATTGCTTGAAATGGCGCCAACGTGGTGGAGGTATAGGGTAGTAGAGATTAGCAGCTTCGGCATTGAACCGATTCCACACTCCGTTCATCGTGAACGATTTCTGGTTTGATCTATTTTTAAAGAAAAGACCAGTCCTATCACAAGCGAGAGAGAATTGCCGATCAGAACTGCTGCTAGCAGTGTCCTCGCTAATTGTTTCATTGTGCCTGGGTTCGGCGCCGAATCGGGCACACGACCCGCCAACAGCCGAGTGCTGCGACGAGACACCACTCACGCACCGCTCAGGCTGGCCATTCAACCAAGATGAGTTGATTGCTATTTTGGAAAGTGGAAAGGGCCGCGTCTAGGTCCAGTTGGTCAAGGCCAAGAAAAGCCAAAAGTTCGCGATAGCGCTGCATCTACCAGGATACCTACAGAATATTGGACTGCTGCTGTTTTATTAATAGATCCCGACGCAGGCGTATCGAATGCCGTTACATCCATTCTGGGGTTTAATTACTAACCACGCGACCAACTGCCGATTGCTCTCGTGCGACCCGCCAAGAGACCACAGAGCGCTCAGCTGTGGGACACTTCTTACTCATAGCTCAACAAGGCTCGCCGTATCGAGGCCTGGGTTGGCATAGTGCCGTTAGCTCGAAACGATGAGGGTGCGCAACCCCTGCATTAGCTGGAGCAATATTGGGAACAGACTCTCGACCAACAGCAAAACATCCTCTAGGTGACTGGGGGATCTGCCACGCGGCCTCTGCCTTGGAGCAGCTTCCTGGTTTTCGCAATTAACGGACCGCCTAATCCTGTGAGCACTAGTCGATTCCCTGAATCGTGGGTTCGCAGGCTTGTCATGACTGTCCACCCCAATGGCGGCCGGCTAAAGACGCGTAGCCGCCAAGCGTCAGTCTCTCCAGTCAGCCCCGGGGCTCAGTGGACCCGAACATAACATGAAATTGAAAAATGAGGGCAAAATGAGGATTGCCTTCCTTGGCTAGGGGGAACTGCGAGATGGGATGCCGATATCACTCGAGATACGTAGGAGCTAGGACGCCCGTACCTGCAGGTCTGGCCTTGTCAATACCGGCATTGAGGGCTGGGGATGGAATCCGTTTCTAAATTTACGACATTTTTCGAGATCAAAGATATTTGGCGTTGCAAGAGTAAATCGGACTGAAATGTATAAAGTTGTACACCTCTGCCTCCAGAGTTCGACCTTTTACCCCATCATCAAACAAACACATCAACAACACAGAGACTCAACAATCATCTGATAGAAGCCGGCCTTCTTCCTCTCTCTACTTTTCCTTTATCTTTCCTTGTGTCTTTTTTCGATTCACATTCAAAATGGTCGCCATCAAGAAGTTTGGCGTCGCCCTCTTCCTATGGCTGGGACTTGCCAGCCAGGGACTTGCTATGGGGGCCAACGATGCCACCACCGATCTCATGCTTGAGGAAAGGGGAGGCTCACATCTTGCCCCGCCTCCCATCACGCACGGCAGTACCACTGGCATGGGGAAGACCAAGCTTCCTCCTCACAAGCGTGGAGGATCACATCTCGCCCCGCCTCCCATTACACATGGCAGTACCACCGGCATGGGCAAGACCAAGCTTCCTCCTCACAAGCGTGGAGGGTCACATCTCGCCCCGCCTCCCATTACACATGGCAGTACCACCGGTATGGGCAAGACCAAGCTGCCTCCTCACAAGCGCGGCGGTCTCGGAGTTCCTACTGTGAAGCACGGCAGTACCACCGGTATGGGTAAGACCAAGCTTCCCCCTCACAAGCGCAGCGGTCTAGGAGTTCCTACCGTCAAGCACGGTTCTACTACTGGCATGGGCAAGACCAAGCTTCCCCCTCACAAGCGCAGCGGTCTAGGAGTTCCTACTGTTAAGCACGGCTCTACTACTGGTATGGGCAAGACCAAGCTCCCTCCTCACAAGCGCGGCGGCCTTGGAGTTCCCACTGTTAAGCACGGTAGCACTACTGGCATGGGCAAGACGAAGCTTCCTCCTCACAAGCGAGGTGGTCTCGGAGTCCCTACCGTCAAGCATGGTAGCACTACCGGCATGGGCAAGACCAAGCTCCCCCCTCACAAGCGAGGTGGTCTCGGAGTCCCTACTGTCAAGCATGGCAGCACCACTGGCATGGGTAAGACCAAGCTTCCTCCTCACAAGCGCGGCGGCGGCGGTCTTGCTCCTCCTGTTATCAAGGTTGGTAGCACCACCGGCATGGGCAAGACTAAGCTTCCCCCTCACAAGCGCGGTGGTCTCGGAGTCCCTACCGTCAAGCACGGTTCTACTACTGGCATGGGCAAGACCAAGCTCCCCCCTCACAAGCGAGGTGGTCTCGGAGTCCCTACTGTCAAGTATGGTAGCACCACCGGCATGGGCAAGACTAAGCTGCCTGGCCGAAAGTAAGATGGCCTCGCGATCCGCGAAAGACGCAGCAGCTGCGCCCGCCTTGGCGAAACTGCTCCGTCGCCTGTGCTTCTTGGTGGTTTGTTGGACTCTTGCGAATATAAAGCAAGCGACAAGGATGCATAACTGCACTTCAGCCGTATATATTTTGAAAAGGGGGGGATTCAATTAGAGGAGGATAGCGATCGAATTATCTTTTTTTTCTCCCGTTGGGATTGATTTTATTCTTGGTTGTATTTATTAGAACGAGCGTGAATACACTTTTGTATTTTCTTCATTTGCCATTAATGTCCTTGTCTTTCCCAATAAGTCTCTTAAGTCCTCCGTCCCGGCTTATGTGGATGGTGTAATCGAGCCCTATTGAATGTCACTTTTTCATGGGAGGGAACCTTCTCTTTCTTAGTGTCTGCCTTGGGTACCTGCCCCTTTATGATTGGACTCGATCCTTTTTATGCCAGGTGACATATTAACCTATCACTTACCCTCGAAGATAGCCTTCGTCTAGGTGACTAGCATAAAGCTGATAAGGGCAAGTTGAGTTGAAAGTCAGGCAGATGGAAAAAGTGTACATTCGCATAAAGGCGTCACAGCTTCCACCAAGCTCCGGAGCATGGGTTCTCGTGAATACATCCTCAATAACCAGTGTCCGTCCAAAAGACCGACGACCGCCTTTTCAAAAAGACAATCAGCGGGATAGTTGAACATATCTTTCAGGTGTAGACCAAAACCAAATTATTGAGCGAAGGCGGTTCTGACTGTGATTTATGATGTCAGGGGTTCGATAGGTAGCAATCCTTTTCTTTTCATTATCTGTTTGTATATTATTGTGGTAAATTTTTGCACAAATAAATGGTTATTTAATTAGTTCCATCTCTTGGGAATAAAATACAGCATGATTGGCGAAGGAAAGCCGGAAATGCTGTCTTGAAACTCTTGTATTTCCCCTCACACCAACATATTCGACTACGGAATGAGTTCGGGGAGGTAGTGTAGTATTATTGAATACTAACCACCTGATCTTGGAGATCGCCAAAAGTTGTTTCTACCAATCCGGTCTACTCTCGGTGTATATCATGGCGAGGAGAACGATGGTTCCCCTCGTGACAATATGCTCCGTACCCAAAATTCGCACCTGTCTCTCCAGAGCATTGAAGCATACCTGCTTGGCTTCCTCTACCTGTTCCAGCATGAGGTAGGAGTATGCCACTTGATACATGCTTTCGAGAGTATCGGGGTGTTCTTTTCCCAAACCATCCTCTTGATCCTGCAACGCTTCTCGTCCCAATTTGAGGGCCATTTCGCAATCTCCTTTTGAGCGAAGCGTTTGCCCTAAATGGGCCACGGTGCGCAAAGTTTTTGGATCTTTGGCTCCAAGTTCCCTTTCTCTCTTTGCAAGAAGCCGCCTGTCGAGGACTTCTGCTTCTTCGAACCTGTCCAGGAAAAACAGGGTGCACGCTAAAGACTCCACAGGATCGAGGGACCCTGTGCATTTATCTCCTTGGATCTCTTCGTTGATGCTGATGACCGCACGGAGTGACTCCTCGGCGGCAACGTAGTTCTTTTGCCTGTACTGTGCATCTGATAAAGCTAAAAGGCTCTGAAGTGTCTCCGGATGATCCTCCCCCAAAGTGTTACTCTGGGACGTATATACCTGCCTGTATATATTCTCAGCTTCTAGCGGGTCGAGATTCGTCAGTACAGTACTTAAATTTTTCATAGTGATCAAGGTGTCTGCGTGATCCTCCCCACGCAGCCTTTTCCAAGCTTCGATATCAAATGCCCATAAGACCTTGGCGAGGCCAAAATGGCCTTGTGCATGTAGAGCACAAGCCAGGCTGCCCGACACTCCAATGATACTATAGGTTTCTTTCCCAAGCAATTTTTCTCTCATCAGACGCAGATGTCTGAGTCTATCGTAGAGTTGATTTTGGTCGAAACAAGCATTGCCCAGTCTTCTCTCTGAAGACGTGTCACCGAGCAGTGACTCCATCTTTTTCTCGTAGACTTCCATCCATATCTCCACGGCAGGGGCGTAATCTTTCTGTTCGTAAAGCGCGTTTGCCAGCCAATCAAGGCTATGCAGCGTTTTCTCGTGATCAGGCCCCAGCATTTCACGTCTGCCCGATGCCGATTTCCGGTAGGCAGCCTCAGCCTTTGCGTAATCAACGAGATGGCGAGAATATATCTTGCCGATGATATCTGATATCTCAAACTTTAGTGCCGTGTCGAGGTGTTCTACATTCTCAAGGGCGGCCTCGTACGCAGCCAAAGCCTGTCGTGGCTTTTTGAAATCCAGGTAAAAGCCGCCGACGAGCATCAGGAAGACGGCCGGGAGTCTGTGCGCTTGCCTCATTATCAAGAGGAAGAGTGCCTCAAGGGGATCACTCAGCGCCTTTATTCTGATCAATGATCGCATGTTCAGAAGGAGGTCGATCTTGGTTAGTGTCTGCATTTGCTGGTTCTCTTTAAGCAAGTTCATGAGGGCCGAGAGTCTCTCGGCAGCCTCCTTGCTTCCCACCTTGTCGACTGGATCAACCTGCGGGTGCTCTGTTGGTGGCAACTCGCCCGTAACTAGAGTCACTAGTTCCTTGGTCCGCCAGTCTTCAGCCCCGAATCTCTGGATGCACTCTTCGTGGGCAACAGCGAAGAAAGACTTCTGCGGTCCAAGTTCCAGATTTTGGGTCTCGGCCCATTCGAAGAAGTTCGAGAATTCATCATCTAGATCTTCATAATACCCATCTTCTAGGAGGAGTACAAAGTAGTGCTCATACAGAGAAACCATCCCACCCGAATTTACGAGCTGTCGAATTCTCTCCAATCTTCTTTCAGAAATTGGCCCAGAGTTCTTGATGTGATAGACAAAGAACCTTGCAGCATACTTGAAGAACAGCCGTAGGTTCTTGGTCGTGGAACCTTGCGGTGCGTCAGTGTGGCTTATTCCGGCTCCGTCGAGCAGCAGAAAATCGAGACAGGCTGTGGAGAGAAACTCATGAGAACGAACCAGATCAACCCTAAAATTTAGTGCTTGGGGGTGGTTCTCAGTTTCCCACTTGTTGACCGGCCTTTGCAGGAACTCCTTTGCGGTTATGTGCACTAATGTGACCTTTCCATCTAGGATATGAATCAGGCCACCGCATACGCGTGAAAACTTCTCGATCGGGTCGATGAAAACATGATTCCGAATGGATCCTGAGCTGTAATCTCCAGCGGTGGCCCGGGAGGAAAGGGCTTGAAGGCAATGCAGCTCTTCGACCTCTAGCGTCCTCCCTGCTGCTGCTACGAAACCAAGAATATTTTGTGCCAGTCTGATCTCAAAATCATCCAGAGTCTGTACGAGGTGTTGGATGATTTGGTGGTATGCTGCGTGAAGTCCTCTTGGCAAGCATTCCAGTTTTTGGGTCACCTCGGACACGGAGGAGGCCCTCGACAGATCATCGATCATGAGTTTGACCCAGAGAAACATGCCATCGGATCTCTCGAGCAGTGTTTGGGAAATTGAATCCTGTATGCCAAGGCTGTAAAGTCTGGTGTTCGAGCGGAGTTGGGTGGTGATGAATGACTGCAAATCGAGCTTGATAAGCGGGGGGTCCATCTCGATGATGTAGCTGCTGTGGCTTCTTAGTTCCGAAACATGGGCTCTTCCAAGGAGAACAATCTTGGAAGATCGAATAGTGTTGAGAATGCCCATGACGTGTTCAACTAGCTGTTCGGCTGGCTCAGAACACTCATCTACTCCGTCGACAACCAAGAATAAACGATTCGTGCCCAAGGCGAGAATCTTATACAAAAGAGTCCACAGACCATCCATCGAATACCCTTCTTGCATAGTCAATTCATGCACCAGTTCGTACCCACCTATATAGTCAGGCTTGTGAACGAGTTGCGACACCAACGAGCGAACCAGGCTTTGGAGCGTCTGGCGAGGCGCATCCGCCCCGGAGAACGAGAAGTAGATTGTGATGCCATGCTCCTCTTGCACATTGTCCACGATGTAAGACGAAAGGATGGATTTCCCACAGCCACCCTTACCAAGAACGCCGAGCAGTCTGTCCTCGGCCAGGTCGCTCTCGGTCCTGAGCCAGCTATCGTAGTCCTGGCTCGACAGCAGCCACTCGCATGTGCCGGCGACTCTCATCCGGGACCTTGCCTGATGAACACCCAGCATATTGGCCGGGTTCAGCCAAGAGTCGCACTTGGACTTCATGTTCTCGGCGTTCTGCGCCTGCATCTTGGCTCGGAATTCGGCTGCCCGCAAGAGCTCGACGGCGACTGCAGTATCATCGACATTTTTCGTATGCCATTTGAGTCGCTTGCACATCTTTTCGAATTCCGTCTTGAGAGGTGTCAGGATCAATTTTCCAATGCGCACTGCTCATGTTTTGGTTTAGGGGTTTAGCTACATCTCTTTCAAATCATTTCACAGTGAAACGCACCTAAGGTTCTGTGTTTGAAGTACTTGTATGTAGCGGCGCAAAATTCCACGATATCCGTGAATATGTTCAAGAGAGCAATTTGGAGACCTTTGTCTGACTGTAGCTTCTTGTACAGGTCCAGCCGGGGCAGGCTCTCGGTAATGATCTCGATCATGGCAGTGATTTGCTGAGCAACCTGGGCGTGGAAGTTGGACGCCTAAACTTGTCATCAGCCGAAATCCTAAAACTCTCAGAGGTTCACGGGATTCTTCCTACGAGAAGTAAGAGGCTGATGGGCGCCCACACGGGGCAGAGGAGATCAGCCCGAGCCTTCACGGCGCCATCGATCAGTCCGGAAAGACTGTCCAGCCATGTCGTGTGCTTTTGTAGCAGTGCGAGTAATTTGGATGAGGGTTTCTTTTCCAGTTGCTTGTGGCGTCTCTCGATGGACTCTACCAGCTCAGAAACGTTCGTTGCGTTGTTGATGCATTCTTGGAGCAAATCATTGCTCCCGCGGAGTTGAGCAAATGCAGCCGCTGCTCTGCCGATCGCCTGTTGCTCCACATCTGCACTGCTGATAGTACTTTGCGTTGTCATCGGCACAGAAAGGGGCTATCCAGTGCATGTAGCATTGATACCTATGACTGGATCTCGAAGCGGACACAGACGGTCGCAGTTTTGGATGCTCTCGTGGAGCAGATACCTTTGGGCATCATGGCTATGCCTTATCTAAAGGCGGGGATTGGAGGCACGGCACATTCGATTCAGCTGGCCGTAAGCATGCATATTAAGCGCCGTGCACAGCCACCACGCGTTGCCAATAGTTGCCATCGAGAGGGGAGGGCCTACATGGGTACTGCTAATTCACCCAATCATCATTTCTTCGTGAACTTTTGTGCCAATTGTTTGGTATCACAGAAAATGTAGTCAATTGCTAGCAAAACCTATAAGCTTGATGAGCTTTCATCCATGCGACTACCTCGTTTGTGCTTTCTCCTGCCATCCTCAACAATCAAGGAAAACACAAAAAGACACAAGACAAGCCAGTAGGAAAGAGTCGATCGTGCTAGATAACAGTAGACACGAATCATAAAAGAGAATGAGTTAACTGTTTCAAACATGTGCTACAGACGCTCTACTTGCCTCTTCCTTATTCTCTCTAGTCGCATAGCCTTGAGTGGCCCTTGCAAAGCGGAAAAGACAGTAATGCAACCAAACTTGAGCAGTTTGTCTCTGTTGTATTCCTCCCATTTTCATTCTTTCTCGCCACGTGTCCGACGTTGTCCCTACGCACATTTAAGATGTAGCTAATGCCGATCCCTCAGGCAGGCCTTCAAAGTAGGGGTGATTGACGGCGGCCTTGGCGGAGATGCGGCCCGCAGGATCGTAGACGAGCATGTTCTCGAGCAGATCGAGACCCGTTTGATCAAGGTTGGTGCAGATCTCAACTGAGGAGTTTCTAACCCACTTGGGGAACGAGGCCTTGAAGTCGGGATACGTCGTGACACCGGGCCAGTCCTCCTCTGAAGGGGTTCCTAGGGTTCTGTAACAGACTTAGTTAAATGGCTATTCATCTGTCAAGGGTGGACGACGTACTGGAAGATCTTGAAGATCTCGTCAATCTCGGAGTCACCGGGGAACAGGGGCTTTCGCGTGCACATCTCAGCAAAGATGCAGCCCACGGACCACATGTCCACACCGGTAGAGTACTGCCTGCCACCGAGCAGGATCTCGGGGGCGCGATACCAGAGCGTCACGACCTCGTGGGTGTACGTGCGCAGTGGGACGCCAAAGGCGCGGGCGAGACCAAAGTCAGCGAGCTTGAGGTTGCCGTTCCTATCGATGAGCAAATTCTGAGGCTTGAGATCGCGGTGCAGCACGCGGTGAGAGTGGCAGTAGCGGACGCCCTCGCACAGATGGAGCATGAGCCGCTTGATGACGATGTCGCCGAGGCCGAGACGGGCGAGCTGTGTCGAGCAGCCCTCGGGCAGGGCCTTGCCACGACCGCCGTCGCTCACGGGCAGGGCCTCCATGTACTTCTTGAGATCAAGATCAATGAACTCGCACACGAGGTAGAGCTTGTGGCCGTCGGCGTGGACGATGTTGTGGAGGCGCATGATGTTGGGATGCTTCATTTCCTTGAGAAGCGAAATCTCGCGGATGGCCGTGCTGGGCACACCCTCATCTTCGGCCTCGAGGCGGATCTTCTTCAAGGCGACCAGGCGGCCGCCATGGGCGAGATCGCGGGCCTTGTAGACCACACCATAGGTTCCTGTGACGGAGGTTAGGCTGGGGGGTACCTTGGGCGGCTGGGAAACTCACCCTCGCCGAGCTTTTCTAGCTTCTGATAGTTATCCATGATTGAACCCTCTATGTTCTTCTTGACAGCAAACAGGCCCGCCTGTTTGAGATGACCACGGCGCTGCAGGTGCTTACGCGGGGTGAGGCGGCGAGGTGATTCACCAGGGGCAAATGTGAGAAAAATCACCAACGGGCAGTCAATGAAGAAATGGAGGAAATGAAGAGTGCTCCCTCTCCAACTCGACGCAATCAATCTCCTTTTTCCGTAACGCCTCGTCCTGCGGTCGCTGAGACGATGTTGCTTGACGTGGTGCCTCCCTTTGTTTGTGCCACTGTCGTCTGTTTACGTGTGACGGGACGTGGCAAAACACTTCACTGGTGCTTATCGAAGCTTTGGCCGCTATCGGGGCAGCTGTCCCTCGTTGAAAGCGACTAGTTTATTGCATATTATGGCTAAAAGGGTAGGCCAATCACTGCAATTATGGCTTTATGCCGACTTTTGACTCAACTCATTCTGGTGCTGACTGACGCTCGAGCTTTTTTACGCGTTTTGGCGGGGCCTATCGATAAGCCTGTTGGACTGGCGACCGAGCAGATCCATAAGAGACGTTTCCAGCCTCATGAGAGGCATCAACGGTTGATATAGAATATTTAAAAAAAAAAAAAAAAAAGTAGGATAAATCCCTTGCGTGTTTTTTGAATGCAAAATAGATAGTCAATATTAGATCAATCCGAAAATGAAAACCTACGGCTAATTGGTGCGCGTACAGAGCTGGAGATACACCTGCCACTCCGATATTAATATGGGAATACATCCAGATTACATTTCAATCGTATGATTCAACGTATATCGAATTTCGAAATTCATTACGATCGAGATCCACATGCCCGTGGATCTCCCTTCGGGTCCAGAAGTTGTTGTGAAGGCTGTCTGTGATATCGCCCGAGGCAAGGCATCCGTCGTCAACCCAATGTAATAAGACATGAGCATTGAAAACGGCGTTAGCTCTCTTGGTATTGAGTTCGAAGCATTATTATTTCATTCTGTGCTCGTTCCTTCTGTTACTTTTTCTCCCGTGGGTCTCGACCTTCACCCGTAAATCCGTGTTACAACGTCTCAATATGGTCCCTTTCCCATAATACCTCATGATTATAGCATGTAATATCAATTATGATGTGTTCCATAGGTAGGTGGTAGTTTAAAGTCCGGAAATTGCCAGGTAAGGAAGCTTGTTTTCAGGGGCGATTGCGTATGCCCTGTTTCAAGCCCAAACCCCTGATCCGGTGCCCGTTTATTATAACAATCGCCTTCTGCATTCGCTTCTTTGAGGTTACAAACATATGATTTATTTTATTCCCCGACCTCACCTCATAGACTGTTGTGAAAATGTCGTCGATCAGCGTGGCAACCTTACTCTTTAACAATTCGGAGTTCAACTTCGAGAACAGCATCATTCGACCAAACGGCAACCTTCTTGTCACCACCATAACCAGCGGGATTCTTCTAGATATCGATATTCAATCAGAAAGCTCATCTAGCACAGTCGTGGCCACATTTGGAGACTATGGTATCTTGGGCATTGACTCCGTCGGCCAAGATAAGTATGCAATCGCAGCTGGTATCCCAAGCTCAGGCCTCTCTCCTTGGAGCAACGGAACCGTGTATACCATCGATTTGAGCAACGAGCAGAGTCCAGAAATTAAAATCGCCGCCAGCATCGAGGCTAACCTCCCAGATGGCTTGGTGACTGTCCCCACTCACCCTGATATTGTCCTTGTCTCTGATGCCCTCGCTGGGACGGTCATTAGAGTGAACATTACCAGCGGAGAGTCAGAAATCACGCTGCAAGATGATCTTCTAGTTGGAAATCCCGGTGTGAACGGGCTCAAGATTCTCGATAACTATGTGTACTTTGTCAACACGGACACTAGTTACTATGGGAAATTCGCCATTTCTGAAGACGGTCAGAAGTCTGGGGACATCCAGGTCATCTCCACCGATGCCAGTTCGGACGACTTTGCTCTTGACAAACATGGAATCGCATATATAGGGCCGCAACGGAACCCCAGCGTGGTCAGAGTGTTTCCCAATGGCACCGCGACCCAGATTGCGCAGAATGCAGAAATGGGGCGGCCGTGCTCATTGACCCTGGCGGGAGACGGGGTATCAGGATACGTGACAACCGCCGAAGGCCAGATTTTCAAGTTTGAGGTTCCTGCTTAGAGCTGAGAAAGCTGCTACTGGCTCGCAATTCGTTTGCCTATTTTGGCCATCGCCGATGTGAATACGATGTTGGTAGATGGAACTACGTATTCAATTAATGAAGGTATTGCCTGTTGATCGCGACATAGTATATATTACGCACTGAGAAAATGAGCATACGTTGAGAATTTATTCGGTACTTTATCTTTCATGTGGAATATTTCATTGTCCCTGTTGGTTGGAATTCGGGAAGGTTGTTGGAGAGCCTGCGAACATGGGTTGGAGTCTGCATGAAGCTGCTTCGAGGTTGGAATTGTATGTTCTTGCACAGCACTTCCCGATTGTATTGTTTTTGATTGGAAGTTCTTGTCCTTATCTTGTCTGGTTGCTTAGCTTTACGCAAATTATTATAGAGTCATGAAACTCTACTTAATTGCAACTAGGTACACAGCCACTCAGTTGAAGTCACCACACGGGAATAAGCCGCAGCCAGCGATGCAGAAGAAGCGGTCAAAGTATTTGCTTACAAAACAGGTGTTAAGTATATTCTTAATGGTGCCCTGCTCGAATGCTGATATTAAAGCTATTGGAGAAGACATTTCCACAACTTAAAGGAACATATTTCGTGACAGGGCGCACTATAGGGGAGCACAGTCCTAGCAAGAGCTTGGCTGCCTGGAGGTGGATCGGGCCGCATTAGATCGTTTCATTTTTGGGCCTCCTCGCGCGTCTTTCTCACGTCAGCCCAACACACAGCCACGCCACATGTTAGTTATATGCGGCCACAGACTCCCAATCATACTATCGTTCGCTGACCTCAAAGTAGACGAGCAACCCGACTTCAGAATCCTCCCCGCACATGAATCACAACAGGGTGCCACGAACCACGGGATAGCTTTTTGGGCATAAACGATGTCACGGCCTGAGATGTACACCTACTCGCCTGTGACGGACTCGGAAATCCGTCTGGTAACTTTCACCCAGGCCAAAAAAGGCGAGCTGGAAGCGAGCATACAGCACGTAACACTGAACTCAGACGATCCGATCAAATACACGGCGCTGTCTTACTGCTGGGGAGATCCCTCCACCCTGGTCGACGTTCCATGCGATGGAAAGGTGCTGAGTATCACCACCTCACTCCACGAGGCACTGTGCGAGATTGTTGAAGTTAGTCCTCACAAGACTTTGTGGATAGATCAAATATGCATCGACCAGGAGGATCTCTTCGACAAGTCGAGGCAAGTCAGTAAGATGAATGTAATATATGACAGTACGTCCATTTCCCATCCTAACATACATCAGATCTGTATGCTCACAGTGAATAGAAGCTGAAACGGTCCTCGTTTGGTTGGGACCGGAAACTGCATCTGCCTCGAGAGCCGTTGATTTCGTCAAGAAGGTTGGAGAAATCGCTCTCCCCACTGCTACGGACATGTTCCGATGGGACCACTATGTTGATGACGAGGAACACGAAGCTACGAAGCTCGAGAGGGCTGAGAAATACACAGTGGAGAAATCCAATGAGCTGGGCATCTCTTTCGATGATTTGGAGTCCTGGGATGCCTTCTCCGAGTTTTTTGACAAACCCTGGTATCAACGAATGTGGACCGTGCAGGAGATCATCCAAGCGCGCAAGGCCGTTGTCGTGTACGGCTCGTACACTCTGCAATGGGAGCTCGTGAGTGCCGCTGCCAAGTGGTTCGTCCACAAGGCGGAGGTCATACACAGCCGGAACAGCCGCGGCGTGGACGGCATGTGGCTGGTCAACCAGATGGTGTCTATCCCATGGCGCGCCAAGATGGGAAGCGAATACCACCCGCAACTTCTCGGGCAGAAGATGAGGCCTACATGCAAATGGGGCCTGCGTGATCTTCTTGAGGAGTTGCGGCCGCGCCTGAGTTCTGATCCCCGAGACAAGGTGTATTCTGTGGTTGGCATCTCTGAGCTGGATGGCATTTTCGGAGACGACCAGAAGATTGCCGTAGACTACTCCCTATCTGTCAAGGATGTATTCACGAATGCGGCCGACATGATTTTCAGAACAGATTTTGCGGATGGTGTTGATCTTATATGGTCAGCAAGACAGCCAAGCAACGAGCCAGGCTGGCCGAGCTGGGTCCCAGATTGGAGGCAAAAAACTGGACAAGGCTGCGAGTGGGAGATCGGGAAACCATTCAAGATAAATTCTGATAGGAATGGTAGATATAAGTATATTCCCACGAGCGATCCATATGCCCTGGCTGTACAGGGCAAGATCATCGGGAAGGTAACCTATAGGAGTCGGTATTGTCATTTTGGCGAATTGTTCCAGTCCAGTGGGCTCCGCGAAGTCTACCAGGACTGCATGGAAAGACTGCATACCTACCCGACGGGCGAAGACGTCAGGGAAGCCTTTGGGCTTACGATATTAGGTGGCCTTTTGAGCAATCGTTTGAAAGAGAAAGAAATCTCAATGGAGAGATACATTGAGACATATATGGACTTCTTCGACGTCACGCAAATGTCGCAGGCTACTCCTGAGGATAAAGCTATGCGTGAACAGGCTCTCGAAAAGTTCTACGCACTAGGATATAACGCCGAATGGTTGATGAAGATTCTAGACACTTATTGCGAGCGGAGGTTCTTCCTCACAGACACCGGCTACATGGGTTTGGCCAACCACAAGGTGATAGAGGGCGACGTAATCGCTATCCTCTTTGGTTTTCGCTGGCCTTGCGTTCTGCGTCCAAAAGCCGACAACAATGGCAAAGACTTTGAGTTTATCGGGTGAGTGCTCTACACTATTCCATCAGAATGTAGCTTATACGATTTCTGCAGTGAGGCATACGCACATGGCATGATGGACGGTCAAGGGGTCCAAAACTTACCGATAGATGAGTCCATCGAGGGTCATGAATATTATGTTGGCGAACAATTCCTTTTAAAGTAGGATAGCTATTCTGTCTGTCCCGCATTCTGGAAAGATCATGATAGCGTGCAATGTTCACCGAGCTCATAACTATAGCACATGGCTGCTGATATTACTAGATGCTCCTGTTTTTTGTCGCTCAATTTCCATGTCCCAGGTACTCTTCTGAGTGATGTTTCTTCACCACCATTTGCACATATTCCTCCCCTACGAATTCAGTAGGCTCGCCGTCTTTGATGACGAGTTTGACAGAAGCTTCCTTTGCTCGCTTGTTCAATTCCTCTAAAGTGCGTGCACCTTTGAAAACACTCGAAACTTGACTTCCCTTTGACATGGCCGCCATTTCGCTTGACTTCCACACTGGAATTCTTCCCCCTGTTGGAAACTTGTACAGCAGAGTTAAAATGAGGAAGAGGGCCGCAGAAACCTCGACAGTAGCATGAAGCACAACCCAAACCCACCGAATCTTGTAAACAGTGACATAGTGGAGAACTTTGCCCTCATCAGTGGATTGCATGCTATCTCCAGCGCGAATCGTATTGCTCATGCTCATGGCGAGGTTCTCAAAGGTCTCTGGAATGTCGTTAGAGTCCCAGAGAATTTGCGCTACTTCGGGATCGTATCTCAGGTTTGTTGTTCGATACTGATCACTGAGATAACCTGTCGGCGCGCCCCGATCCTCCGCTACGGCCGAGCAATTTTTTCTCTCGTCTGGATTGCAGGTTGAGAAGACGCTTTGAGCGATATAATTGACAACCTCAACAGCTGTTTGGGTAATATTCCAACCCTCATCTTTCGTAAAATCCTTCGAGAGCTGTAGATCGGATCGAGCGTACCAGGAATAGTTTCTATGGAAAGCCAAGCTCTCCTGTTGCTCTGCTGGCAAAGGCGGTGGAGCAAATTCTGACCCAACCATGTTGGCTTCATCATCCTGCTTCCATGAATTTGGGTTCCGTTTATAATCTTCATTGACCACGGAAGATGTGGCCATCAATGTACCGTTACGGGCCTCAAAGGAGTAATCCTTTGCACAGTAGTAGAGGGCACACTCCGTTGCTTCGGCCTTTGGCTCGGTCCAACTCTCGTTCTTCGTAAGGTATCCAGTTTCGTTGTTCATCTTGATTACGCTTTGCGACCAGATAAGAGTGTCGATGTCTTGCATGGCAACTGTTTTGCTCGAGTTTGATGTCCCAAGCATTGTCATGAGAATCCTCTGTCGTTTCTGCGGATTATGCAGATTGTCCAAAAACAGCCCGTTCGGGAGTTTAAATTCAGTCGCGGTTCCAACCTCCTGCCATGTAATCCCGTTTGGTAGGGCGACAGAAAACACAGTGCTGTTTTCTTTATTGCGCCTTTCCAGAGAGGATTCGAGGTTGACACACTTGCTGCATACAGCCAGAGAAGTCACCTCGGGGAATTCGCAATGGCTACCGGGACAGTCATAGTCGGACTGTTGCAAAATGAGTTTTGTTTTGCCGGTCAGGCCATACATTACGGCGGCCTGCATTCCGAAGTTGACTGGTGTCGTAGTGACAGCAACATAGCTCTCAGCTTCATCCTCCATAAGATTGAGTTCCATAGACTTTGCATAGGACAAATCATAGTGTTGAGCTCGTGCAAATCTTCCACCATCTTCCACCGCCTGTCTTTGCTCAATTTGTATGAGTTGCTGGGCGAACGGTCCTAGGCCTATAGCTAATATGGTAATCGATGCGCCTGCGCGGACAATAGCTCTAGGAAGGTTTTTTGTCAGCCATCGTCTCTCCTTCCACCGTCTAGATCGGGTCCTCCATCTCTCTCACCCTCCCTTGAAGCTTCTGCTGATGAGCAGTCGCAAACTGCCTAGAGGCCCACGGCTTGCGTCGGCCACTATCTCAAAATCATACAGGCGACGCGGTGCTCCGGAGAAAAGGGACCAGTTGGCCTGGCTAATGCAGTTTGCGACTAATGTCAACAGCGAGGCCTTGGACCCGAGTGCCAGGATCGACACGACAGTATTGAGGGTAACAAGCGGGCCATCAAATATCTCCTTCCCGTCAAAGGAGACGAGGATAGCAATCATGGCAACAAACTGTGCTATTGACGCGACGAGGGAAGCAATTTCCCAGGTCCACAGCCCGACGGACCAGGTTGTTGGTGACCCCATGCTCACTCCCAACTCACGTCTTGAGAACGAGATCTCAAGGTGAACGAGATAGTTTGATGGATTGAGAAGAAAGAAGAGGGGGCATTATTAGCTTCTATTTTCCCTGGCTCATTTATTAATCACGTCCAAATTAATATGGAGCACATTTGCCGTTTCTCTTCAAGCGAGCGTTTCAGTAAGCAGAAGGCGGAGTTTCCAGCATTGAAGGAGTCCGATCCCTGAAGCCTTGCAGCTTTCTATACGCGCTAATCAACTATGATGTGGAAGATCGTCATTCGCCCTATGCATAACTTTGGCAGTTAGTGTGGCAAATAGTTGTCAGCAATGTCATTCAAGGTCATTCATCAATGCAGACGTGCAGCGATTAGCCCCAGTCTTCCTATGGAACAGTCTCTAAGAACCGAGAAACTGGCCACACAAATATACGAGGTAAATACCGGTAGGGCTGACTATTTTTCCAACACGCTAGCCATGCATCAAGGTCCGTGTTCCCTAACGCCTGCTGAGCACGACAATGTCTTCTATCTTGAAAGTTCCATAGTATACAAAGCTTTGTCTGTTTTCATGATACGTCATCTCATGTTATCCTACATTTCACTTGTTACGTAATAACTAAGAAGGCCAGAATACAATGAGGGCTTGTTTTGTAACACCATCGATGCAGTTTTGGGGTAACACAATCTCTAACGTGTTAGCTTATGCACGATTCAGTGGAACACTCACCGCATTTGTAGGTGTTTATTAGGAACTTAAGTCATGTACCACGTCTTGCAAATTAAGTCAACCGCTGGTCTCTTAATGGGATGCTCTAATCACCAATCTGTTTACCATCAAATCACTGACAATTTGTGTCCACTTGAAAAAATGAGAAGAGGCACAAGAAGCTGGGACAATCTTAGTTGGCCGAAAACACAAACGTGGTCGGTGATTAGAGAATCTTATCAACCCATTCAATTCTTTTTTCACCGCAAATCAGGATCCAGGACAAATAGCCAAGATTATAGCCGTTTCCAAATATCGAAAACTTGAAATTCTTTGTATACCAATTTATTTAGCTTTGATTGAGCAAAGAAGAGGAAACATGCGCAGTGTCTTGCCATATGGGGTTTCAATATTGGCGAATCTCGTGATAAACCCTGGCATATTCTTAAAAGAGCTATACAATAATGTATCTGTTCAAAAAGATGGGATTAGGGTTTCAAGTAAAGATTACTAAGTTGTCTGACCGTAACTATAGTTGGTCTGAGACGAGGCTGGTACTATAGGCTGGCCGAAACATGAGATGAACAAGTTTAGGAACAACAAATTCCAAATTGCACGAATTTCAAGTTACAGACGACCTCTCAAGTGCCGTATAAGTAGGACGGCCTCCTCGAGCTTCCAGGACGAATTTTCTACAATTCAACATCACCACCAAACCCCAAGAGCCGATACCAGAGCCGAAAGCAAAGACAACTCATCACCCATTCTAGAGCAGAGCACCATCGTTCTTCACACTCGACAAGATGACTACCTACCAGGCGACGCGCGTCTATTTCAAGGACGAACGCCATGGCTTCTTCATTATGAACAAAAAGAGCAACGTTTCAGGCGATCTTATTCGAATCATCAACCAGAATGGCACCGAACAACTCAGTATCGAGATTGGGGTCAGACTGAAGGAAGTTGACCCCGGATTCTATCAGACTCAAATTGGCCACGTCAAAGAAACAGACATCCAGGCCGTGGTTGAACTGGCCCGAAACAACCCACCAACCCCCCCGCAAACCTTCCGGGAATGGACCGATGCTTTCATTGAAATGCTGACCAAGGAAGGTTTGCTCAGCAGTTGGGCTCCAGGTACAAACTTCCCGGCTTCTTGGGGCAGAGCTTGAGATACTGCCACACTTTATTTCCATCCACACAGCTTGGAGTTTGCGTTCAATATTCCACGGGGAATTTGCAAGAGTGTTCTGGATTCTGGACTGAATCGCAGCGAAAGGGTGGTTAACGCATCGAAGTCAACTTCGCGGTCATTGGTTTTTCTTCTGTTCAAGAAGGAATAGGTAGATTGAGATTCAATCAAAAGTTTTGGCGACTGAAATTATATCATCGTATGTCAGTGTTGCGTAGTTTATAAATACGACTTGATAAGAGTTTTGTAGTCTCCAGCCATTGCATTATTCCCCAGTCTTCCCAGCGTACTAAGTTTTTCCTTGAGGGGTTGCTTCTCTGTAAGGAGTCAACTCATCGGACGGGATCGGGCAAGACTTGCACAACCTTCGAAAACCTGGGCTCTTATCTTAGCCCAGTCTGGTATTTTTCGAGCCGCTTGACCGTATTTTCGAACGTGCCCTCCAAGAAACGCGTATTGTGGATAGGTATCCGCCGAGGCAGTGACAAACTTGAGATTAAACGGTAAAAAACGCCTCCGAATCACATCCATGAACGTGCATGTATCATCCCCCATAATGAATCCTCCTAATGGAGGTGATGTCCCATATCTACGCGGGAAAAAGGCATATACGGTGGTTATGAGTGTCAAGATTGTGTTTGCTGCAAAGTGTTTTGTGGAAGGCGTCATGAACGAACAGAAGTACTAGGTCACAGGACATCTAATGTCCAATAGTCTAACTGAGTCGAGTACCCCATGCTTCCAAGCCTTATTCTTGACTTTTGGGCGCCTTTGCCGCTAAAGGCTGGTGCATCGGAGGGAGCCAGTCCGCAGGGTTGTTGGCCGCGGACAACCTTGATAAGGCAGTTCAACTTCAACACCATCAACAACAACAGGCGGCCGAATGGTCTAGTGGTAGGATCCACGCTTTGGGATACATTCTTTCAGCGTGAGGCCCGTGTTCAATTCACGGTTTGGCCCTGAAGCTCTCTTTTTGGTTGGTTGGAAGGCTGAGTTCATGCCGTATGAGTCACAACAAAAGGGGCGGATGGAGGCTGACGGGCGAAACCTTAAGACAGTCATTCGCACCCTTGCATGGAAGTCACATGTTCCATTTACATTTAATAATTAGCGATGATCAATCGAATGGGTTCTGTGTGGGAAAAGCAAAAGATTTAAGCGACATGACGAATGTGGCCCTTGTCAGATTTGCTTATGTGGTTCAAAGCGAAAGGGGGCGGCTAAATGAACATAAGACAAGAAAATGAAAGGCCTTTGAGGATTCCTCGTCTCGCTGAGTTTTTTTACCGTAAGAAATGGTGAACAAACAGCCCGGATTACCAAACGATGCAACATTCATCATCGCTTTGTTACTTACACTCACCACGGACGAGCTAAATTCGAGCTCGGCAGTCAACCAAATATCTACGAGTGAATTCTAGAGCATTTCCCAAATCTTCTTATCGGCTAGTAAATATACATAATATTGTCTGATGAAAACCTGGCTGAGAGGCTTCACAAACCGAGACTGTGGCGGCGATGATTATCACGTGATAGTAAACCACCATTACCTTTGCATGATTACAACAAACCGTCGCGCCAAGTAATTAATAACCAGGTTAGCTTTCCCCGATTGGACCCTCAGTCAATTAGTTCACAGCATGTTTCTTTTCTAGCGGGTCTGGGCGTATTCATCGCATTTGCCCCTACACGGGCGGAACTCAGCCTCTCATAAGCCACGACAAACGCACCACGAACAATGGGCGTTCCCTCAACCTGAAAAAGATGTGACAGTTGGTCAGTTTGGATCATGCCCGTACCCTACGTTGCCCCGGCGGTAGCTTTGCTCTCCTCTCCGTCCACCGTCGCATGCGCCATCGTCCTGGCCACAAGCACCCTTGCTTTCCGGCGGCTCAGATCCCCATTTCCAGGGCCTCGTCTCCTCAAGCTCACCAGCATCCCGCTCCAATATCACGAATTAACCGGTTCTCGGGAGGCCTTCGTCGAGGCCCTGCATCAAACGTTCGGGCCTCTAGTGCAAGTCGCTCCACGTCACGTCTCGATCAACGACCTAAACGGACTGAGAGATGTCTCCGTCGTCTCCCAACGTCTGGACCGCCCTGATCCCTTGCCTGCGTTCCACAACTACGGGGAGGAGAATCTTGTGTCTACTGTGCGTGGAGATGTGCATCACGAACGAAGAAAGCCGCTCAGGAGCATGTACTCTGCCAAAGTGGCGGAGTCCAAGGAGGTCACTGACGTCACCATACGCGCTGCACGAGACATGCTGCGATTAGCTTCACAAACAGGGGAGAAGAGCTCTGGTGGTGGTGCGGTGGTGGAGATTCGTGAGCTGCTACGGCCTGCGCTTTATGATGTCATGAGCTTCATTGTGTATGGCCCCAATAGCCGGTTGAACTTGGTGAACGACCAAGCGCAAAGGACAGCGATGGAGGTGGACACCGAGTTTCAGGAGACGCGAATGTCCAGTGCGGCTGGGGCCATGATGTTCTTGCTGCCGAGAATCACGCTCTGGCTTCGGCGATGTGGCCTCGCGCCGAGAAACATGGATGGAACAACACCTTCCAGATTGTTCTCGGACAAGATAGGAAGGGAAGCACTAGAAGGATTGAAACGTACAGGTGAAAATGGCGGAGGGGAGGATGAGTATCAATCACTCATGGGCCGTCTTTACGCCCATTTCCGGGCAAACGGTCCCACGGTGGCTGTACCCTCAGAGGAGTATATCCTGAGTGACTCTCTGGACCAATTTTGGGCCGGGGTGAGCACAACAGCTGATGGTTTAGCGCCTTTGTTACGTCGTCTCTCCCTGCCGGAGAACAGGACTCTTCAACAGCGGCTAAGGGGTGAACTTGGAGCTGCCATCGCTGAGTCTGGAGTTTCCTCAGCGGGAGGTTTGACGGCAGCAAGGCTAAAGCGACTGCCATTGTTGAACGCGGTCATCCGCGAGACACTGAGGGTCCACCCACCAATCCCTTTCAGCATGGAAAGGCAGGTTGTGGATGAGCAAGGCCTCATTGTCCATGGTCAGCTTATCCCAGCTGGGTGGCAGGTCAGCGCTGAGGTGATGGGAATGCAAAGGAAAGAAAGCGTCTTTGATGACGCGCGAAAATGGGTCCCCGATCGTTGGCTAACCACAGAAGATCATGAAAGTCCTACAGGAAGCTCAAAAGGTGTGGTTAGGGATATGAAGGGTCATTTTCTCGCCTTTGGAAGCGGGCCCAGGATGTGCCTTGGGATGAATGTTGCATGGGGCGTTATGAGGGCATTTGTGGCTGTCATATACGGAGAAATGCAGACATCTATTGTCCAAGATCATGTGAAGGGTGTAGATGGTCATAAGAGCGGGGAGAAGGATCCCAAAACTTCTGCAGACGGTGTGGCAGGCTGGCTGGAGGAGAGACAGAAGGCGATATGGATTCATCTTCAAGAAGCAACCGCCAAGCAGTGAGCTGGCACGATGTACACTTTATTCCACTCCTCTTCAGAACTCTCCTTGTCTTGTAACATTCAATTGAAACTAGTGATTCAAATGTCTACAGAGAGAACTTGTCCCCAAAGGGCTACTTCTTGAAGAGGGGAAATGCGTCCTGACTATCCACCATCCAGACATTAAGCTGTTGCCCTATCCTGCTACAGCCTTCCCCTCCACCAAGATCCCTCTCTACAAGATCCCTTTCCTCTCCTGTTCTCCTCTCCCGCTATTAGCACCCACACGAGTTGTCGCGAGGAGTGAATACTTGAACGCCATTATCCGATGTGCTCCGGACCCGTGATCACGGGGAAGGCCATACGGACGGCAATGGAGGAGATCCGATAACTCAACATCAACAATGTATTCCAACAAGTATCAATTCCTTCTCAGACAGGTAGATGATGCACCAACATAAAATCCCACTAGACAGAAATCCCACCTTCTTCATCACTCTCATCCCCCACAAACAGCCAGTCTTCTTTTGACCCGTGCTCACTTAAACCAGGATGACCCGCGTCCGCAGACTTCCCACCGGCGACACCCTCAGCAATAGCCCCATCTGAAACTCCCAACTGGTCTACCTGAAGGATCCTCTGAAGTACACGTTGGCGGATATCAGAATGAACCTTCTCGAGCATTTTATGCTGCAGAAGGAAGTTCTCATCAGGCTTCCCCTCTTGTGCAAGCGAGGGGCTCCAGCTCTGGCACAGCTCCCCGTTCGTATCCGGGCTGACTGACGCAGCTGGGTGGTGCCGGAAGTAAGCCTGCGAGCATAGGCACGACGGCTTGCTGATGCCTATGAAGCTTTCGCCCATGGAATACTTGAGACGGTTCTTGTAGAAATGTTCCAGGATCTGCACCTCGCCGGGAACCCTGGGCACCGCCATGCCCTCCCCGTACTGCTTCTTAATCCTTTCTTCGATGTCCGGATGGTTCTTCTTCAATCGCGAGAACGCAGCCTCGATTTCTCTCCTCAGAGGAGTCGTTTCAATGAGTCGCCTCGCAATCACATCAAAGTTCGTACTGGGATCCAGCTTCGGGGGCGGCACAGGTTCAGGAGCTCTCACCATGCACACATGGAACTTGCTCAGCAAGCTCCTCAGCTTCCCTCCATCTTCGATCAGGTCCTTGCAGGCCTGGAATTGACGAGCTAGGCACCGTATGGAATGTCGCAACTGCACAAAGGGCAGGGTCAGGACTGGCATGTCCGACACCCCGGTGATCGAGCTCAGCTTGTCCATAGCCTCGCATTCTTGGGCCTCGTGTGCGGCACGGCACCAGGTCGCGTTGCTTCTATCGTGGTTTGTCTGGGGGTCAAGCTGGCTGAGCCATTCTGGCAGGTCCTCCACTGCAGGTCTTGCGATTAGCGCCAGTCATGCGTTTCACTCATCACCTCAGGTAGTGGTGAGACCTACGGTCAGGATGGTTGAGCCTCAGGAGCACCGGTTGGCAATCCTTCACGGCCATGGATAGATCCTCCACCTCTAGGCTTAAGCGGCTCTTGGCGATGTTGGCGCAAGCCCCTTGGAACAGATCCTCTCCGTGGCTCAGCAGACGTTCCGGGAGCCCAAGGACGCGCTTCAGAAGGGATAGGATGAAGTTGAGGCTGCGGAGGGCATTTTCCCTCGGTTCAGTATCGGCTGCAATCCAGAAACGAGACAGGCCATCAACACTTTCAATCGCTATGGAGATCTTGAACGCGTTGTCCCTCCGATGGTCACAGAGAAAGGCAAGGTTGTTCAGGAACCGGCGCTGGGTGTTCACCTCGCTGGACGCATCAGATGCGAGCCGCGACCGCTTGGCGAGAGATCTTTGGCCCAGCGCCGCGGACAGCTTCATGGTTTCATAGAATTGGTCAAGGCGTGTCTGGTAGGAATCCTTGCCTGGAGGTTCCGCGGACATGATGGCACAGGTACGAGAGATCAAGCGAGGTATCTGTTATTATCAAAGGAGTATGTGTGCAGCGTCTGACTCAAGGCAAGAGTTCGCCTTGGGGGGATTCTACGCGAGCATAAATGGGCTTCGCCCGATAGATATTGGGCAAGCTTAGGCACACCTGCTCACTGACATGCAGAATGCCAGATGCCACCTAAGTGTCGAAGGTCGCCTCACTGTCAGATCCCCGCAGAGTCATCAAGAGTTTATCCCTTTCCATTGGCTGGATGATCTCATAGAGGAGGGAGGATGGCCTCCCGCATGAGACGAGCCTATCATGGAGCGGCATCAAGTGCACTTTCGGTACGGTATGCCATTTCGGTGTTCTATGTACCGCTTCTCAAAACGTGAGAACTGATGCAACTCGCGCTCCTCCGCGGGGTTATGACGATACATTGCACTTTGTGAGCGTACATAATACCGAATTGGCAGAGAATCAAATGGCAGGCGAACCACATGCCATAGAACACGCATTGAAGGTCTTGGTATGCGCATAGCCACAGTATGATGTAACCCTGGCTCTCAGTGAGGGACACCCAAAGTTCTTTCGGTAGCACAGAATCTCAGGCGATCTATCGTGGTTTCAGTGCCACCTCTCGCTGAGGGACATTCGCTGAGGGACATTCTCAGGGCTGAACACATCATCGTACATAGTAAACAAAGGCCTTTACGAGAAAATCTCAGAAAATTGATCAAAGAATGGCAGACCGCCATGTGTATTAAAAATCGAATAGATAACAGCAGTAGAAAATTCATATCCCTTATTCCCATGTCCGAATATATCGCTTGATTGCTAAATTTTTGTCCTAAATCGCTTTGCCATTCATACCCAAAATCCCATCTCAAAACCATCTCAAAACCATTCATCATTACCGCATCATTACCTTCAACTCGCATGCTCCTTCTCCTCCTCCTTGGGGATCCTCACCCAGATGATCGTAATCAGCGCCGCGACCAGCTGGCTCGCAAGCGCGAACCACCAAATCGCCCGCAGGCCCGTGAGCCCAATCTCCCCCTCGGGTCCGGCATCGACGCGCCCCCCGATGGCCTCGGCGATGCTGGTGAAGATGGCCGCCGAGAGGTTCTGGTTCGTGACCAGCAGGCTGCCGGCGCTCCCCTGGTAGGACCGGGGGACGTTGCTCGTGATGAAGATGGAGGCGGCCGCGAAGGCCAGGTCCGGGCCGAAGGTCACGAGGGCCACGCCCGGCATGCCGAGGGCCCAGTAGCTGGTGGTTGGCGTCTGCGGGAGGAAGAAGACGGAGCCCATGGTGAAGCAGATCATCGAGGTGGCGTAGATGTAGTGCCCCGGCACGAGGTGCAGGATGCGGCTGACGATCCACGTCGCCAGCACGCCGACGATGGCGTTGGGGAGGAAGTAGAGGGCGACCGTCATGGGGGCGGCGCCCTGGATGCGCAGCCAGAACTGGACGGCGAAGAACTGCCACCCCCCGAAGAAGGTGCCGAAGCCGAGGAAGTAGGCCAGCATGAGCGGCATGAAGCCCTTGACCTGCCAGAGGGTGGTGGGGATCATGGGGCGCTCGACGTAGCGCTCCGCGACGAAGAGGCCGACGATGGCCGCGGCGCCGACGCCGATGAGGGCGAGGGTGTACGGCGCCCAGTGGACGACGGAGCCCTGCGTGAGGCCGAAGAGGAGGCACACGCAGCCGGTGATGGCGAGGGCGGCGCCGACGTAGTCGAACTGGCGCATGGAGACGGCCTTCTGGCCCGGCTTGTCGGCCACGGGCTGGAGGTCCGGGATGGAGAGGTAGGCGGCCAGGCAGAAGGCGCCGGAGATGATGGCGTTGCTGCCGTACACCCACTTGAGGTGGTCCGCGAGCCCGCCGCCCTGGAGGAGGCCGAGCCAGAAGCCAAAGGGGGCGCAGGCGGCCATGGCGGAGAAGACGCGGTTCTTGCGCAGGCCGGGCTTGTAGACGCGGCCGAGGATGCTGATGGATCCTGAGACGAGGACGCCGACGAAGAGGCCCTGGAGGGCGCGGACGACGAAGAAGAGGATCTTCAGGTCGGGGGTGATGGAGAAGACGCCAACGACGTGCCAGATGGTGATGCCGAGGAACGACCCGACGAGCAGACCCTTGGGGGGCATGAGATCGGTGATGGATCCGGAGATGACCACGGACAGGCCGTTGGCAGTGGTGAAGGCGCCGTTGATCCATGGGATCTCTGCATTCTTGAGGCCTAATGCATCGCGGAGCTGCTGCTGGTTGGCAGTGACGTTGCCGATGAGGAAGGAGAACATCATCAGGGACATGGAGCACACAGCGATGAACGTGATCTCAGCAGTCACGGTGCTGAACTCCTTGGGTCTGTGCTGATGCTTCTTCTGGGCGGGTTCCAGCTCTTCCCCTCCGGGGGCGCGAGAGTTGGTCTGGCTCAGCCTGCGGCTCAGGTTGCGGCTCACATGGCTGAGAGAGATGGCGAGATGGGCGGGAATGTCTGGGACACCCTCGTCATCGTCATCAGTGTCCGCGTCGGAGCTTGCGCCCGAGGGAAGCTCCCTCACAGCCTCTACGGCAACATGCTCCTTCTTCTCATCAAGTGAGTGAGAGGCTGTGTCAAAGACCTTGCTGGGGATTGCAGAGCCTTGTGCGACGGGGGACATGGCGGGCTATGTCTGGCCTCCCTAGCTTTTCTGTAAAGAAACCAAATGGTTAATCAAGATCAAAATTAAGATTTATATTTGCTCCTAGCTAGGAATTATGCTTCTTAGCTACAGAGTCAAGGTGGGTGTAGCGACTGAGGGAAGGGCAGAGGAGAGACGTGTAGAGAGGGCAGATTTATAGGGCATCACCACAACCCAACAGGCTGCGGATTTCCAATCCCGTCAACTCCTCTGCCTTGAACATGGTCTTCTCACGATCTTTCCATTCTCCTCTTTACTCTCCAATTTTTTATATCCACAGCCCACAATGACTCGGCGAGGACTTAACGTATTGGGTAGGCCTTATCTTGCACGTGGAGCCCGTCAGCCGTCGCGGGACCCATCAGCGCCCGTCAGGATGGTATCATTGCAGCGGTTGCGTAGCGTTGCCTATGTCGGGAAAGATAGAAAAAGGCAATCAAGAGTCAGTCAAGGTCGGTAAGACGGCAGTAGCTCTGTCAGGCAAGGCAGCGGAAGAACCAAGGACGGGAGAAAAATCTGTTGGTGTTGTGGGCTCGGGCGTATCCACAGATCAAGCTCCAAGCCAGAACAAGCGTGCAAACGGGACCATTTTCCCTGCAAGCAGCAAGGTGTCAAGCTTCAAATAGACCCTATTTTTGGCTAATTCCCGGGTGGCGAGCCTAGCTGGATGCTGGATATCCATAGCCTCCGTCCAAAGAGGACGACGGTGGAGCGTGATTCGTACAAGATCTCTCGTTGCGAGGTGTTAGTTTTCTCGCTGATATTGGGTCCCTGGGCTGGGCCCTTGCTTGCATTGCATGGCTGGCATGGTTCACGGGTTTCCCTAGCAGGGGACCCTACTGATTTGTCGATCAATCAGATCTTCAAGTGCCACCCACCTTATCTGAGCTGGTGGGGTGTTGGCAAAAAGTTTCGAAAGAGCTGTTGGAGAGGCTTACTGCATCTAGCAGTTCCGCTCCGACGAGAAGCCCAGTTCTTCAGCCAGCCTCGCGACCGCCGTCGTCACCCTCAGGCGAGTCTGGCGGATTTTCGACCATACTCCATCTGCGGGGACGTCTAGGGCCCTTCGTATCCGCTGATGGGCATCCTCGCCTTACGAGTATCTCCGTGATAGTGGGCTCTCCTCAGGCGATTTTGGAGGTCTTGGAGGTGGTGGTGGTGGGGTTGGCTGTGAGGGGTTGACGTGAGGGGGAGGATCGGTGGCCAGCAACAGCTTCACCGCACTGCGGGAGCCGATGCCGTAGGGAGTAATGGCTGGGCAGTTAGCTCAAGGGTGGGAGCAGGCCATCTGCATCTCGCTGAAATGGTGGCCCTATACGCGATTGTGGATGGAGATGTGAGTATGATCGCGACATGTGGGAGGTGGGTGACAAAAAAGAAATGGCACATGAGAACGGCTATTGGCAGTGTCCGACATCGCGTCAAAAAAATAAAAAATACAGAACAAAGCCTAGGCAGATTTACTAGATCAAGTTTTATTCTTCGATTTTTACCATTGCCTTTATAATGCCCAGTCAGAGAATACAAAACCCAGAACTTACCTGACTTACGCATCAAGGGCCAAGCCTCCATTGTGGTGCATCCTTTTTTTTCCCTTCTTCACCAACTCTGAGGTGGTGATACCCTAGACCGCTGCCTCAGAGGCGGTATGTATGCGCTCAACTAGATAAGCTACCTGCATGTTGCCAACTAGAAAAAGACCATGTGATTATAGATCATGGGATCACATAAGATATCTGCAGTGAGGAATCTTATTTCCACACAATGTAGCAATGCTGAGTTGTACAAACTCAAAATTTTTGACAGAACGAAACCCTGTGTGGTAATCCGCAAACCTTAGCACCGTGCTCATTCCCAGGACCTGTCCCAATAAGGGCTTTCCGTATCAAGGTATACACGATCGTGGATATCCAGATCAGGCGCCAACGCTTGCTAATCAGGCTGAATCTCATCTTCAAGTTTCAGTCAATAGACGGTGGGCCTGGCTGCGTGCAGGATGCAACCATCAACCAGGGCGCGGATGCACCAACACGGGCCCTACAATGGCTTCTGAGCCGAAACAGCCCTCGAAGCCAATTAACGACGCCACATGGGCGGGATCAAGGCGCTAGGCTCCCTGCACGGGCTCAAAGAAATGCCCGCGGACGCTGCAGTTTGAGTTCACGGAACATGGCCGGTGCCGGCTCGTGTTGGCACTCGGGAGGAGACAAACCAAGGGTCTTGAGGGTCTTGAGCATCCTCCTACCAGCACGGCTGATCACGCGACCTGAAAACTTTGATCACATGATGGCCATCAATTGAATTCTCGTTATTTTTGTGTGATTCACAGGTTTTTACCGAGCGAAACCAGGCTCAGTTCCCCTGTAAATTGTAGCTACCCGGTTGCTGCAGAGTCCCTGTCCAGCAGAAATACCTGGTATCAGCTCCATCTGAAACCGATACAGAAAGGGAAACCCTCGCCGGCGGATGCCTAAGATCCGTGATCTTGTTGGACTCTTGATACACAGATGAAAAAATATCGCCTGATTTTTTTGTTGTTTTCACAGTCCTTCACTACTTCTCTCTTGTCCAAGATCAAGTCGGATGGGGTCACTTGCCAAAAAATCACAAACAGCAGCAGCTGACGTACCCTGCACAAGAAAGAAAAAGAACAGCCAAACAAACAAAGCTGCCATCTGCAATTGAAGAATGTCCCCTGCAAGCTATCTGCTTTCCAATATCGCTACCGCCAACATCCAACCAATCAATAGCTGTCCACAATCACGGCCGTGACCATGAACCTCGCCCATCTCGACAGTCGCTTACTAAGGATCCTGGCCCACATCCCAACCCACGCCGCCAAGGCTCTGCTTCAACATCCAGCCCACCAGCCTCGAGCCAGCATCGAGCTGGAGATCGAGCTCCAGGACCTTTCTGCACGTCATTCGCCACAACACCGTCCTGACCGAACCTGCCGGCCGCCAAGACCTGTATCAACACAGCCACGGCTTCCTTCGATACCTCATCGCCCGTCGAGCCCCATCCCAGCCCCGTTCTCGCCCACCTCTGACGATTACCGCCGCTCCGAGGAGATCTGGAAGGACCACTGGATCTAGGCAAATATCGCTATCCAGGGTGATAATACCGAATCAATTGGCCACTACGCCCCTCATACCCGACAGAAGACACCACTGGAAGACGTACCCATCACGACACATCCAGAATTCCACCCGACCGGTATCCGACACTCCACCCCTCCCAAAATGTCCGCCGCCGCACAATGGACACGCCAGAACAAGGTGAAGAGCGCCGTGTGGGCAGTAGGCTTCGCAGCCGTAGTCATGGTCGGCTCCCTGACCGGCGCACAGCTCAAGCAGGACAAGCAAAAGGAAGAGGTCAGCTAATCACTGCCCCCCCTCCCAGCATGTCCACCAGGCATAACAAATGTGACCCGTTTAGCGCATTTACTAACATGCCAGCAGGCCATTAAGCAATTCCGCGAGACGACGTCGGCCGAACAGATTGCGATCCTCGAGGACCAGAAGATCCTTTTGCTAGAGCAGAAGGCTGCTCTCCAGCGGAAACTCGATGCGTTTGACGAGCGGGTGCGCGAGCGCGAGTTGGAGAAGCAGCGGAGGGCGAGAAGATCAGCATGATGCGACGGCCTTCGTTAGATTCTTTCTCCTCCACACACACACATATATATCTGTATCAATAACTGGGGTTCGGTTGGGGGTGCTACACATGGTATTGGGTCAATGGCGTTGAAGATTCATGGGCGTTTCGGGGAACAAAAGCATTGCAAGCATGACTACGAGACATGCCCGTTGGATGTGCACATCATCACTAGACTTTCTGTAATTTTAAACTTTTCCTCTTGATTCCGTTTCACACAAAGGTGGCATAACTCCATTATCATCTCGTAATCATTGTGATCCAGTGTCTATCCCCTCCGTCCGTAATGTCAAGTCGTGAAACCAGTCTCCAATCCGGTATTTGTCATGTTCTGCGTCGCATTAAGAAAGAGGCGGGGTTAACCATTGAGCCATCCCTCGCCGAAAGGGCAAGCACCTTAGGCCGCATCCTCGATCTTGCCGTCGGCAGAGGGGAGGGGAATTGCCTTGTACAGCAAGATCAGAGCCGAGTGGGATTCGCCTCCGCCAGCGAGGGTCTCGATCTTATCCCCCGTCACCTCGGATACCTTGTCGTCGTTGAACCACCACCAGTTGCCGTCCTCCTCGCCCTTCTTGCCTGTCTTGGAGTCGACGGGGGCAGTCTTCTTGACATAAGCGGTGTAATGACCACTGTCGGCACTGCCACCTTGGTGCGTCACGACACCACGGAGCTCGTAAAGCCCAGACTGGTTGGCACCGTCGTCGTCGCGCAGGCTTGGGTCGATGAGTGCGTTGAGCTCCTTTTTGGCAGCGAGAAGAGCAGCATCCTTCTCGGCGTCGATCTCAGAATCGGTCTTGAACGTCTCCCCCATGACGACGTCTCCGTCAGATGACTTGGCTGCGACGGCCTGCTCAACCTCCTTCTTTTCCCTCTCCTTCTTTTCTTTCTCCTTCTGTTCCTTCTCCTTCTTCTCCTTCTCAGAAGGAAGACCGGAGCCGCCTGCAATGTCGTCCAGCTCGGACTGCTTGCTCCTCTTGCGTCGCTTGCGAGCTCGCTCGATATCTTCCTCATCCTTCCTGACCTCGCGGACCTTGTCACGGACGGGGACCAGGGCCTTCTTCAGCTCGTCAGAGCAGAACTCGACAATATCAAGTTCGTGAGGGAAGGTGACCTTTCGCATGATCTTGGCCTTCTTCTGGGTTTCACGCTTCCAGAAGAATCGGACAAAGTGGACGGTGAGGTACTTGGGTGCTCGTGAAATCTTGGACGTCTTGGTGTAGTCGGCATCGCGGTCAAGAATCTCGGACTTCTTGTTCAGCTTCTCGTGGAGGGCGGCAAGAATTCCATCTCTCAGGTGGTTCGTCTGTCCGTCGATGTGGCAGTTGAGCTTGTAGAAAGCCTCCTTGGACACAATGGCCTTCTCGCCTGCACTTCGTGCCCCTTCATCGTCAATCTGGAGCTCGCTGACAAACTCTCCCGACATGTACTTGTCGACAAATGAGGTATCGGCGGCATCTGCCGATTCCTTGACCTTGACCTTCTGGCCAATCTGCTGCACGATCTGGGACCAGGCTTCCTCGGCATCCTGCTGAGCATATCCCTGGCCTGACTTGGACATCTCGGCAAATTGAGGGAACACAACTCTCAGGGCAGCGAGGAAACCCATGGGAGGAAAAGCACCCTGTGTATCGCCCATTTGCTTGTAGACCTTGGAGAGCTCGGCAGCCAAGTCCTTCTGGGGACCCAAAAGGACAGATGTTTGAGGGGTGGGCTTGTAGGTGCTAAGGGCTGTCTGGAGCTCGGGAATGGACCGAAGTGTTTGTAAAGTCGAATTCAGATAGCAAGTGTTTCCCAAATTGACCAGGCCAGCTGGGGTGGCGCCAGCCTGCTGGGCCTGCTCAGCCTCGGTCATGTCCTCAACAAACTTGACAGCCTCCTTGGGTCGAACGAGGGCGGGACCACCGGAGCTAGGTGAACCCATCATCATGATGGCCTGCTTGGGCTTGAGACCCAGCTTGCCCATGTCGGCATCATCCTTGAGCTGGCCTCCCTTGATCAAAATCTTTTGCCGGTCGGGTTCGACGTTGGTAAGGCTGTAGACTTGCAGCTTAAAGTCTTCGCCGGTGGATGTGGGGTCAACCTCGATCTCATACTTTTTCCCCTGGTGTTTAATGATTACTGCAGATGGTTAGCAAAGCGGTGGACTAGAAATTGGCAACTCGAGAAAATGGCCGTGTGGTCTAACCTGGTATCGACGCCATCATGAATACAAGACCCTGCTTCGGGGATTCTTCTACTCAGACAAAAGCAAGCAACGAATATCTGAAAGGATGGTAGCTGAAGACAATGCAGCTATCGAGATGAAAAGAACAGCGTGGCGAGGGGGGGACGTCGAGAAGAAATGGGAGAAATGATTTTCTTCCAAGCGGAACACCAGTATTTAATCAACATGCGTCACTCAGCTGGTACCTGGGCAATGGTGGGGTAACTCACCGCCCACACGCCCGGAGGCTGAACCTAAGCTCGAGCCACGTCGCCCGGGGAAGTTCGCGAGTTCACGTGATCACATGCCACACCGACAGCAGAGCTCTGGGGCGTAGTGGCGCAGCTAGTTGCCCCACCACGAACGTCAGCGGAGGAGTTGGCTCCTAATCTATGGCCGTGCCATGGATTAGGTAGACGGGAAGCTCACCACCAACTCCAAGCCCTCACGATCTCCAGCCCCGCCGTCAATCCGCACCAGATAATGACGGCGTAAGGACCCGGTCGATAGCAAACCTGTGTGTGTAGTTTCTCTACATCGGTAATCAAGCCTAGATCAACCAGTCATGGTGCGCATGCCTCGTCATTGAATCCCGCCAGCTATCCCCGTTGTCACTAACTCGCTCCCACCGGCAGTCGCAATCCTTGCGCCCGTACCTCCAATGCGTCCGGAGCAGCTTGACTGCTGCTCTGACTCTCTCCAACTTTGCCTCCCAGACGGTCGAACGCCACAATGTCCCCGAGATTGAAGCCCAGACCTCACCGGAGGTCCTGCTCACCCCTCTCCACGTTGCCCGCAACGACAACGAGCGAGTCCTGATCGAGCCCAGCATCAACTCCGTCCGTATCAGCATTAAGATTAAGCAGGCCGACGAGATTGAACATATCCTGGTCCACAAATTCAATCGGTTCCTCGCCATGAGGTGCGGCTTCCTGCCTGAAACGTTGACTGGTTGGAGTGCTGGCGGCTGACATAGCTACAGAGCGGAATCTTTCTTCATTCTCCGGAGAAAGCCTATCAAGGTGCGATGCGGCATGTGCAAAATGACATTCAGAGTACTGACGTCGCGTAGGGATACGACATCTCCTTCCTAATAACCAACTACCACACCGAAGAAATGCTGAAGCACAAGTTGGTGGATTTCATCATCCAGTTCATGGAGGAAGTCGACAAGGAGATCTCCGAGATGAAGCTCTTTGTGAGTGCACAGCGGGTTGTTAGAGGGCGTTGCGGGATCACTAACGAATTGCTCTTTCAGTTGAACGCTCGGGCACGTTTCGTAGCCGAGTCCTTCTTGACTCCTGTAGGTTCTCTGTTGCTTCACCTCGTGTCCTACGCATGCTAACCTTCTCTGCCAGTTTGATTAAACGGCCATCACGGTTATATGAACGCTATTGCCATACTGTATGGTGAAATCATGGAAGGCCGCCCACGGTAGATGGAGAGTGGCAGCAAAAGTTGACGATTCTCATGCGGATTATATAAGGCTTCGGACTATCATAAATACAACCTCATTAACTTGGTCTCTTCATTCTCTACCTACATTTCTATTTGGCTGGCGCGGCTCCAACACTTGGGATCGGCCGTGCTTTCAAGTTCATCTTACTTAACAGCGAGCGTCGACTTAAGGTGGGTATCATCCGCAGGCTATTGTCATTGTTTTCCTGGTGCACTTCGGTGTGAGCTGGCTCCTCGGTGCTATTTATGCACGTGAATATGTGCTTCCGAGCGCCAGACCGCTCACCAAAAATAGAATCACACAATAAGGCTGCATTGTGTTGGGTATTGTCGCTCAGGCTTCCCCATTCATAAGGCGAGTCATAAGGCGAGAGCACTCACCCACTCACGCACTTTCCTGTGTCACCCTGCTTCTAACTTGAGCCTCCCGAGATCAACTGCCGCCAGACTCTCCAAGCCTGGAAGAAGGCAAAGGCATCGATAACACGCCGTAACAACACTGTTGCCCCGCCAAACATGTGCCGGCAGCTGGCAGACTGCCAGATGGGTGGGCTGCAAGGAGGCTCCGGGCCTCTCATTGGCAGAAGTCATGTGTTCGGGCTCGTGCCCTCCGGCCGGCGTGCGCGTGTGGGCTTCTCCAGACGGGATCATAACAAGCAGTGCCTGGCGCGTCTGAGTTGAAAGTGAGCATCACCTCAGATCCCTCCGCCAAGGTGAGTTGATTGTCATTCTCTCACATTCAATCACGCACAACGCCGAGTGGCTTTTCTCCAAGCAGCTTGAACTCGGTGCGAAGCTTTCTCTTTCGACCCGCTCAGTCTCTCTCCCTCCCCTTTCCGCCATCTCACCTTCTCTCATCCCCGCTCCCTCACCTCATCCACCCACCTCTTCCTTCTCACTGCACAAAAACCGTCCATCAAGACTGCTTTCAAATTCTGAAAAGACTCTTGGAAAACGCCCGTTGGATTTGTTGCCGTTTCTTGGCATTCCCGAGTACACAAAATTCGCGGCGCTTTCACTTGAAAAAACCAAAACTTCTACTGGCGAAAAACCACACGATTGAGCTTGCTTTCGACTTGGGATAACTTGCAACTCGTGCTATCCCATAAATCGGTTTGTTTTCCTCACCATCCTAATGTTTATTCACAGAAAGCTGACTTGATCTTTCAGAAAGTCACTTCATCAACATGGCCACGGCAAGCCGTATGGCCCAGGGCTACCCGCCCTACAACTTCGCCACCACCCAAAACAACACCTTGGGTGACAATGGCCCTCCTTCGCCATCTGCTTCATTCGCATCTGGCACAACAGCAAAGGACTCGTCGACCCCACCATCTGTCTCCGGGCAATCTGACATGAAGCAAGAGGAGGCTGGGCTGAACCCCGCGTCCAACTCATGGATCCCCGACGTTGGTGCAACCAACGGACACTCTACCCAGGTATGGGAGATGGATATCACTCATATGCCTCTGCTTCATCTTCAAATGGTTAACAGCCTCCAGTCCGTCCCTTATGCTCCTGGTCAATGCAGAGTCCCGATGCCCCAAGTTGGCGGAATGGCAGTTGGCCCCCCTCCCCCTTACATCCCCCCCATGAACAACATGAACAATGGTCCCTACCCCTACCAGCACATGTTCCATCAATCCAACCAGGGCCATCATGGTATCACGAATGGAACTACTACGCCCTAGGTGGGCGTTCCAGTCCCAGCGAACACTGCCCCTCTCATGCCCTACCACCCCGCCCCATCGGTGAACATTGCACAACATCCCTCCCAGCAACAGGCTCCTCATACTCCTATGAGTGATAAAAACGCCGTTGTTCCCTATTCCAATGGGTCAATGGAGGCACTTCCCTCCGGCAGCCAGCATCCCAGCTCAGCCCAGCCTACACCATCCATGTTGATGAGTCCAGATCCCACTCCCCAGCATTCTACACCTAGCTACCTTTTGGGTCCTCCTGCAGTGACACCTCTTAACCTTACAGAGCCCAGAAACTATGCCCCCACAACATGTGGACAGGCCGCTCATCAAGAGCCACCCCCAAAGTTCGACCTGGGACTCACTACATACCAAGGACAGGATGGAGCGCAGGATCCTTTCTATGTTCCCGGCGGGGCAAGCACATTTACTGGTTCCAAGATGTTCTCTCCATACGTTTTGCAGGGACAGCAGGCCTTCGACTATCGGTCTGACAAGTTGAAGGTTCTCACGTCGACTCCTTCGGGATATCCCAGCTTCCGTACCGCAATGGCTCCCGAACACTTCCCGTTCGTCGATGGCCCGAAGCAGCACAAGACTGTCAACCACGGCGTTGTCAAGATTCGCAACGTGAGCCCTGCCATTCCTCGCCTACCGCTCATCGATAGTGTTCATGCTGACAACCTACACACCTAGATCCCCTTTGATACCAAGCGCGCGGAAGTCATTGCCTTCCTTGGGCGCAACTCCAAGATTCTCAATGACAGTGATGAGCCTGTGCACATCATCATGGAGCGGGTCACTAGCAAGACAATGGATGCCTATGTCGAGTTTTGCACCCTTGAAGATGCTATGAAGGCGGTCGAGAAGCATCATCTGAACATCACGAATGGCCGCGTTAGCCGCCTCGGTGATCGTCCTGTGGATGTTGAACTCTCCGACCAGGGCTGCTTGATGAAGGACCTGTTCCCCCTCGCCGTTGGCATCTTTTGGGATGGCTCCAGACCCGAGTTCAAGGCCGAAAACCCGGATCAGCCCTGGGAGAACTTCAAGGGATTCATCTCCGAAGAAGAAATGACCATGCTTGTGAAGCATGTCGAGGTCCCGCACAGAGTAAGTCGATCCCCTCTCGCCATCTCACTCTTGTTGTTTATCCTGTGCGTGTCAACTGACGCACAAAAAGTCTCCATTTTCCAAGGAATGCCCTCAGCGTCCCTACGAGTGTCTCATCAGCACTCTGAAGAAGTTCCCATGGAGCTACACTGATCGCATCACGATCTCGCAGCGACGTGCCGTTTTCAAGGCGACTTGCGAACTCATCCGTCTTCTGGCTCGCAGCATCTACAAGTCTGATAACCAGGTGAATCTTAACAAGCAGCTGTATCGCCGCGTCGTCAGTGCCGCAATGAGCTGCCACGGCTTCACCCCTCTCATGAAGGATGACGTTGCTTGGCTCGCACAGATGTCGGATCAAGAGCAGCAGCAAGGTTATGGCCAGCCGGCGTACGCAAACGGATGGCGCCATCAGTATGCCATGTGTCCCAAGCCCGGGGTGCCTCTTGACGTTGTTGAGGTTTGCCTACCCCCCTCTATTCACCTCGTTGCATTCTGTTAACATTCTGGGCAGTGGTACATTACCCTCATCCGTGACCAGACGCTACGTGACACCATGTCTCGGCCTCTTCAGCACCGCAACGACATCGAGGAGCGCAGCCGTGACACCGACCCTTACTGGGGTCACTTTTGGGCCGAGCTTGGCCACGTCATGGGCCCGGCCTTTGACAGCCTGACCATTGCACAGGCCGCTCTCCTGGAGTTTTCCGCCGTCGAGCGAGTGCTGTCCCGGGCGCTGCCACGCCACTAAACTCAGCAACACACCCACGCACTGAGCAGGTAAAGGTGGTGAATCGTCCGACCAACTCTCTTGATTGTTTCTGTTTCTTCTTTCCCCCCCATCGCTTTTGACCTTGCCCTGGTTCCTGCATTTTTTTTTGTTCCTGCATTTTGTCACTCCTTTGATGCATACATTACAGACACTCAGTCGCTGGGTCCGACGCACAAATTGATCAAGGCTACTTGCCTGCCACATACCAGCTACAAGCTGGCCCGGCTACCCTGCACAAACAATTTCACCCGTCCAAAGAGACGCCTTCCTTCTTTTCATTGTTTCGGGTCAGGTTCGGGTGGGGGAAGATTGGTGTGCATGGATCTGATCGGAGTTTGTTTCCTTATTTTCCTTTTTAATTCTACCATTGCATTCATTTCCCTCGAGAGAAGTCGCACGCGAGATTGAACAACGGGTTGGGGGAAACATGGGTCAATACTGAAACGGATCGGGAGGCCCACATGGGAGATGTCTGTCGCTACGACATGCCTGGCAAATCTTGAGATTAGGACGGACTCACAGGTCCTTGACGAATTGGTGTGCTGGAAATTGGAATGGCTGCTGGAAAGGACTGGGCTCAGCTTAGGAGTACACAGTACACTTGAACAGATGCAGATTACGGGATACGTACTACCGCTACAAAATCCAAATTTTGAAACTTGAAGCCGTTTTGCTCCAGACCACTAAGGATTCGAGGGGCCGCTGTGAGGGATCGATTGGCCACCAGCCACGCTCGGATCCTCCCCTAGCCTGGCGCTGCAATTTCGTTTCCCCGCCAGACGGGACGTTGTGCGACGCCACAGTGCTCGTGCTAGCGCCGACTAACAGCCCGCAGTTGTGTCGCGCGACGGGCTAACTAGAACATTGGCGACGCACCCACCAGCAACAGCACCGCTCAGCGGTTGCAGGGGCTCCCTCGCCTCGCTCGCAGCTCCAGGTCCAGTCGCGCTGCTCACTCCAATCCAACGGCAGCAGAGCACCGTGGCACTGGGCCACAGCGCACGGCCTGTCCTAATCTGATCTGGACACTGCCCGCGCACAGTGAATTACAGGGGGAAAGACCCGCCCCACCCGGCCGGGCTGGAGTGGAGGCAGCAACTGGCACTACGACGCTGACACCTCAAAAACTCCCAGATATCAATCAGGCCATGACCTTTTTCCGCTCCGGCCTTTCTCCTGAATCCCATCTCTCTCCTCTGCTCCATCGACGACGCCGTGGGATTGATCTCGAACAAGTCGACGCAATTGCGCTCTTTGGCTGATTCCTGCTTTTTATTTGATACCCCCCTTCCAGATACCCCTCCACGATACCCCCCCCCCCCCCCCCCCAAACCTGAATACAGCTCGCGGCGCATTGATTGAGCCACGCTATTCGTCAAGCTCATCGCACCCTGTTGGACTTGGTTTGTTTGTTTTGATCTAATACCCCCCGCGCCTTGTCCCCCAAAATTTTAATAGACAACCTTGTCGGATTTTTTTTTCTCCCCTACGCTGTTCCCCCAAACATCCCTCTTTTTTTCATACCCTTTAGATACCCAACGTCGCCATGTCTGCTGCTGTCGAGGAGAAGATTGTCACCCCCGCTGCCCCTGCGCCGGGCGTGGAGCCCACTGCTGATGCTACCGCTGCTGCCGCTGCTCCTGCGGCTGAGGCTACCAAGGAGGAGACGCCAAAGGTAGAGGCTTCCAAGGAGGAGGCTCCCAAGGCCGAGGCCGCCAAGGAGGAAGCCACCAAGGAAGAGGCTCCCAAGACAGAGGCCACCAAAGAAGAGGCCAAGGAGGAGACTAAGAAGGAAGAGGCCAAGGAGGAGGCCAAGGAGGAGACCAAGGAGGAGACCAAGGAGGAGGCCCCCAAGAAGCCAGAGACAGCCCTCTCAAAGCTGACTGCCCGCCTCCCCGAGATCCTCAAGAAGGCCGAGTACAGTGAGATGTGGGGCATCGAGCTCAAGGACATCGAGACGAGCGTCCCGGCCAAGATCGTGCTGCAAAAGTTCCTGCGCGCCAAGGGTGGTGATGTCGATGTCGCCGCGAAGCAGCTCGAGGACGCCCTCAAGTGGCGCAAGGAGCTGAAGCCGACCGAGCTCGTCGAGCGCACCTTTGACGCCGACACCTTTGAGGGCCTGGGCTATGCCACCGTCCACAAGAATGCTGCCGGCCTGGAGACGGTCATCACCTGGAACATCTACGGCGCTGTCAAGAGCTTCAAGAAGACGTTTGGAGATGTTGACGAGTAAGTGAAAATTCTCTTACCGTTTCCTTCGTAAATGATTAACAGTCTTTCAGGTTCATCCGGTGGCGCACTGCCCTGATGGAGCTCGGAGTCCAGAAGCTCAGGATTGATGCTGCCACCGAGCCCATCTCTGATGACCCGAGCGTGGCGGACCCCTACAAGATGGTCCAGGTCCACGACTACCTCTCCGTCAGCTTCCTGCGCATGGACCCCCACGTCAAGGCCGCCAGCAAGAGGACCATCGACGCCTTCGCCACCGCTTACCCGGAGCTGCTGGAGCACAAGTACTTCGTCAACGTGCCGCTCATCATGGGCTGGATGTACGCCGCCATGAAGCTCTTCCTGGCCCCGGCGACGCTCAAGAAGTTCCACCCCATGAGCTCCGGCACGACGCTGGCCGCCGAGCTCCCCCAGATCAAGTCGTCCCTGCCCAAGGAGTACGGCGGTGAGGGTCCCAGCGTGAAGGAGGGCGAATCTATCAAGCTGGTCAAGAAGGAGCCGGAGCCCGCAAAGAAGGAGGAATCCAAGGAGGAGAAGAAGGAGGAGACTAAGGAAGAGGTCAAGGAGGACACCAAGGAGGAGCCCAAGAAGGAGGAAATCAAGGAAGAAGTCAAGGAAACGGAGACCAAGAAGGAAGAAGCCAAGACAGAGGAGTCTAAGAAGGAAGAGGCCAAGACAGAGGAGTCCAAGAAGGAAGAGGCAAAGGAGGAGCCCGCAAAAGACGCAGCTGAGTAGGCAAAGGCCACATCTGAAACACATGCGGCTGCGGCAAAGACCTAAGACTGCCGAGTCAGAGGAACGAAAAAAGAAGCAGCTGCCTGATTTCTTTGCCTTCAACTGGTCATTTAGCCCACCGCGCCCGAGACATGAGGCCATGAGCAGCACGAACCAGACCTCGGAGCCAATCCCCGGATATACCACTTGGTGATGATATACACCCTACCCCTTTCGAGGCCGATACCCTTTATACCATTAGTGCTTCTTTAATGATGTGTCGTTGGCGTTTTATATCCCGCTCTCCATGTTTCCTACCGAGTTAGATACTTAATAGACAAGGATTTTAGGCCTCGCTGACCTATCCTACCGATTGCTTGTCTCTGTTTCATGTTTCTGGAATGACGTGACGTGATGAACCCATCTGTATGTAGAGAGTGGGAGGAAGAGAGACACTTTTTCGTCCGTGTCCGTGCCGGCAATAAGAGCAGTCGGAAGGTTTGAACCTTGACCATCCGCATGACCTGTGCTCCCCCAAGGAACGAAGCAAGCGTATCTCTGCAGGCTGGCACACGGGGCCCTTTTGACGGTTTCCCCCTCCCCTCCCAAATCCTGGGCACACCTCGATGCAAGAACCCTCGCACAAGGCACCCACCCCTCCCCTCAGCGTACGCGAATGCGACCCCCCCTCCAACCCAGAGAACCGGTTGGAGGGTGGTCGGCCAGATCCCCGCAGCAGGGGGACACCGCGAAGGGCACGCCAAGACGTCGCTGCCAGCCCCTTCTTCCCTGGCCGCAACACACCTAACCTTTTCATCTAATCCCGGTCTGATAAGGCTTTCTGGAGGGTATTTGTGTGCTCAAGGATGGTGGTGCCCCCCACCGGCGGGAACGGCCAGCGAACTCATCGGTTTCCCGTTCGGGACGCATCGTTGGCTTCTGGTCGCATCGTTGGCTTTCTGGTTGCGTCGCGCGGGCTTTGGGGGTGGGTTGGCTTCGGCTTGCCTGATCTGTGGGAGAGGGGAGGGGGGATGAGCCTTGCGGGGTGGGACGCTTTACCCGCTGGAGATGAGTGTCAGTCCACGTCATTGTGGTAGGTTGGAAGGCGCGGAGATGGCTCCGTGAGGTGATATGGGATTTCTTTCTATGGTGATTGGGTTTTTTCTTGCTTTGCGCATTGGGATGGATGGGGGGATTGTGGCTGGTTCGGTTGGGTTCTTATGGCTCTTATCTGCTGTGGCCGGGTTGTCTGATTGAGAAGTTTGCCGGATGAGCGAGTTGGGAGAGGGTCGTGATGGAGAGTGTGTTGCTTCAATGTTGTGTTGGATTGAGGCTTGTGTGGGATTGTCGAGGTGAGGATGGCATGGGACGTTTTGGCAGCACCTGCAGAGTGGAAGAGGAAGGTGATTAAGACATGGCTTCAACGAGCGACTCAATTTGGATGAATTAACTACTATTTGATTTTTGAGAAGGTAAAAGGGAAAAAAAAGAAGAAGAAAAAAACAAGAGACTTTTAGTTTTAGCTTTGGGTATCCTTTCAATTTTTCCAATTCAACGCCTGGTGCTCAGATCAAGGCACAGGCCAGCCTCGCCGTCGTCGACGACGCGCTTGGGCGTCTTGGTGTGGCCGATGTCGTAGGTGTAAGTCGGGTCCTCGTTGGTGCTGTAACGCCGCCTGAAGTCCTCCATGGTGCCGCATCGGCCCTTGATCTGGACGCCGCCGGGGGGCATGTTGGGGACGGTGTAGTGCGGTGTGTTCTTGTCTTGGAGCTGGTTGCTGTTAGCGATGTCTGGTTTGCGGAGAAAGAGGTTGTGATGGGGGAGGTCTGAGCGGTAGGGAGATGCACATGCCTTGGACATTTTGGGTGTAGGAGGGCGAGTGATTGATTGATTGATTGATCGAATGGATTTGTTTGTAGGTCTAAGTGAGCGAGTGTAGAGAGACACCCTCAATTGTGCTTGGTGATGCTGTTGTTGGATGTGTAGATGGTCTGGTGCAAGAGAGGCAGCGTTCAGTGCCAGCGAGAGTGAGAAGG